CCGAAATGGCAAACATGAGTGGTGTCACGGGCATCTCATGACTATATGATGTACGTAGTGCTTATTATGTATACTTTACTGTAACCTATAGTGGACCGTGAACACTTACAATTAGGTTGGCCGTCACTTTGTTTTGTCATTCCAATTACATAAAAAAAGTCATTTCGAGCATTTTGTATTCAGCGTGAGTAAAACAAGTGAACTGTAAATAAACAACTCAAGTAGTATTACTTCACTGGACATTATTTAATCCAGGTAGATTTTATACAATGTAGTCTGCGTGTATAGTATCAAAGACATGACAACTTAGTCTTCAGGAATTGCGCCGCAACTCTCTAAATATTCCCACACAGAACTCTGCATTTCGTAAAAGATTATTAACACGCAAGATTTGGTTAGAAATCACTAAATAACTGTCACCTAAGAGTTAGGGAGTGAAATATCGAGCTCCTAAAATATAAGGGATCCCTAAGGACTTAGGAGTTACCTAAAGGTTGGTGAAAACGAATTTCATACTAGCGGACCCCTAAACTGACGTTAAGTGGCCCCTAAACTTAGGTAGACGTTGGTGAAAACGGGCATTAGTGAATTACTGACGTCATATGACACAGCAAAAATCCAGTGTCATACATTTTGAATTTGCAATATTGTTGATAACATCAATCATTTATTTACTTAGTATGTTGCAAGTTGTGACGAGAGCAGTGTGGGTGTTTGAATTGCTCACGTCCGCCCAACTTGCCACCTATAAGTGGTTTGGTATTGAAATAGTTAACTAGCATCGAAATTATTTTTCAGTTACTACGTATGAGATAAACAAGCCTTTACCAAATGGCGCGATTCCAATAGGAACTGAAAAAAATGTGAGCGAAATTCACACTGCGAGGGTTCCGTGCAGATAAAAAATAACTTTAAATAAAAGAATCCTCTTAAGTATTTTCTTACATACAAAGAAATATGAATAACTAGCCTTGTTCCACGGCCCTGCCCGCGTATATTCGGATAGCCTGTGTTAATCTAGCGAATGATCTATCTGTGTGCCTACCAAATTACATTCAATTTCGCCAGTAGTTTAAAACATAAACATCCATCACTCAATCAATTCTTACAAACGTTTATTTATAATATTAGTAGGATTAATTTTATATCGTATTTTTGATTTTTTGTACTTATTTGTTATTAAAAAGCAAGATGTTCTTATTGAGAATACTCTAGGAGAAATTATTGATGCGTGCCTAAGTATCATCATAATATAAGACATTTATAGATTACTAATAAAACACTAAATTCCGAAAAATATTGATGATTGATCGAAATGATCCGAAATCCGAAAAATATTTATTACGTTGGTCATGCGTGAATATTTCAAACAAAATAAATTTTAGACAAGTGAAAATAATGTTATATTTTGGAATTGTGTCAATGGCTTTTCTAGCGCATGTGTGACGCAGGTATTCAACTCGGTCACTATTTTATGTTTCATGACAATTGACGTATTCATTTAGTTTGTTTTATTTTTTGTATATACCTAAATAGAAGATAGTATTATTAGGTATTTGTAAATAATAGTTTACTAACTGGTTTAAAGACTACATAGATTCCCGAATTTATGGCTTCGGTGGTCTAGTGGTTTAGCTCACTGCTGTACTTTCGATGGTAGCGGGTTCGATTCCTCGTACCAACAAGCTCTGCTTAGCTTGGGCCTAGATGGCACTGTATGAAATTTCTTAAAAATTTGACATATGACGCCTATACGATAACGCTGATAAACTATAATTAGGATTAAGGTATTATGGTTCTTATCCTCTAGTTTCACCTTATAATTTTACCAGTATATATTTTGGATAACTAACACACTTCCAAATTTACTAACTATATTAAAGGAGTTTTTTTATCAGACGTACATAACATGAATAACGAATAAAACAGTTATTCGGTCCATATTAATTTTTTTTACTTGTGAAGTTCCTTATAATAAATAAACAAAAAGCGACTGAATCCGTTACGAAGTAATTCGCCAGAGGACTAAAGTCATTGACATAGCCTTACGAATTTTCAAGCTGAGATCAGATCCTATATATTTTTACGTATATAATCTTAGTCGGCAAGTGACCAAGGAAGTGGGGCTAGTGGAGAACCCGATCAATAAACGTAATGTGGAACATCTGCTAGGTGAAACGACGATATACGTAGGCTAGCAAGCTAGCTAGGTAATAACTGGAAGCGAAGTCTTGGTATAGATCTATTTCAAGCAGTCGACTCTAGTGAATTAATATAATGACACAAAATACATGTCTAATTAAACTTCCCCTGTAGTTTAATATTGGCTTTCAGTTGAAAAACACTCCTATCTTCTACTTCTGTACATGTGTTGGTTTAAAAGTCAGGAACTATGTGCTCACGCGATCGATTCAGTACACTATTGTATTACATACGAATATTAACAATATTCACGCTTTCGTATGACGTCACTTGACTTTTGTAACAATGAATGTTACAAAAGTAGTATATAATAATAATATGTATGACGTCACTTGAATACATATTATTATTATATACTACATCAAATCGGAATTAGTAATAATAAACATAAACATAACTTTATATTCCAAAAAAAGATAGAAATTGAATTTATTGTACCACGTTGATTCTGAGAAGCACATCAGGGGCATCGGTACGTGCCCGGATAACTTCGCGAATGTACCGAATATGTGGGTGACTTTACGACGCACTCCCGTCTCAGGTTTTTCAATAAAATTCATTCTCCTGACGTGACACACGAATCTTTTATTTGCCTACTCGCGAGAAAAAACAATCTGATTTGTAAGATAACGTCGCAGCAGTCGTGAAATTTAAAATACTTATGCTGTAAACATGCGGTGTGGTAATATGTATAGAAAAAAAGGAAAAGTGGCGCGATATATGTCACCTATAGGTTAATCTGTTATTGCATAGAGGTTTTATTTTATATTAAAAAGGTGCCAATCAAGCATACGGCCAGTGTCACGTGCGCGTTGACGATCTTGAACTACCTTAATATATATTCTTCTTCAAAAACCCCATGCTGTGATCTTTAAAGAAAACCTTGGCAGTTTTTTCTACATTAAAAAAAAAGGTTATACCGAGGTAGACTTTATAAAGCATCGCACATGGTTTACTTTGTAAACTGTCTTTGTTGACGTAATGATCATATATAATGCCGTTATGTCAGTGCTGTTCATGTAATATAGACGATGGTTGCAACTTACCATCAGGTGGGCCGTGAGCTTGTTTGCCATTCCAGATGCATAAATAAATTATGGCAATTACCAGCGAGAGGCGTTTCATGTACTAGGTCTCAGATAACGTATACTGGGCACAGTAGTAACAATTGCCGGGGCCATTAGGTTATGTATAATCTGTTTATCCTAAATAATGATAGACGAAGTGATTTATGGTACAATATGGCGTAATAATTTACGTGAATGTCTATAATCCATAAACTAGTAATATTTTATTATCCGCTTTTACTAGGCGGATGCTAACATTTTTCTCTTAGACGTATATAGATACTATTCTAGGTTAACAGGTTTCCAGGGAGCGATGAAGGATAGACATGTAAGCACACAATCATTTATAAATTACTTTATAACGTCTTTAATAAAAGTGTATATAATGTGTATATATTTCTAATTAAATGTTACACTTCATGGAAATATAATCTATCATGATATTAAGATCTGTTTAACTGTGAAAAGGTAAAAAACAGACAGACACTTTTGCATATTTAACGTTATAATGGATAAAATTTATTGTATCTTTCTTTATTGATTCACATGTATATCAATATACAAGTTTATTTATATCAATGCACTAGTGGTTAGTATCGTTAGTAACAATATTTCGCTCAAATTAGTCATGAAGGAATGAATATTATCATCATAAGGTAATTATTTGTATATGTTACAAAACGCAAATGATTTCAACATCCTGCTTATATAAATTCGTAGGATGTGTGCGTAGACAATATAGATGCTTCCATGTTCCTAAAAAAAATTACGTTCATAAATATACATACATAATGCTATTGTTACTTTCTCGTTCCTTCAATTGGAAAGCAACGACGCTCGTGTCGAGTTAACGTAGAACGTGCTCTGAATGTCTAACCCACGGTAACGTCTACTACGACCATTTAGTAACGATGTACACAATTTAATAAAAGAACGGGACGGTTATATTTCAATGTCTCAGAGTTTATCCATTTCGCTCGATCGGTTATATTTTTATAGATTTAGTTTCTCAGAAAAAAGGAATAACTATACCAGGAAATTTCTTTTTATAAGAAACAAAATCTAGGAAATCTAACAAAATCCACCAATTATCGCCTACTTTTCATCAGAAGACAAAAGTTCCACGTAGAGTCGCATATTAGATACCTCGGAAAATGACAGATTTTGACAATTTATATTTTATTCAATAAGCGGTTACCCTAAAGGGTTTTCATGCAATTACAGTGGTGATTCCGCCAACAGCAGCGTTGATGCGTGTAGGCGCCTCTCCTTAACCGCTTATTAGCATTCGACTGGCACATTGAATAAATCGTATGGTCCCAGTTGGCGAGAAAACGGCATTCTCTGCCAGCTTATAAACAAACGTAGCAGACATTCACAAGTATCTATAATACTACAGTACGCACTTAGATTGGTGTAGCTAATTATTGTCCAACGAGTATTCAAAATGACACTATTGAGGTGTTTTCCCAAATCACGTGATATACGGTGTAGTGCGTCAGATTATTATTTATATAAAAATAAACAAACAAAGCACTGTACACTGTACATTGATTGACAAGCGTTTTAATAATATTTAACATGTGACTAAGATCACATAAAACTTATGCGTAAGCAACACGCAACTGCCAAAATATTTGAAAATGTGTAGTTACTAAGTAATGTAGAACATTAGGACTATTTAAATAATGTTATATTGTTTTGATTGTATTGTGTTATTATTTGTTACAGTCAAGATGGTGGTGGGCGAAAATAAATGCACCGCCAATATCATGGACGGCATAGAGAACACAGGCGATGTGCGGCTACATGACCACCGGTTGCGACTCAAACAAAGGTACATATTGTAATAGTAGAGCTATTAATGATTTTGCAACCTTTTATAATGAATAAAATTGGATTCACTCTGAATTTTATACGCTGTTTATACAAACAAGCTGTGGTAATAATGCTGAGATTCACGAACGGTTATATGCAATTTGCATAATTCACAATAAGCTATTATGCTCCTCGTGGTTTACAGTATATGATGCTGGAGGTTTTAACACTTGGCTGTCTCAATATCTATTAGACTCGGCGTCTTATCAATAATTTTATTGTCTTCAAAAGATCGTGCTATCTATAGAAAGCAGACTTACTTTATTTTTTAGTTTTACTGTATATTAGGCCTGGCCATACCAGATTCTTATATTTTAATAAGAAGAGCCTTTGGATTTAATTTAAGCTGCTAAATATGACCACTGCCCACCAGAAACTGAAATACCATCCTCATAATCTGGTTAAATGGCGGTCATCCACCATGCATTTTTCCAGAAACTTTTTGCTGCTGTTGCTGTTGTGAGTATGTTTTTAATTTCCTACAGACGTCCGCTACATGACGTCATGAACAAGATCGCAGGGTGTCGATTTGTTCACCCACGGCGTTCCGATATCTGTAGGTGTAAAGGCCATTCCTTGCGTCACATTTAATCAAATTGAAATTAAGTAGGCAATACCCGTTATTCTTAAAAATAAAATATTTTTCAATCAATTATAATGAGGAGACGAACTAGTAATTAAATTGAGTTGACACCCTCGCTTTACAGCGACGAAGTGGTGTTGTTGTCGTTAAATCAATAAAAGCTTTTAAATTTAGACTAAAAAGGTCGCGACCTCTCTTGAGACGAAACATGCTTGTACTGCTAAGTCCGAAAGTATACGTAAGGCGTTTTAATGGTAGGAGCTTTTAAATTAAGTTTTGTATGAAGCTATTATTGAAATCAATTTAAAAAAATAACATTAAAAATACACGAATGTTGTTATATTAAGATTTACTTCAACAGTGCCGTAACTGGTAAAGTGCGAGTTTTATTCTAATGGGTTTATTTGAATAAATATCTTGAAGAGGACTTTATATAATGCATATATAGTGAGATATAAAATTAGTTATACCGGAAAGAAATAAGCATTAATGTGATTAGGATTTTCTTGGTTTAGATGCAACCTGGATATATAATGACATTTCTTTACAAAGGGTTTTCATAATTCTTCTCTAGCTAATTTAGCAAAATGTATATGAAGGATATATATATATATATTATTTAGATAAGGAATTAATAATTTCTCAAATATATTAAAGTGACAGATAGACAGTTAAAGTATCACTAGAAGGGTTTATTTTAGGGTCACAACCAGTAATCACATATAAAAAGTTATATACACATACACATATGTTATATACACAGAATAGAAGTGCTAAATGTAATTTAATTTTAAAAGCAATTCATTGTGTAGAAGGCATGTGTTACGTGGTGAATGCCTCGGCTCAGCACGAGGCCATTTCATTCAAATGCTTCTATACATTTATATTATACGAACACAATCCCTATAATGATTTTCAAAGTTGCACCATGATGCGCGTGGGTAGCGATTGATGTCTCGTGATCGTGCAAGTCACGAGAGGAATAGATCGTTGTTAGATATACATAGATTACTCACTTTCTTATTAAAATAATTTGCTAAACACGAGTAACAAACAGACGGTAATAAAACAGCTGGATTTTTAATAATATTAGTTAACATAGTGAATTTATGGACTATTAAGTATAACTTTAATAAGTCATACAAAAATGTTTCCAGAGCTCTATACAAATCAAAAACATTCTTATTTTGTCTCATCGGCGTGCCCCCGCTCTCTGGATAGGTTAAGCACTTAACCAATTTTCTTCGCGTCTTTTATCAATTCATGTTGACAACTGTCGTAAGGATAATTTGTTTATGACCAGTCTTGAATAGTACAAAGGTCACTACCACATTATGTTCTCTTGTATCTCGTTCTCGTTCTTGTATCGTCGTTGCACTGAAACTCGTGTAGTAAGGGTTCTCTGTACTGCCTGTCTAATTGGTAATTTCGTAAAATGACATACCCACGACATTAAAATCATCGTTTGCAGAGCTGGATCGCTTCCTAGATCTTTTCGACTGTAGCTAAATCTGAGCTAATTTCACGCGTATTATCTGCGGCTAACGATTTTATCCCCATCATCTCTACTCCAATTCTGTTCCTGGTTTTAGTATCATGTAGTAAAGATTAGTGCTGAGGTAGTTTGCCACAAGAGCCTAGTTTAGAGCATGTAGTTTATGCTGCTAGCAACTAGTATTATATACTATGAGCAGCAATTTGAAGGCGGTTTTCTTTGTTGAACTCGTTAGGCTCGTGAGGGAGTTAAGGTCTGAGTTTTTAGATAAAAAATTATTATTGAAGGTGGCGGGAGTTCGTTATAGCACTGGTGTCTATTATCGCCCAATTCACGCGTTGTTTGGCGACCATCTTCCTTCAAAAGTGCCTTCAGATGTTTTTCTTCGAATTCTTCATTTCGTCCGCTGCAAGGCTCGAGCTCAGTCATTTTTGTGCTGCACGCTCGCCCTCTCATCTTCTCTATACATGTTGCATATGTCCCGAGCTATTTCAGCTGCCTTTTGACCGTGATGATAAGCGAAGAAAAGCAGGTGTCGAAAATGCTGATTTTTGCCTCCTTGATTGTTGTTTTACTTTATCCGTAAACCAATCATTTGATAAACTTACCTGCGGAACTTCTTCTCCATTTTCTCCGTTTTCTTCATCACATTTCTCATTCTCCTGCATTGTTGTTATTGGCCATAGCCTGATAATATAGACTATATTACCATTTTCAACAAACGGACTAACCAAAACTAATATAAATTATCAATTTGAACTAGTAGGTCCTGGGACTAACAAGTTAAACCAAACATACATACAAACTATCCAGTTTTATAATATTAGTATAAATATCAACAGACACTCATGTCTCGAGTTCTTGACCTATTTACGTTATATATATCATACGGCTATATTAATATTATTTATCACTGACATAATAAATTATGTAATGTATGTAACTGATAAATATTGACAATGATTTCAAAACATCGCCGTCGTCAGCTTATCAGCCCTACCGCAATAATAGTGTGTACCCATGACGCATTGATTTGCTGTATCAGTTAAACTAGAGACGCTAATCAGAAGAGCAAATAGAGACGCTACAGCCACATTATACGCTGCTATTAGCCTAATCAAAACGCTTCACACGTCTTTCGTTCCATTTACTTTATATTGTTTGGATGAATAAAGCATTTTGACAATGCTTAATATTATTTACATATACATGATCATTGACATGTCGTCTTAACGATTTTGTCATTGCTATGTATCAATAAAATTTTCACAAACATATGGATATCTAATATCTGTAGGGGTAGAATGCACAGCGGCAGTAAATATAGTGAAATAAGAAAGTAAAACATATATATTTGGTAAAAGTAACAAGGCTCACATACGATATGTCAATAGAAAATCTTACGAACAATAGAAGATATTTTCTTTATACAAAATTCAAATTATCTTCTACCAATAACGGCCAGATATAAATTTAAGTTCCAACACGCCCCTTTAAATTTAAGTCGGTTAAACAGTACAAACATACAACACTTGTCCATCTACGGATACATCAGCTACCATCATTTCAATGAGTACATGTCTCACTTCTATCTTATCGTTGTCCCTTAATACGGCTCTGATCAAGTGATTTTAATATCAACATGTTTACTGCAAGCATGATACACACTAGGTCTTACGCGAAGTAAAGCGCTCCTTAGTTATCGGCATGTAAAGTAAAACGTACGTACCTAGATTGTCCGATTTCACCTAATAAAATATTAAGCTTAACAGCTTCTTTCAATCGCCTCAGACAAACTCACACATACTCAGCCTCACACGTCGATTACGCGACAATTCTTTGCTTTTATGACCTTCACCTAATATTTGCACCATCTGAAATAAAAATGTAACTAAAAATGAACGGTTATCCTAATCTACGTCCGAAAAACCCATACACCGACTTACCGGGATTCCTAAAAACTAGGACTTAATTTCTTTTCATTTATACGGCCACTTCGTTTTAAACTCTACCTCCTATTGTTTATATTTTACCAATTCATTACTTTGTTTTTCAGCATTTATTTCCATCTATCTATATACTGAATTTCTCCAAAATACATAATATATATTTTTGTTATGACAAAACAATGACATTGTCATTTCGTTGCATGTCAATCCCTAGCTCATATTTAGCTACACTAATTCGAACTCCTTTTGACAGTTCACTTTTAATCGTCCCATGCAACAATAATTTCTTCAATATATATTAAAACAAAATAAATAAACAAACATTTTGCCACCTTTTTAAAATATAAACATGGTTCATTTAAACTTTGTTTTTATTCCATACTTCTTAACTATCGCTATCTTTTTCTCATCTTTCTCTTTACTTAGAAAAACAACTTCTCGAGATAACTGAGCCTCCCCTACACAATCTTTGCCAGATTCATCAACATTCATCATCGTTGACTGCTGCTGCTGTTCCAGTGCTACCGTTCCATTAATCTTTCGCGGTCGCCCTGTTTTACCAGTTCGCAGTAGCTTCGGTTGACTAAGAGCTCGTTTTAGTACAGAAACACTATTGACGGTTCCTTCCATCTCAGGTCTCGATTCATCAATAAATTGCGATGAACCTCGTTTTCGTACTTTATTTTTAATACCATTCTGTAACTCATTCACGTTTACATTCGCACATTTATTATACACACACTTTCCATTCGGATGACCTAAACGTCTATGCCGCAACTGTACATCAACATTTCGTTCATTTAATATACATGCACTCTCAGATTCTTGAAAATAATATAGGTTTCCCTTGCGATAACAAGTAAATATTATTTCCCCATTTCTGTCCACGACATATGCAACATTCCGTTTAAACGTAATGTTATGCCCATTTTCAGTAATTTTCGAAACAGAAATTAAATTACTTCTCAAATCTGGTACGTACAAAGTATCATGAAACTTTAATTTGTTGACAATGTTACCATTACATGCCGATAAACAAACAGTGCCCTTACCTTTGATATTAGTACTCAGGTTTGTAGCTAAGTTTAGTTTATCCGAATTGTTGTTCAGAGATTCGAACTTACGCGGGTCGTTACATAAATGAGACGTGCACCCACTATCCAATATCCAGTCGTTTTTACACATTATATTGGAAGCATTGCATTGTTCTGGATCTGAAACATTATATAACATTAGACTATAGTTTTTAACGAAGTTTTGTGCTAAGTTCCCTCCTTGAGTCTCTCTCTTCTTTTTACAGTCCTTGGCTTTATGACCCAATTCGTGGCATTTATAACATTTAAACTTAAAATCTGTCTTTTCCTTTCTATTCTTAACGAACGATCTTCCATACTTTTTACTATGACAATACAGCACCCCTTCTGGTGGATTCGCCATTTGTCTCTTCGACTCGTACTCTTCCAAGATCTTAACTTTCAAAAAATCTGGATGGGGTACCTCATCTCTGGATTCTATGGCACACCTGAAGTTCTCAAAACTCGCCGGTAAACTGTATAATAACATTATGGAGAGCAGATCCTCGTGTATGTTTACACCCATATCACCCAACTTATCTACTGCATCAAAAAATCCATTCAGATGCTCTCGTAAGTCATCGGTTTCTACCATTTTATGTAGAGTCAGTCGTTTTAACAACGTTGCCTTTTTCGCTGGACCTTTCGAAGCATACAAAGATTCCAACTTAAGCCATACCTCGCGTGAAGTAGTGCACCCTCGTACGTGCCGCAACTCACCACCACTCATACATAAAATAATATCTGCTCGCGCCTTTTCATCTTCCGTTTCCCATTTCTCCAGCTCTGTTACATTCACTGGTCTTGGCTTACGCCCACTTACATATGGCCAGGCATTATTCTTTATAAGTAATGCCTGTACTTGAATCCTCCAACAGTCGTAATTTTCTCGATTCAGAGATTCAATCCTCACAGTTGGGTTCGCCATATCTGCTTTACAACGGAATTTCAAATTCACCAAAAATCACCTATTTCACTGATATTCCACATCTATTTATGCTATTCTGGCCTGTTCTGGGCCCATAACCATTGTAGGGGTAGAATGCACAGCGGCAGTAAATATAGTGAAATAAGAAAGTAAAACATATATATTTGGTAAAAGTAACAAGGCTCACATACGATATGTCAATAGAAAATCTTACGAACAATAGAAGATATTTTCTTTATACAAAATTCAAATTATCTTCTACCAATAACGGCCAGATATAAATTTAAGTTCCAACAATATCTATATAAAATCTAAATATATATAGCGTATTTGTCTTTTTGTTTGTTACCTTTTCACGACTAAACGGCTGAACGGATTTAAATGAAATTTGGCAAGAATATAGATTGTATCCCAAGGACGGACATAAGACGTAACCAAAAGTCGCTGGTAATTTAATTGGTAGTGTAAACCAAACTTTTTTATATGTATTCGGAAATAAAATTTGTTTGAATAGAATAGAACTAGCCGGTAAATATTTACCGGCTAGTTCTATTCTATATATTCCTAAACCATTACTTTACTGTGGGTATTTATTCTGTGTCGTTATACGAAACTATATCCATTGTATTATTGCCAGTTAGTTACTGACATAAAATATTCTATATAAATAGTATTAGCATATTATTACATACCATATACCGCGAGCAAAGTCATGGACAAAAGCTAGTAAATAAAAAAAAATCAAATATTAACGTTATTGCTTTATATAATTCCAGATTTGACATAGTCAGGAAATTAGGACAGGGCACATATGGTAAGGTACAACTTGGTATTAATAAAAAGACTGGACAAGAAGTGGCCATAAAGACAATTAAAAAATGCAAGATCGAGTCGGAAGCAGATCTCATTCGCATCAGGCGAGAAGTGCAGATTATGTCCTCAGTCAGGCATCCTAATATTGTACATATATATGAAGGTAATCATTATTTTCTTGTATTTTTCTTTAAATACTATTTTTGCGCAATTCATATTCATTGAAAAAGCCTGTTTTCTCAAATCATTTGTCTGTAACTTTTAACAAATTTTTATGAATACAAAATAAAATTGCATGAACACATCAATAATTTGATAATATATGAATGAATGGATATACTACATACATATTATAAAAGAAAATTAATGCCATACATTTTCATTTTATGATAATTTTAATTATGGTTTTAAAGGAGGAAAGGAGACTTCTTTTAGAAACACCAATTAATTAAAAATAATAAATTTATTAAATGCGTACCGCTTGATTGGAATAGAGATCTTTTCTAATAATAATAATAATACTATTAGATATTTTGTTGTTAATTATGATTTAGCTCCTGGTTTCTTTATAGGTTTACATAATTTAAAATCTACCAAAAACGTCTTTTTACAACTTGTTTATAAATCAATGACATGCAGTAAATCATTTGAATTTTGTTATTATTCAGCGACTTGAGTTTTAAACATAAATTGCAAATATTTCCTCATTACTTACACGTAACCTACGTGTATCATAAGGAGGAAAATATCTGCACTATTCCCTGTAAGACCATGTGGTCTTACAGGGAATAGTGCAGAGATTTTCCTTAACAAAATAATACATGTATGCAAATGTTTGCATACATGTATTATTTTGTTAAGGAAACAAACATGACGTCAATAAATCAAATGAAGCATAAAATGGATTACCTACGCTTTTACGCTCACACAAAATTATCTAATTGATATTTTAACGGTACATGCCTCCCACTTTAGTTTGTCAATTTCCTCGCTCAAACGCCCTTCCATTGGACCATAGAAGGTCGACACGGTACTTTGTATCTAATTAATGTTGCTTAATTAAAATAATTACTTTCTATTTATTTCAGTATTCGAAAACAGCGAAAAAATGATTCTAGTTATGGAATACTGTTCGGGTGGGGAATTGTATGATTATCTTAGTCAGAAAAAAGTATTACAAGAAGATGAAGCTAGAAGGTCAGAATCTTCAAATTGATCATATAATGACTCTAATCTTTGAAAGTATTTTCATTATAAATGTTTTATTTTTCAGATTATTCCGACAAATCGCAACCGCTGTTTATTACTGCCATATACATAAAATTTGCCATAGAGATTTAAAGTTGGAGAATGTATTACTTGACGACACGGGGAGTGCCAAGGTTTGTATTGTTATTACGTTTTTATTTCTGCCTAAAATTAATTTTCTAGTATTCCAAAGAAACTTTTCAATTATTCATGTTCGTCTAGTTGTAGTCTGAGAGCTGTTAGATTTAGCTGACTTCTAAGGAAGTATTAGAGGCAAGTAGACTTGACTGACAAACGTTTCCTATGCTTCTCAGACAGAACTGCACATGTGGTCACATGTACAATTTTGTAAAAAAAAACTCATCCTACTATACCTCCGACGTAATACACTAACTTTTTTGCCGTTTTTAGAAATGGTATCTCTGTAAATATATAGTTTGATTCGCACAATCAAACTATATATTTACAGAGGATGAGTTTTTAGCTTGCCTCTCCTTCTCAGAATTATCTACCAGCTCTCCTACTACATATTCTACTCATTGTGATCTAATGTTGCACCAACTGTTAGAAACTAAATCGCACGAGCACTACTCTCAAATTTTTTTAAGCTAATAAATTTTATAATCTAGTTGAATAATATAGTGCCCAAAAATGTTGAATTGCATGTATAGTCCATAAAAAGTGTATTACATTGTTTACAGATCGCAGATTTTGGCTTATCGAATGTTTTTAAAGAGACGTCTTTGCTATCTACATTTTGTGGTTCGCCGTTATATGCGTCACCAGAAATCGTAAAAGGAACACCATATATAGGTCCAGAGGTATTGAAACAATTATTATGGTTCATTTTTTATGCCGGTCACGTTTTCACCCCGGTGATGTACCACGCCTAAAAAACCAAACGTGACGGGCGACATATCTATAGACTTTCACCTGATTCAATTCGGACGAGATACATTTATCTAAAAGTACAATTAATACGCCTTCTTTCATTATATACTACCTTTTTTTATATATTTGGTTTTTATATATTATACATATAAACCTTCATCTTGAATAATTCTATCTATTACTAAAAACAGCATTATAATCCGCTTCGTAATTGAAAAGATCTAAGCGATGAGCGGTAGCGTTCTTTTGAATCTTTATGATTGTGACGCTTCGTTTTGCCATTGATAGGGGTTTTTTAATAGTTGAACATAGCCTCCGGACGGGAAGGCTGAAAAGATAAGAATGAAATCAAGTTAAGAATTAAACAATAGGGTTTTGAAGGCAAGGCAAGTCGCTTGGAAATCCCTACCATCAATAGAGTTAGGAATACCGGCTTCCATTCTAGTTTATGATTGAAGTTTTTTTATTATCATTATTATATTATTATTTTCCTAATCAGGTGGATTGTTGGTCGTTGGGTGTGCTACTGTATACCTTAGTCTATGGAGCCATGCCGTTCGACGGCTCAAACTTCAAGCGATTGGTCAGACAGATCAGCAATGGCGATTACTATGAGCCAAAAAGCCCATCAAGTAAGCGATAATAAATATTATAAGTGTATAACTTCAAAAGTACTCGGTTATAATAAGAAATAATAATAATAACCCTGGACAATTCACATAGCGCCATCTAGTATTAAGTTAAGCAGAGCTTGTGTTATAGGTATTAAACATCCAAAGAGAAATGAAGAAATATTTTTATGTATATACATAATTTATTACAAACCGCCCAGACCTAGAGTCCTATATAAACATAATTCTAATGAATTAAAATGTTTGCATCGTGTGAGGAATGGAACCCGCGATTATTGGAAGCAGTCGTTGCGCAAACCGCTAGACTAGAGGCCCCCATAGTAGTACTATGTTATATTTTTTCCATACTTTTTCATTCAATGTTTTGATTTATATTTTCAGCTGCGTCACCTTTAATTCGAGATATGCTAACAGTGGATCCGCTAAAGCGTGCTGACATCGCATATATCTGCGACCATCCGTAAGTTACATAATATCTAATTATGAACATTTACTTGTATTATGTGCATACAACAAAAATTAACTGATCGCTCTCTGTACATGAAAGATATTCCTTTTTGCTTTTTATTATGATTGATTGTCGTATTTTAGGTGCAATTCTTTTGAGATTTATTATTATACTGTTAGTCTATTTGTCTGTGCGTGGAATTTCCACTAACGTATTGCAGCAACTTTCACTTAAACTGTAATATTACTGCTTTATCATACTCCCAAACACAGTTTACGCAGGCTGATATAGATGAGACAAAGTCTACCCTTGGTAGAATCTTCTCTGTTTTGCATATGTAAAGGTTTAAGAGTAATGTCGGCTGTTTAGTTGGGTGAACACGGGATGCGGCGCGTCGTGTCTGGAAGTTGCGGAGGCTCTGGCGGCCGAGACACCCGTGCGACTCGACCTACTGCTGTCTCTCGCGCCCGCCGCGCCCTCTAACTCCAACTCCGTCGTGGTGCCAGCAGAGGTATGTTTCTTTCGTTTTTCATTCTTATATTTTAGCTACGAAAATTCCTTGAATAAATTTTTACCTATGGTACGAGGTAAAAAGAATTATTCTTCGCAGACTCTTATAAAATCAAATATTGTTTGAAATGCGTGGTTGCGACATTTATATTTAACTGAGTGGTATCAATTTGGACACATCATTAATGTCACTGTATTTCGCCAGATAGATGTACATAACATAGAGTAGTACTGGTCGGCTTCATTCCAAATTATGTCTCATTTTCTGTCATGCACGTGTCCATTGTCTTAACGAATGAAGACTTGAACTAAGCTGCTAATTGTCCATAATTTTTGGTGTAAATATATTTCTTGATAAGAAATATTAAGAAGTAATTGAGTAACTTCAGTAATTAAATTAAAATACTCATTTTGTAATGCACAATATAGTTTTATTATAATGATTACTATTATTGAATGTTTATTTGCTGATACACTACTGATGAAGATTTAAATGATTAACAGACTCCACTAGGTCCCGAGGAGAGCTGCACTGACCTCACAAGCTCCACTTCGATGGCAGTTGAACCCAGCAACTCGGCCGAAAAGAGGATCCTCGAATTAGTTGCAGGTTTGTACAAACTACAGAACTATATGTACATGTCTTTTTGTGACTTATTCAGTATTTATTTTATTTAAATACTTAAACTTTTTTGTTGTCAATCGATTTTAAATTATGTGCATGGGAAATATTTGATTGTATTTTATTTGTACAATATTTGCCCCAGTTCTAAATATATATATTTTTTTCTATCTAAAAAGACATACGAGGTTGTTATGATAACAATTCAAATTGAGCTTTCTTGATGAATAAAGCTTAAAATTGCTACTATAAATATTTTTTCTGTTAAAGAGGGTGGTGAAGACGCGATAAAACCATCGCCAACTCGTACGATAGTGACTGCAAGCGACAACAAGAGGAAATTAGAACTAGCCATGTCTGCTAGCGGCTTGCAGAGAAAGAAGGAAAGGGTGGCCAGGTAAATACTGATTATTATTATTATTATTATAAACAAAATCTCCTTCAAACCCTTCTGAAGAATTACTATTTTGGCCAGTTCAAAAATTAAGAAATGGTTATGTTGAATAGTTGAATAGTTCCAAAATATAAATAATACTAGTTATACCCGCGGAAGTTTATAGCATATACATATTATTCTGATGTATAAGCTATATTACTGTAAAGTTTCATCAAAACCCGTTCAGTAGTTTTTACTGGAAAAGAAATATAAATGCGAAAGTTTATGAGTATAACATCCATCATACTCATAAACTTTCGTATTTATATAATATAATAATAATTAAGATTACATTAAGTATTTTTTTAAAATAGACGCATTCGATTATAGTATTAGACTCAAGTATAAATCCAATGGAAATGGCAAAAGCACCAAGCCGTTATGATATTTTTGTTTGTTATTTTTTATACATTAACACTTATATCAAATTTTCACTAATAGGTGCGGTGGGTGTTCAAAACGGATATATCCTTATAAGAAAATGTGTTATCTTTAGAAAAACCGCACCAAATGTGTTATGAAAGAGCGTTGTGGTATTATAGTATAGATAATAATAAAAATATCTATTTGTTTCATTGTAGTACCGCAAGTATGGGCCCGGCACCGCCCGCAGTGCCGGAAGAGTCTGCGGGAGATGCCTCGCCACCAACACCCCCAGTCGCTGCCGAAGCGGTAAGTTACTTCTTATAAGAATTACTTTGATTATGTAAAACTATTTTCAATTGTCCCCGCAAACCAAAGCGGTCTGCTTTATCTATAATTAGCTGCCCGCCCGGGGCATTATACATATAAACCTTCATTTCGAAGCATTAGAAGAAGCCTTTCTATTTATTAAAAACTGCATTAACATCCGTTGCGTAATTTAAAAGATTTAAGAGAACATGCTGTGTAAAGATGCAGATTCTATTTCATCATAATATATCATAAACTTTACTTTACTTTACATTAACAGAGTATTATCTCAAATTAGACAGTCGCGGGTATTCTCCTGTCGGCGTTGTGGTGAATGTAACACTTAACATACTTGGGAATACGAAATGCAACATTGGGAAAGGGTTTGTTAATAATGTGAATTTCTAAGTACATTGCTAACAATGTACTATGACAGGTTAATGTTCACGCGGTTCCGTATGGAAACCATCATGTTAAAATCCTGGTGAATTTACCACGATGGGCTAATTAAACTGACCTGATACTCGTCATCCTCCACAGGTGCTCTACTAGCTCATACCGTTAGCGCAAGCGGATGTACCATTCCATTATCAACAGTAGTATAAAAGATTAAATTGATTTGCTGACTGAACAGAAATATAGCTTGATACACGAATTCTGGGATCTAAATTAAAGTACTAAACTACTAGTTTATGATTTTGCATTTAATATTATTCTTTTATGTCCATCAGCCAACTCTAAAGTCTTCGGCTACAATTACTATTCAGCCAGCGGCAACGGAAATCGTAAAAGATCTCACGAAGGAAATTGTCAAGCCGCCACCAAAGGAGGAAGTTAAAGAGAAGCCCGTCAAAACGAAGGTTACGGTCAAGAAGAAAGTGCCTAAAGCGTCCGAGGAGAAAGCGGTGCCTGCTAAGAAGGAAGAACCCAAAGTGAGTATAACTTTATATATTACCACAGTGACAGGCCAGTAGTGTAATAGCCATAAGGTCTTAGTTGATTTCACTTATTGATAATTTTAGTTTTAAATATGACGTTCTTAAATATAACATTGGAGCGCAGGAGTCCTGCCCTTTTATTAATTTCAGATATTTTTAGATAAGTTAAACTTGTAAACTAAATAAAACACTTATTTTTTTATTTAATAATATGTTTTTAGATTTATGCTAAGACATTATTTTAATATACCCATTTTGACGGCCTATCTGACGGTGGTTTATCACACCGCCTAACTTCTGATAGTCATGGGTTCGTTTTCTCGCACGGCACATACATTTGTACACATGAGTATGATTCATCGTATTGGTCTGGGTGATTTATATGTATGTACACATATTAATGTATGTGTTTATGAAAAAAACTACGTATGTATCTGTATCAGTTATCTAGTGCCCATAACAAAAGCTAGCTAAACTAGCTTAACTTGGGTCTAGATGGCGCTGTGTAAATTATACTGAGATTATTATTATTATTATTAATATTATATCTACATGGCAAGTGTTGCATTTACCATAACGTTGACAGTTGATAATGCCTCTGTCTACATTTCTGAACATTTAATCGTATAGATTTATTGATAGACTAAAGTAATTATTTTGAAATGAAAACAGCAAGAAGAGGCTAAAGCAAGTTCAGTAGCGGCCACAACGGACAAGATGACATCGTTATCGCTCGCACAGTCGCCGCCCGCCACACCTGCGCCGGCCCCCGTCGCCACACCCGCCACAGCCGCCACTACCGCCGCCGACGCCACCACCACCTCCACCACCACCACCACCAACACCGCCGCTCCTTTCTCCGCTCCCGCCCCAACTACCACTCCTGCACCCGCTGCCGCCCCCACGGCATCACCGGCCAAGCCGAAGAAATTGTCTATACCAGGTGATTACATGATTAATATATTTTTAGCTTATACAAATACTAGCTGTGGGCACAGCGGCTACGCTCGCTTGTTATTTTTAGCCTGTGTACTGTAAAATTTCATAAAAATCCGTTAAGTAGTTTTTGAGTGAAAGACTAACAAACATCCAATTATCCTAACAAACTTCGCATTTTAAAGTTTGTTAGAATTCTTATTCCATTAGATTACTACTAGTGTTTTATAAAATGAATAATTTTTAAAGGAATGTAAATCGAAATATAAAAAGATATATAATAGACCTGTAGGAATCGACGAGTGCAGATTAAAAGTAAAAAATTAACAAATTGGGGAAAAACGTCATTGATTTATATGCAATTCTTTATATTTAAATGTACAACCAATCATGATATGTTTATATTTTTAAAAATTTACGTTTTATTTATATTACTTTTTGTACAGGAGGAAATGTTGGCAATTTCAAAGATCAGTTCGAGAGACGAGCTTCACTGACTGCCGCTCCGGAACCAAAACGCACTGTATCTAAACCAGGTATGATTCAATCAAACTAACTTAATATTTAACGATGTTTTCAGATGTCTATATGATTTAAATATTATGATATTTTTCAGTGTTGTCAAAGATCGCGAAACCTAAAGCTCAGAGCGAGGACCGCGAGCTGACGACGAAGAATTCTGACAACGGCACCGTACGGTTGCAGCAGATAGGCATCGAGCCATCGCCAGTAAGTTCCTATATTGAATTTAGGTTGAAATAGCTTTTACCAGCGATTTCGGTTGGGTTAGCCTTATAAAATTCCATAAAAACCAGGAACTTATCTTCATCTTTCTTGTTTCTCTTCTTTGTATCCGAAATGTTGTGTTATACATTAAATTTCGTCGTGAGCAGTTAATTCCCCAAACATCTAAAAAAAAATAATCGACAACAACATTGTGGGATTGGTTCATTCTTCTTTTATTTTGTGTTAAAAATATATGACCATTTTTTCTCAGTCAACTGCATTTGCGTACACTTTGATTTATTGTTATTTTTATCTAAATCTAAGTATTATGATTCTAAACTTACACGAACTACTGCAACGTAATTAATTACCGCTAGAACATTTTTGCAGACTTTATTTGTTAAACACTGATTAGAGCCTCTTTATATAGCAAAGCCCGTCGGAGGAAGTCGGTCTGGGTGGCAATGGTACCGGCCGTGGTGTGAAGAAGGCTGACAGCGAGCCGTCGCACTCTTCCGCTCCACAAGACCCCGGCGTGCTGCTGCAGGATGCCAGAAGGTAAGAAACCACTCTCCTACATATAATGTTCATAGCTAAATAAGATAATATTAATAAGTCACATCTAGTGAGCAAAGTCAATTTATTATTACTCAATGAACTATTAATTAAATGTGTATACTGTTAGTTGTTCATGCATTTAGTTATTTTTATTACAACAAATTTTGTATATTAGATATTATGATATTTTTCAGTTCTTCCAGCAATAGTATTTTTGAACTGATACAATATTGAAACCTTAAAGAAAAGAGCTTAATAATTCTTGAAAAATGATTATGATTGAATATAGTTTCTTACTGATTCCGCATTGATAAATATTCCATCTGTCTGCTAATCTGCTTACTATGGTTTTTTATAAAAAAATATATTTCAGAAGTCTACAAAATTCGATGGCGAAGTTAGCAGAGGAGAAAGCTGGTGAAGAGAACCGCAGACGGGCTGCGCGGGACATCATATCATCAGCTATACGTACTGGTAACAATATATACTTAGTCTGTAGGCAAAAAAAATATTGTGGAACAAAATAAATCCTTGACTTTCGTTAAGAATATCAACCAATATCAATCAATTGGTTCGCTAAATTTCGATTCGGCAATTTTGATGTCGAAGATGCACCACGCTCGGGAAGGCCGGTTGAAGCTGATAAAGACGCGATAAAGGCAATGATGGATACGAACCGTCGAATAACAACACGTGGGATCGTATTGAGGTTAAATTTATCAAATTCAACAGTTTATGACTACTTGAAAGGCCTGGGATGTTATTATAAATGTTGTTATACGACGGTTCGGTGTATCGATACTTCGTTAGTGTTTAAAATAGGTCGCCAATGTAATCAATTAGACGATGTAAAATATGCTATGTCTGCTATATTAAATTGGTTCACATGTAATAATTTATTATTGAACTTAACAAAACTAAGTGTATTAAACTCACGCTTCCTAATGTAAGACTATATATATAATAATTTCTATTTCTTAATGATGAAATAGTAAATTTTGTTAATGATACAGTTTTTTTAGGAATAACAGTAGACTCGACAATGGGGGCCCCATATTTCAAAATTAGCCAGTAGACTTAGTTCTGTTGCTTATGCAATTAGAAGGATAAGGATATTAATAGACGTGGCGACGGCAAAACTTGTATATTTTAGTTGTTTCCATAGCATTATGTCATATGGCATACTGCTATGGGGTAAAGCTGCCGATGTAAATACTATATTTATTTTTACAAAAGAGAGCCATACGTTCTATTTATGGTATGGGTTCTAGAGAGTCATTACGTGAATGCTTTAAAGAATCAAATGTGCACACAAATGTCGTCTACACAAAGTTAGTAATTCATTTTATGGTAATTGCGTGAGATTCTATAATAAACTGCCAGAAGCTACGCTAAATCTGACAGAGAGGCAATTCAAATTTTATATTAAACAAATGTTATGTATGTAAAAAAGCATATTATAGGTTGGATGAATTTATAGATGACTAGCTGTACCCGCGACTTCGTCTGCGTAAAATAGTGACCTTGACCAAATAATTAAAAAAGTATTTAATGACCTAACCCAATAAAATCCAAATGAAAAAGTTTCATCATTTTAGCTTCATAAATGATGACACTGCCATACAATCTTTCATAACTCAACCCTTTATAACTGTCTTTATACAACACGTCAATAGCTATATTTATACGACACTTCAATAGTTGCCTTTATACAATCTTGCAATTACCATTTCAACCACCTTACAACACTTTTTCCGCATTCAAAAGTATCCAATGTGCTTTCTCAGGATCTAGACTAATTGTGTACCAAATTTCACTTAAATCTGTTCAGTAGTTGTGGCCTGTAAGTGAGACGATAATAATGGATAAAGCAAACATGTGCCTATTTTTTTAATTTTATTAATATATCCAGGCAAACCACCGGTGCCATACGGGCGTTCGTCGTCGGCGGGCGTGGCCTCACTCATATCGGCTACCTCGCCCCCCACGCCCCCCGCGCCCGCACCAGCGCCGTCGCGTGTATTCCGTACCGAAGCCCAACACCGTGTTGAAGATCATCGTCCAAGGTTAATATTTTTTTTATTAAAAGGTTTTTTATTAAAACATTAAAAAGACCCCCTCTTTATATATCCTTATCGATAGACTTATCTATGCGGGTGAAAATTCAACGGGTGAAGTTGTAATACTTAGTACTTACTACCTTGAGGCTAGTGTTGAAAGACGTTAGAATGACACCTGTAGACGGGATAATAATTGGGAGAGGTATTACAGTTTCTACTGCCCTATATAAAAATATAATATAATATTTTTTATTCTATTACCATTTTTTTCCGTATGTGTTGATAGAAGATTAATTATGATTATTAAAATAAAGATATGTACTGCTGGATAGGGGTGTGTCTGTGGAGCGAATCATACCGATCCGCGTGGCACCCGAGGACGGGCCGATGTCGCCTCAGCCGCAGCCGCAGTCGCCGGCGACACCGGCGACACCGGCGACACCAGCACCAGCGGCAGTACCCGCCGCCCCCAGGCTCTCGCAAACACCACTCAGGTATGTTTACGAAGTAAGACTCATAGTATGTTTGACTTGTGATTAGTCAGTGATAAACGATGCGTTTATGTTTATTTACTGTTTATTGTTGAATTCCTTCATTTTTCTTCTGTTTATTAATGGTCTTGACGGTGTAGTAGGTTTCTGTGTTAGTTCACCTTTCAATAGTTGTGTGTGCGATTTTCATACAACGTTTTTTATTTAGTGTACGCATCGATACAAATTCCAAACATTTTGTAAAATCTGTTTGGCATATAAAAAAAAATTAAAACTAAATTGAAATGATTTGAAACATACTCACTTCATGCGCGATCATAAAACAAATAGTAAAAAAGCGTACGATTGCGCACGCTGGAATATCCATGTTAAATCGCGTGCGCTCCTGATCGCTGATCGCACGTGAAATAATGTGTCAATTAAAAGCAGCAATTAAATTGTTATTGGTTTCTAGGGTAGACAGGCACGTACCATTGTTATTGTACAATACTGTCGATAAAAGTTCATAAATAAGCATAAATGCGTACCAAACCAGACGGCTGGTGTCGTCGGAGTCGAGCGCGAGCGAGGCGTGCACGAGCCCCGGCGAGCCCATCAAGAAGTCCGCGCGCGAGTTCATCATCCCGATCGCGGTGGAGGGCAAGGGGTTCGTGACGCCGCGCCAGCGCAGCCTCGAGCCAGACGCCGCGCCCGCGCACGCCTCGCTCTCCTCGCTCTCCTCGCTCTCCTCGCTCGGCAGGATGCAGCGGACACCCAAGCCCAGAAGGATCAGGTATATATACATACATATACTTATATGTACTAGTTGATACGACAATCGTTGTTTGCCATATAAATGAATAATGCTATTAAAATTTAGAGTTTAATGGTAGAAGGGTGATAATTTATGGTTATATGTATTTTTAATGCAACATTATAAAAAAAATAAAAATCAACCTGTTACGGACTAGTATGGTAACTAACATTGTGATACGAGAATTTTATGTATAAGAATAATTATTAATATTTGTTGGGCGTCTAAAAGGTATATAAAATGCAAAATTGACAAAACAGGTATACAAATAGAAAGTGTATGAATACCTGCATTCATAGGAGGCTGCTGCACGGGAAGCGCATACTATTCTGCCATGACCGGATTATTCGTATGTGTTGTGTTGTGTATGTGTTTAGGAGTCATCATTTATCATAATCTGCCTTAAAAATATATTGGTGTCTAGATATTAAGTCTAATGTACAGTGTGATGCAGAAAAAATATATTTAAATTATATTTTTCTATTTAATCTTTATTTCACCAGAAATGTATTAAACAAATATAGATTGTATTATATATATATATATGACACCTGCAAATCTTTTAACAACTGTTGAGTGCTGTAAAAATAATACAAAGTGTTAGTTGACAAAAGGACATACATGAAAACATCAAATAAGATACTCGTACAAGCATATATATTACTTATTGAACTAGATTTGTTCAAAAAGATAAACCTGTTTTCTCTATTTCGATATATTTAGAAATAACTATTTTAGTTGTATTTATGGTTCTTCTTCTTATTATTTATAGCAGCCTAGTCAGTGGTGGAGAGTCCGAAGAAGAAGACGATACTCATATGCACCGATTGAGGTAATTACTATATTATCTGTTTCCATAGTTTGTATGACTAACCCACAATATTCAAAGAAATGTTGACGTTAGTGCTGATATTTGCGATTGCTATTCACCGTTGTCATATAAAAAATACAAATATGAAGAAAATAGATTATATACGGACAAAACGATCTAATTATTGTTATAATAAACACAAGTTTTATATTTATTTGGTGGTATAGATACTAGCGAGAATTGTTGTCTATGACTATTGTTATGGCCGAACATACATACACAATTACAATCTATACAAATAAATAAAATCGAAGTTTGTAATTTTAATTTAACAGCTTTTTTTACTAAATCCACATAAAAGTGTATATGGTACTTACATTAAAAAGGTAATATATTTTTTTGTCTGTCTGCTTGTTCCTGCTAATTGCTGAAAAGGCTGGACGGCACTTCGGACACCCAGATTGCTAATATTATACGGAGTAACTTCGACTACTTTTATTTTATAAATTATATTTATTTATATTTTAATAAAAGTTATATCGACGCGGTCTACGGTTGTCTAATATAAAAACATTGTTATTTGGTGTGTAGTAAATCGCATATAACAATGAAAACATTCATTTGCTGCATTATTTTAGGAGTTACCATGCCACAGTCAGACTTAATGATATTTTATGTGAACTGTACAAAGTGGTCATCGCATTTTATCATTGTACTTAATCAATAAATTAATCAGAATCATTCGACTGTTCCAGATCCTCGCGCGCCGCTCGCGCCGAGTCGGTGAGCTCTGGAGAAGAAGACGAGGAGGATGAAGGGTTCCACATACTCACTGCTGAGAATCTTTTCTCAACACTACTCCATAGGGTCAGTACATTTAATAATGCTACAGACATTTGTTAAATATGTATGTACATATATGTAAATACATACCTATGAGCTCCTTTTATATTTTTTAATTGTAATAAATTGAGAAATAATTAGAGCCTAACACACACTGACACAGCTATTAAGAGATTATTTCCTATAGTGGAATTCGTGGAATATAAATTTTCCATTTTGTCAGAAATATAGACACCAAAAATTATTGATTAATAATAATTGTTACTGACCTAATCTACTTTTCATTATCTAACTCTTGTTTTCAATTTAACGAAATGTTTCGGGTATATTATATATATATCGATATTTTGGGCGATCGTCAAGAAATTTTATCGTTTAAAAAGAGTACCTTCGGTGTAAAATATTTATATTCCAAGTACTTGTTTTTTATTTCTAAAAGATATGTATAATTTAGGTGCGAGCATTAACGAACCGCCTTAACGGCGAAGAAGGCCCCGGATTCCCGCAACACCCGCATTCGCTCTTTAACAATCTACAGTCACCGTTCTTTAACAGGTACATCAATATATAATAATATCAATTTGGCTTAAACATTTAACTTTGTGGTCAATACCGAGAGAACAATGCGTCTGAATTAGGTACTCCTGCAAATGGCAACACATGGCACACCACGGTCGTCACATGATGATGTGATGTCCGTGGTGCTGGTCACGTATATAGGCGACGGTATCCACTCAAAATCAGGTGGGCCGTTAACTATAATAAAAAAATATTTTTCATAAATTGGTTATTACACTATCATAATTGTTTGATCGTAATGTACAGTTTTAAATAAAAGATACAATATTATCATATTCATTTATTTCATGTATATTTGAGTGATGTACTTTTTATTTTGAAGGTCCATCAATACTCAATATTCGATAGTGTTGGTCAGATGTGAACTTATATATATAATAATGTAATAACCCTGTCATAGAATTTACTTCCCAATATAACGATCAAATAACCAGAAAAATTATATTCTCAATAGATAATATGATGTTATCACGATAAATATTATGCATTGTTTCTCTCTGTTTGTTTTTAGTATTCCTGCCTAAAATATTAAATATTATTTGGTTTTTCTATTTATGAGATCATGAAATAAACCTTTTACATTTATTATTAGAATAGATATAACAGTTACAATGTATTAATGTAACATTATTACATATGGCTGTGAATATAGTTACAAGCTACAATTCAGTGGAAATGTTTGAACTTCACATATATTTTGTATGATGCATAATATGACAAGTATCTTTACTTCGTTATTTTACAGTATCATATATGTTTATTCTTTATTTAATATGATCATTATAGATTAGGTAAATAATTTATGATCCATTTAATGTATTGATAATACAAGATATGTATAATGTAGCTTTGTAAAAAATTGTGGGATTATTATATGTCTTCTATTCGTACTCTATTCAATTTTATAATATTTAAATATGACAGTGTAATATATTGCTTGTATCATGGCTGTATAATTAAATGAAGATGAAGCCAATATTCCACCGAATTGTACTGATACCATGATTTTATAATTTTGTATTCCAACTAAAATCTTTTTAATTTTGTGCATGCAGCCCTCACTTACCAAGGAGACACCTCTTGTGAGTATACATTTCTTTTTCTAATAAACGTCTTGTGACACGAAACGGCTTGTAAACATTCCTAATATAAAATAATCAAATAACACGTTATATTCACATAGCCACAATTTTTCTTCGCTAAAATCTCGCTACCAACGATCGTTTCGATAAAAGCAATGCATTGATTCTATACACGTCAGACTGCATATATATATGAGCACGTTTCTTTATTCTTTCTTTTTACATATTTCCTAATGGAAATATGGAAGTTACATGTATAGAGTACTTACATACTTGTGTCATGGTACAAGTATTGCTAAACTAGTCGCGGGCTGTGAAATTTTGGCGTCGCAAAATTTTTATCAATGAAAAAAGATCAAACATAGCAAAAGTGTACGTTAAGCAGGACTCTACTATTTACCATCTTCAAAGTACTTTCAACATGGCGAGTCTTCATAAAATCTTGACTGATACTATGAAATATGTTAGCATGAGAGACCATTACCATTGACTATTATGTCTTTGATTTGATGAATTGATGATGAATTGAATTATCATTAAATAAATGACCGATTCAGTGGTATGAATGGATTTAGTCAATGTAGAAAAAGAAAGAAATAAGAATTTATTGAGAAATAAACTAACACGAGCTCAAACAAACACATATTATAAAAATAATGATTTCGAAATAAATATTGCTTATACTATAAAAAGAAACAAATTAGAAAATATTCTAGCTTGGTCTAAAAATAAAAGTTACCTACTTATGATATTGAGATATCATTTCACCGGTTTATATAGTTGATGTTTATCCTTTTTACATGCAGCACTCATAGATATGTGGAAAGTAAACGAAGTGTTTCTGAAACGTAAGTATCGTAATGGCAAATCTATTCTTTTTAAAACAGTAAAAAAAGGAAATCGTAAATGTATATTTATTATAATGATGAGCAATTGTATTTAAGAGTAAGGACAGAGTTCTTTTAATTCTGCTCGAACTGCTTATAATATGATATAAGCTACTACATACACAAGAGTGCTACTTCCGAATGTTTGAAGTTTTTTAGAGTTTAATTTGTTATTTGTAAACATACATCGTATAATGGTACTTAAATATCTAACACGTTACTATCTATGTAGTTAATATTATATTTACTTTACTCTCGCATTTTGCGTCGTCTCAAAAAATATCGTAAAACTGTTTTGGACATTGAAACATGTTGGAATGACCATTATGACCCTAATGCTTCAAACTTTGAAGACCGCTGGCATAGAATAATTGCAACCGAGGTAATAACATACTGTAAACATGATGGCCGCATACGTAATTTAGGATATTAATTTATTTCTAATTTTTCAACTGTTCCATGTATTCGCTCCGTTGCCGTATAATGGAGTTTTGTGTGTATTAATGTATAGTTTGTATGTGTACAGACGCGACGGGTGGGGCTCCCGCGAACGCGACTTCGACTCGATGTTCGGGCGACAGCCGCTGCCTCGAGGTGAGTGTGGCGGTGCGGCGCCGCTCGCCGGAAAACGTCGCCAATAGTTGCTACGTCGCCACGTTACACCCCCACACCCGCCCACACCCCCTACAGTATCGAATAATAAGTATCGATATTTTTTTCATCGATAAAAAACGATTGTCGATCCGTTTCTATGGATAATACTGTTGATTATTAATTTGCGACATATTCATTATGCCTAAAATTAGTACCTGTACCATATTTATAGTATCAAGTATAAAGTAACGTCTTCAATATCGATACTTTTTCCGTATACCTTCCCACTCGCAAGCCACGCTTGTCGGCACGTGCACACGATCCGTTACTGGCGGTTTCACTGTCCTTACTTCAATATGTTGTAATTTTTATAATGCCTCTATATGATCAGCCGTTATGGGTCAATTCATACAAAACGCAATTAATGTTCAATCGATTATTGGCAAATGCCAATGATCGAACATTAATTTATTGTATATAACTTATTCCAATATTTATTTATAGTATGTAGCATTCAAAGTGAGAAGAAATTTGTAAGTGTTGTCAAATTTTTCAATAATGTCGTATGTTGTAAAAAATATTGTGTTGAGACAAAATTATAAATTAGAACTAACAGAAAAATTATCATATCTTATTAATTGCATTACACATTTATATTTAACATACATATGTGGATAATAAAAAGAGCATAAAATGGTACAAGGAAAGGAGCAACATTTCTAAAAAACCGGTAACACATGTGAAATTCCTTTGATGTATATAATGTATTGGCGGAAATTACAACATACTTCTAGGCGACTACATTCAATAAAAAAATAAGGTGAGGCATTATGTACGTCGTCTTACCCACCATAGGCATTTATGATCCTGGCTGATCGTATAGAGGAACTATAAAATAATGTTGTCAGTAATTTAAATGTCCAAAAAGAATTCTGTTAAAGTACTTCCTCTAAATTCTAAATTTAAAACCTGACAAGATTTGGCTTTCATATTAGGCTCTCATTATAGTTAATGTAGCACAGTGTATTGTCGCATGCGCAACAAGCCGAGTGGAATAGTGGCACCATTGTCGCACTGTAGTTAGCGCCGCTCGCTCGGTCTACACCTCACAACAAAGCTTGCACTAAACAAATGAATTAACTATTCATACCATACCGCGCCGTCGATGTTCGAGTTGTACAGCAAACATATTAGTGACGTTTTCCAATGGCAGAGTCGTTTAATATGAGCAATAACCGAAATAATAGATTGTTCTCTTCTACTCTGACTAGACTACGCGTCTATACATAATATTCGAGTGTGTGTAATTTTCACTATTTCACTAACATTTTTTTTATTAATAATTTTAACATTGTTTTGCATCGTAGTGTTATATTTTGTGTATTCAAATAGCATTCTTTGTGCAGGTGTTGATTTTCTCCTCCCCGCTAACATTAGCAGGAAAATGTTGCGTTATTATCAGTCGTCATAGACATTCAGTTCATTGTAGTATCAAAATTTTGCATGACGTTCACGAAAAGGCATTATTACATCACACGATCGCATCGCCTGTGGCAATACAGTACTGCGTATATGAAAAAAATATCAATCAAATTGTCCTGAATATTTCAGTAAAAAAGAACAGTATTGTCAACAGACTTACAGTTAATTTGTTTGTAAAGTGATCATAGCATCAATGTGTAGCTAGTGGATGTGGTAGAAGTCTATGTAAGACGAGTACGTCGGATACCGGGGGCAGTGGGGGCCACGGGGTTGCGGGGGCCATGGGGCTGCAGGGGCTACGGGTCCACGGGGCTACGGGTGCGGCGGGGGCCATGGGGCTGCGGGGGCCACGGGGCTACGGGTGCGGCGGGGGCCACGGGGCTACGGGTGCGGCGGGGGATGCGGGGGCCACGGGGCTACGGGTGCGGCGGGGGCTGCGGGGGCGGCGAGGGCCGCGGGGACTGTGGGGGCCGTGGGGACTGCGGCGCTGCGGGCCCGCGCCGCGCCCCGCAGCAGTAGTGAGGTTGTGTTGGTGTGGTTGCAGTTGGGTTGCGCGTTACACTGCATGCTCCGACCAAATCTTCACTTCACAGCGGCACCAGCGCCAACCACAAATCTGCCACAAACGCCACACAAGAATAGGTACTAAACATATTTATTTCTTCATTTATATTATTATGTGTTTTGTGTTCCGCACCGTGCGCTGCGGCTGTTTACCAGAATAGATGCCTTAATGTGATTATACATCGCTGCAGCCATTTAGTTTGCATTCTGGTACATTACTCTTTATTCAAAAGCAACATTTTAATGCATATATCTGTGTTTTGTTTTGCATATCTAAAGCTTCCTGTTTGATCTGATCCGACTTGATCGTATTTAGTTTTCATGTTTCTCATTAACATTTAACCATTCATATCGACGTCTGTCTCGATAATAATGCGTGGACTTCGATTTCTAATCACTTCTTAAATTATAAATTAACTATAACATTATAAAATTTTACCTTATTCGAGCGCAACGCGCCGGCTCTATTGCCGAATCGTGCCACGGAGCCAATTTAAAAATTAATTTTGGCAAAGCGACACTGTAAATACGTCATTCCAGCGAGCATTCTGCATGACCGAAACGTGTGTTTTTCGATTGCATTTCAGGTAATATTAAGAAATCCGGTAAGCACCACACGCGGGCTCCACAAAGCGTCGAATCGAACGTAGAAAGCGGATTAGATCTGTCCGACTTGGACCTGAGCTCGATACAGTTTTCGGAGAAGGAAATGCGAGCGCTGTCCGGCCTCACGCCGGCGCTGTCGCGGCGCCTGCAGCAGCAGCTGCTCGCGCACCTGCCGCCCGCCGCCGCCCGCTCGCTGCGCCGCACGCTCTCGCTGCACGCGTCCGGCTCGTCCGGCCCGTCCGGCCCGTCCGGCGCGTCCGACTCGTCCGACGCGATCCACCCGCCGCGCGGTCCGGACGCCGGCGACACACATTCGGCTCCCACCTCCAACGACCCTTCCGCTAAAGTAGAAACAGAGAATGCGATATACGAGTTGCCCGCTTCCCAGTATTGTACCTTACCACGATTGAAGCGATCGACGGCGCCACCTAGAGAAGTGGCGGCGCCATCTAAAGTAGCAATGGCGCCACCTAGAGAAGCGACTGTGTCACCTAGAGAAGCGACTGCATCATCTAGAGATTCGACGGTGACACCTAGAGAAACGACGCCGCCGGCACCGGAGTCACAAGTGCGGGAAACGAGTCAGTCGCCCGGCAACGTCCGTACTACTCCGGACCGGCCGCTGCTCAGCAAGTACCTGATACCCGAGCGGGCGCTGTCGCTTGACGACTCGTACTCATCGGACGGTAGCAGTATCATATCGGAGCCGAGCTACGTCGCCGCTTACGGCTCTGGACTCGGTTTTAGGCGCCACTCGATGAAGTTAGCCGGCGACCAACCTAGAAAACGTATATCGAGATTTCTTCGTCCAGACTTCTTTGACACTCCTCCGGATGACAACGTATATGTCAAACATAAAAAAGAAAAAGAATTGGAAACACAAAAAATTCTGAAGGAGATCAGAGAAAAGAAGAATAAATCGTTTGATTCCTCGTCCACACTAAAAAGCCCGACGGATAGTTGCGACAGTCAATATACGTTCAAAGATGACGCAATATATCCCCGTAAATGTCTCTCGCCGATTTCTGTATTAACAGCAAAAGAACGCAGCAGATCTAATACACCGTTCTTTCCCAGCTTAGACAACATAAAAGAAAGTGCCATAGATAGTACCTCGCTTTTGAGGAATGTTCCAACAAAACCATTTAAAGAATTTACCGATTCAAAACAGAATTCACGATTAGATGAAAACAGTTTAAGTAAAGACTCGAGATTAGCCAGACCAAAGAGTTATCCAGTTAAAAATTTAGAATCAATTGAAGAACCAATACAAAATGCCTCTACTGAATGTTCTGTAAACATAGAAAATGAAAGTAAAGAAAAAATTTCGCAAAAAGAATCTAAATTAATAAGGCCCAAGAGTTATCCAACTAGTAGCCCATCGCCAGAGAAGGTACAGATAAATCGAAACGTCAAAAAACAAGACAGTTTAAATAGTAATCACAAAGAAGTTGCGAGCCAGGAACTTAAAAATGACGTGGAAGTCAGTTTTAGTATTACTTTGCCCAAGCCGAAAACCCAAAAACCCGAACCTGTAATGAAATCAGATTCATTAAACAATAGTGATTTCATAGATCAAAATGTAAACAGAAAAGTAGATGATGGGGATATAAGTGATAGTGTACTTCTTAAAAAATACAAGGTAATTACAAATGTCGATGCTGATAAAGCCGAAATAGATCAAGAAATGAACAAGAAAGTAAATGAAGCAGCTGGAACAAATAACAATATGTCTAATGTAGATACTAAAATTACGAGTAATACATCTAAAAAAGAAGACGAAAAATTAAAACCCTTAGAATCTGAATCATCCATTGAAAAGAAGGGTACTATAAAGAAAAAAATAATAAGAAAGGTTTCTTCTAAGTCAAAGGCTGACTTAGGAAGCCAAAACATCAGTGAAACTAAAAGTTCTACTGAAAAGAAAAAAGTCACAAAAAAAGTGAAAGAGAAAACATCTGAAGATGGAGCTAAACCTACTGTCACAAAAAAGAAATCTGTTTTACAGTCTATAGGTCAAAAGTTAGAAAAATTTGCGTCTACTAAATCGGCCTCGCCTGAAAAATTAATAGACAATAATGACGTTGCGAGTGATCTGAAGAAAAGTATTACGAAGGAAAACAGAGTGCAAAGAGAACATTCTGTACCCGTCAATGTAGAACCTCCTACCGAGTCAAATCTTATTAAAAGAGCCGTTACTTTAACTGACGTTGCGGCACTAGATACGCAAAATACGAATCTCGGAAAGACTACAGTTTCTAAAGTTTTAGGTTTATTTAAAAAATTCGAGCCAAAAGAGAAAGCTAAACCGGTTGTCGAAAGATCCCAGTCTGATAATCTTGAAGATAGTAAGGATATCACTAACAAAAATGGCAATAATGTAGACTCTGTTTCAGAAACACTAGACAATGATAAACCCAAAAGACCAACTTCCTTACTTTTGAATGGTTTAGGACGCAAAAACAAATATGGAAGGACTGCAAGTGATAGTATATCAGCTGATAATGCAGAACAAACTGTACTTAAAAAAGAAAGTGAACCCAGGAATTTAAGAAATACTTTAAAATTAGATTTCTCCAGACTGCCAAGAGTGAAAAAAATTGTTCCTACTAATTCTGTGATAGAACCGCAGTATATAAACGTTTCTTCCGACGATAAGGACACCAATAAAATAGATAACTTAGATAAAAATGGTACGGTTCCACAGAGAGACGCATGTCCTGATATTATAGATCTCGAAAGTCGCAGTCGATCTAGAAGTAGGTCAACTATCTCGAATTCTGAGCTGAAGTCTGACAATAGTGGTGATTATAAGAATAGTGATTACAAAAATCCTATATCGCCTTCTGACAGTAACGGTCATCAGTCTACGCGAAATCACGAATCGTTAACAACTGAAAAGGAAGATATTGTTGATAGAATACGGCGAAAAAGTTTTTATTCCAGATTTAACGAAAAGAAACAACGCCGAAAAAGTAATCTAGTAGGTCCTGGAGCTATCGAGTACGATCCGGTAGCTAGGATTCATTCGCCACCCACAGAGACAACAATATACGATGGCTCACCTAACTCTCCTGGAACTTATGATTTATCACCTGCATTTTCCATCGCATCAGATATATCCCCATCCACTGAACGCTATAGATCTCTTATAACAGACTTACCTGTTAATCCTAGGAGTACACTGAGATACGACAATTATGGAATAAATGATAAGATTGATACATACCGATCTCTCGACAGAAGCGACTTCAAAAAGTATCCAGGAACAAGAAGCTACTTAGATTACGATCAACCTTCATCTTATGGCGCGCATAGATATTCTAGAACAAAATCGCTATTAGATAGTACTGACGGCTCTGAAGATTCTACACTAGGAATTATAAGGGACTCACAAAAATACAATAGAACTTTATCTATGTATTCCCCTGGTAATTATGCCACCTATCGACCAAAAAGAACGAGAAATTCAGCTATCATATTAAAGGAAAGCGAAAAAGAGCCTAGTCCAGAAAATATCTTAGACAAAATAAGGCAAAGAAAAAAGATTTCAATCAGCGTGACTAGAAAGCCAGATACTGAGAAGGACTCATTATCAAGGTGTGTATAACTATTATACTTACATGTTCCGTAAATAATTATATAACTTTCCCAAAGTGAAAGATATTTTGATTTTTATGTGCACGCTTCACGCTTTTGAATTAAATCTATAGCACTAATGCTTTTACAGAGTGTTATACATAGGTACCCCATAGAATTTAGATTGTCAGTGGTGTTTTTGTATTTTCTCAAATGTACATAGATATTGTACTCTAATGATATAAGTTAAAACTCATTTATGTAATACACAATTTAGTCGTAAATATTAAGTCTCGTGACTATAACTTGTGTTACATTAGTAGTGTAACATACTATTAAAAATTAAGCTAAATTTCTGTAATGAGAGGAAAATGATAATATTGTAATGTTACAGATCCCATATCTCATCTAAAGGCGAAGGCGACGGTGCAGAATGCGCTGAGAAAGTTGACTGAGAGGAACTACTGATGTATTGGTCGTCATTTTGAAGAAATCGTTTGTGATTTATTTAAGCATTTGTTATTCAAAACATTTTTGCCACACAGTGTTTACTAGTTTAGCTGATGGACAGGACCTCGAATATGCTTCCACTATGTTTAGAAACCTACGCAACTTTTAGATTCTCTAATAAGATTTAGATCTGAGCGAGGCTGTATAGACAAATTCTTGCCAAATAGTAGTTCTCTATGTTTAATAAATATAATTAAATGTTAGCTAAATATCATTCATAAATGGCAGAACTTTCATAAGACTGTCTTTAGTGACAAACGTAGATACTACAAGAATGAATCTCCGTCGAAATTACGTACTAGAGTTATTGGAAAAATATTGTAATGGCTTATAATATAGACTACAGAGAGCAAATGTAATAATAGTACCGATTTACAGATTCCTAAAATTATAAAAATAAGAATTTAAATCATATTAATTTCTATATTCCTTTGTTAGCTTTGTTTAAAATTGCAGTGGCTGCAACATATTTTCGACAGCCTAAGGCTGAATGAAGTTACTAGAATGATATATAAATACCGATTAATAAAATAAAAATATATTATATTTCATAAAGAACAGATTTTCTTTGTTAATCGTTTATTGTAAATTGATTCTTACGTGCCTTTATAAAATATAAGTGACTGGATTTGATATTAGTCCATTTTATTTAAATAAATAAAATGACACGATTTTATGTGTGTGTTTGCACAAATATGTTTTACTCAATATAATTAATATTAATTTTTTATAGTTTTTATCAATTTACATTTTATTTATGCGACCCTAAGTCAAGTTTAAGTTTAAATGTTTATCATAATCATATAGTATTGATGCTAAGTCACATCGGTTATCGAATAGAATGGTGCTTAGACGATTTCGTTAGGTGTAACTTGTATTTATAGATTGAACGTATTATAATTTCTTACGCAAACGCGTGTCATTTAGCAACGGTTTTGAGTATGTATTATGTTTTGTAGATCTGTGTAACAAGATCGTCATCCGAGCAAATAGTATTATATACCAGTTGATATATTTATGTTCGTTGCTATAACTCACTTCACATATTTTTCAAATAAATTGACTGCGATTTAATATTGCAAAAGCAATAATTTTACATCTGATTGACATATTCTACATCTCGATCTATTTATTTTTTCTAGAATTGAAATTATTTATTGGTGTGTAGCGAGTTTTAATATTTTTCTTATTAGTTACTGTAAATGTGATTGCGCAGCATCTGTGATTATTTGATTAATATTAAAATTACGATCACACATGTTTTGTATTGAATGTGAATAAATTATATAGTTGAAGTACGGATTTTTATTTATAAGTATAAATTATGACTGAGTATAAGTTATGACCTCGACTTATTACAATAATACAAACTGCATTACTCCTCTAGCTTTATAAAGAGTTTTGCGTAATTTTGGCACATTTACAAACGGGCTATACACTCGGTACGGGAAGGGGGAGGCTTTTTTAAAATCAGTACGTTTTTGTATTTTCCCATATCACGCGTGTTTGCATTTATTACATCCTAAGGCTGGTATTTTGATTGTGATTTCAGGACGTCTTCTTAGCACATCAATTAAATGAATATTATATAATTTTCATTTAATTGAATAAAATAGCTATATAAAATTGAATTCATGTTCTGGGATAGAGAAGATAATTGCTTTGTCGTAACGAAATAATTTTAATACACAGAAGTAAATAAGTATATTATGAAAATTCAGTTATATAGATTATGCGGCTGCAAGTGTCTGTAGTTCCGTAAAATATTTGCCGTCGGCCTCTGCCAGTTGTTCGAGAACATCGTCAACGCCCGCGCGTGGGAAGCGTTCCACCCATGATGCGACCATGCCTTCTGCACTCGCCGGGTAACGTTTTAGTTCAGCGCTATCATCTGCAAATGAATAATAAGTACAATATTGCAAGGGATCATAGTTGTAGTATTTTTAAATTATATTCATAGATGTAAAAAAAGCTTTTGAAACTACACTAGTTTGTATGTATATTTTAGCACTATATTAGGCATAGTTGACTGATCGAATCAGTATCGAAACTAAATTTCGATTATGAATACCTTGATATAATTTCTTAAGTAAAGCTTAGTGTCGGTTGATAAACATAGCATTGGTATTAAATGGAAAATGAAAATCTAATTTAATTAGCATTTTTATTTCATATATTTTTCTCGATATAAGAAAAGGAAAAGTACCTCTTAACTGAAAAGAAAGTTTGTATTTTAAAACAAAATCGTACATACCCTTGTGAATTGTATTGGGCTGCACAAATATGTTACGCGGTTGCTTGTGCAACATAACTATGTCACGCCAGCGAGACCAGACGCCATCTAGGCGGCTGTACTTTTCGAACAAGTGTTCACCGCCTGCCGCGTCACCTGTCGCCTTAATTGTTTGCAGTTTTACTAGGAAGTCACCTGTAGAATAGATTACATACTTAACAATATGACTAACTTTTATATTCCTTGTATATAAAGAAGTGGCACGCGAACTTTTAAATTTTTTAAAAATGTGGTACTTAATACTGAGGCATATTTTTGTACTGTTATTTCATTATAAATTACAAAAATTTTGATAAAACTTGTTCAATATTATTTATCTAAGTATATAAAAACTATAAAACTTCGCGAAGAAAGTTTGGACGAATTTTTCAATTAATTACACTATTAGCATAATAATACTGATAATAAATTCAACATAAAGCCACCAAGGTTCCATTGTAAGAGAATTATTATTTTGGTTCCATTGTCCACACTCGTGTGTTCACAGAGAATATTCAGGTACAATTACAAAGTTAATCAAATATCCTACCAGGAGTAGGCTATTTGAATATATACTTCATGGTTTTATTACTATATATATACAAAAACTTACCGATAATTTTCTTTCCGTCCGTAGCCAGACGATCCTTTTGTAGCGTGACCAATAAGTTCTTGCCAGGTTCCGATTCTGTTATGGTTAGCATCCCGTTGCCTTCCAACTCCAAAAGTCGCATGAGTACAAAACGGGCTCGCGCGTGCGCCTGTTTGGCAACATAACTCATAGAAATAAACACTTTTTTAAATACCAAATTTAACTAGATGTCACATATTGTTACAATATGAGACATCTATTTAGACATTTAGATTATCAAATAATAGTTCCTAAACATGTATAAATCAGTAACAATAATTCATATCAATAGGTGTACAATGCATTACTAAGTAACCGTCTCGTCTTCCGCAGAAGTGGATTTCACAAATATTGTGAAGACACGGGCTTAATAAGGAATGATAAGTTATCGTCAACTCGTCATCATTCCAAATGGGGTAGACAGAAGCCTAATCATAAAATAGTGGCGGCATGCAAGCCTACTGACGTTTCTCGGATTACGGTTTTGTTTTGGCAAAGAGATGTTTGGAGCACTGGTCAGAAATAAAAATTTACACAAAGTTTTTTTTGTGTTGGCCAGATTTAAGCTCTCGACCTATATTGTAGTAGACACTCCACGACTATTTTGACGAACTTGGTAATCTTGGTAAAAAAATAATAGTGGTTAGTCAGACCGCCTTACATCTCAGTGTCGCTGGTTCAATTCCTTGCACTGTACAAATATTTGTATTCATGAGTATAATGTTTGTATAACTGCCGTTCCTATTCTTGAACAATACTGCAGACATTATTTCATTATGAAACACCCGTGATACCACCGCCACTACCACTACCACTTAATACTAATTTGCAAATATTTGTAATTTACAAAAAGGCTACCTGTAACCAAGTTTTGGTGGAAGGTTGGTACATCTCTGTGGCCTTCGCAGCGCCATTCCACAATAAACTCAACCAGTTCACATATGTAACATCTTCTGCTTCCTGGCCTTCAAGCCCAAAGATCCTGCATACAAATATTAGTGTTAATGGCTTCGCCGCATTAACATCGGCAGATTGAACAGTGTGTGTCGTTGCGGTATATCCCCTATATACCGCAACGACACATACTGTTCTGTTTTTTAATAACATGGACAATAAATGGACAATAGTCACATTGCCAGCTATGTATTTCCAATAAATTCCCCATCTCCTAACTTACCCGACTTCATGATTATTTTATCATCCTCATCTGGTAACCCAGTAGCGTAACCCGTTGGCCGTACGATGGTATGAGTATGAAGTAAGGTCAGTTACTTCATATTCACCATAAACGTTATTAACTACGACCGCTTGAAGGTCTAACAGGTATCCCAGAATATATTACTATCACCTGCCCAGTACTGTTGATGGCAGCTGGCACTCCAAACCCGCGGAAGTACTTTTAGAGCGGTTGAAGGTCAACTTCTGCCCGACGAATGCGACTTTAGTATGAGAGCCACGCTAGGGCAATTCGATACCCGTTTGAATTGGACGGGAGAACGGATTGAAGAGGATATGAATATTCATATCCCCTTTAATCGATCTCCCGTCCAATTCACACAGGTATCGAAATTACAACGGCCTGAATCAAAGTTAGAATGAGTGTTACCGTAAAATAATTTCTAATTATTTTAAATCTATTATTAACTCTGGAGTCTTACTTCAATATTTCTGGCTCTAAAGACAGGTACAAGCCAACAGCTTCAGCGCGGCACTCCTCGAATGCTGAGCCCAAAGTGGTGAACTTGCTGTCATATGTCTCGCCTTCAGAGTACCATGATTCTATTAACTTTCCTGAAAAAATAATGTATTGATATAGATAGACAATATTTTTCAAGGATTTTTAAGTATGTATGAAGTTTTTCTAACACATTTAAAAAAATGCAGTATTGCTATTGAAATTAAGTAATAAAAGCTTATTATTATTAGAAGCAACTAATACTATAAAAATAATATATGTATACATTTACTTCAGTATAGCTTAATTTCTAATTCTTGGTTGGCTGTCCTGTGGGATTATCGCACCCAATTGTTTTGACCTTCCAGACTCATAATGTGTATACTTAATGATCTAAAATGCTACAACTTCAAACGAGCTTAACGGAACTGTTTTTTAATAAGGCTTACAAAATATTTTGGCCGATTCTTTTGGCTTCATGTATCATAAAATTGTCATCATATTATAGGAAATGTATCAGCTTACCTGTGAGTGGATTTTTGACTTTCTTCTGGTCGAAGTTGAAGCTACCGTCGGCATTCTGCCGCAGCAGTTTGCCACTGCCGTGGCCCAACAACTCGTGCAATCCTACTTGCAACTGTTTAATAAAAATAATGTCAGGTTTATAACAAATTTAGTTTTAAAAATTTTTAGATATAGTAATCAGTTTCGACTATGAAATGTATATAAGAATGATCTCTTCAAGTTTGCTAATTCATCGGCATATGTACCTCGAAAGCGGCGACTCTGTACTTCTCAAGTAGTCGTTTATCGGCTTCAGACAAGAATGGTATAATGGCTTCCTTGTATGCGGCGGGTATCACGTTACCCAGGGATACGTTCTTGAAACCTTCGTTTTGACGAATCTCATCGTCTGAAACAAACATTGCATTTTTTTTATATAATTTCTATTACCATAGTATTATGTAAGATGATATCACTCGAATTCTCTCTTCTTTTATTCTTCTGTTTATCTAACATTGTTAAAACTACAAATATTGATATTTAAACAGATGGTAGGAGTATATCAATGAGGAAGTAATTAATGAACAAGAGTAATGCAAGAATGAGTCAAAAAATAGAGAACCTTAAAAATCCGCAATGTAATGTGGTAATGAACCTGTTGGCAGAAACGATGCAAATACAATATTTGCATCTTAATTCAAAATTGGTAATTTTTTAGATGACTAGTGGTCACTGGCACTGTCACAATCTGTGAAAGATAGAGTGGAAGAGAAGAAGAGGGATGAGTATGAGATCAAGGCAATAAATTTATCACAGTAATGGATTACATAGTATATCTACAGCAATCCTATATAAATAAAGAATTATTATTAAACCTTATTGAACCATATTAATACTGTGAAAAATGAAATGATATATCTATTAATTATGTAACATTAAAAATATGCTTACAGTTTGGAATGTTAATGCCGGCCGGTATTCCACTGCCAGAGAAGGTGAGTACATCCAAGCTGGTAAAATCCGGTCTGAGGAATGTGTCTTTTTCGAGGTCCTCGCCCCATGGCAAGAGTTTGATAAAACGCTCTGCACCATCTACTAGAATGCCGAACTTCTTTGACATCTCTTTATTGACCATTGACACAAAGCCTTCGAACTCTCCACGCTGCCCGCTTGGATCCCGATAGGTTTCTATAAAGCCTTGATATCTGCCAAATAAAAAATTTACTAAAATATACATAAGTTCACGACAAGACAGCATCTGGTATTAGGCTAAGTCATAGTCAACAGTAAATTAAAAAAATAAACAACACTCACGTTTCAATAATAGGTCCCTTGTCTTTGATCCAGAATCTGCTACCTTCTTTATGCTCTTCCAAATCGCCTTCGTTAAAACTGTTTATATAATGTTTCAGCATGTTCCTTTCATTATCATTAGCTGCATATTGTTGTGCTTTGGCCAGATTTTCATTGACTATTTTTAGCAAAGGCGAATAGTCTCCGCGGGTGACTTGAAAATACGCGCCCTTGTATTTCTCTTTATCCAGAGTTAATTGAGATTTCGATGTTGTTTGTACACTCGCCAAGTGAACCGTAAACAATGATACTGGATAAAATTTTTAAAAATTATAATTTAAAAGAGAAATGAAGATAATAACAAAATGAGTAATGGGACATGCACATATGTTGATTAATGTCGAAAATTTATATAATAATAATTAATATTATGAATATTTTATTACTGGATATTAATTTTATTAAAAGTATTAAAAGATTTTGTTAAAGTAGCTGTAGTAGTAGTGCAGACTTACATCCATCATCTGCGACAGTCTTAAATGTACGGCAAATATATGCTTCTAAACGTTTGGTCTTCATCCAATCATTCACCAAATTTGAGTCTGCTTCAGTGCAATTACTTGAAAAATATGTTGTAATACCCTATAATAAATAGATATATAGTTCAAGTGTGAGTAATCCGATTCACACCATAAACTTATGATTACTGTATTTCTGTATATACATTAGCGTTGAAATATAGTAGATAAAACTTGTAGAAATGTGTGTGAAAAATGGAAATAACTGAAAAGATTATCTATCTATATCTTCACGCCAAATACCAGGGCAAGCATAGATAACGGAGAAACTTTCATTTCTATCTATGCACACAAGTGTATCTTTATTATTAATCATTATAAAAAAAACAGTAATATTGTTTTCTACACTTATACTTTCCCGCAACATTTCTTACAATTTTTTACCTATGTGTACCTACATGATACATCCATAAACTGTAAATATATTTAATTCTTATCAATATATTTTATTACCTACACTATATATGAATGATTAACTCAAACATACCTTATCAGCCAAACCAAGACTGGTAAGTCTAGGTGTTAAACTATAAATAGCATTCTGCGTGTTTTGCCACAATTTCGTGATATGTGTTGTATCATTCTCATAGGCTTTAGAAGCCTTCACAATACTCTCAAAAGATTCTTTAGATAAATTTGGAATGAATTTTGTATCGCCAAAACCCTTATAGTTTCCACTATTGGCGAACAAACCGCCAGCATAAACAAGGAATGCCTGAAACCGAAATATATAACAATATATAATAAACAGGAAAAATGGCAACCACAAAGTAGAATTCAATCATAGATAACAAACCAAAACAAATTAGGAAGTGGTTTCTGTATCAGTAGTGTTATGAATGGCATATTTTTGTAGTTAGTAGAATAATAATAGTAATAATTTTTGTAACTTAACTGTTATCAAAAGGTACTATCCTTTGTGGTAACTAAAAACTATATGTAAGTACACAGAGTTTCAGGATATCTGTATCTATACTGATATATAATAATATATCTCTATTAGAAAGAGGTAAAGTTTGTGAGGTTTCATCTGGATCTGATATTGATTTTATTATTAACTAATAGAAAGTAATTATTTGTGATTGTCATATTAAACAGATAGATTAAGACTTTTTCATGGTAGTCAGAAATGTTTACCACCTAAAAAAATGAGCACAGGACACTATACTATTATAACATATCAGGATTTCTATTTTTTATTTTAGTAGCTATGATACACATTCATTTTTATTACTTAGTATGTAATCTACCTGGAAATCATCCTCGGTTACTCCAGCTTTTAAAGCAGATTCTCTCAATTTTTCCAGTGGCTCTCCAACAAAAATTCTGTGCAACAAAGAGAAGATCCTAGGAGATTCTGGACTTGTCTGCATAAGTACTATAAGCCCACCATTCCAAGCCGCCTGAAATAAATTTTAGGTACTTTAAATTATCTTTAGGTGCAAAATTATTATAAATAAACTTAACAAAAATATTATAGAATATATTGGAACTTTTTATAACACAGTATGTATAGCATATTGTACATATGGTATAAGTAAGAGAAGAGGTACAACTAAAAGATTAAAGAAAAATCAAGATTTTATGAACTAATAATTCAAAACTCCATGTATTTGAAGTCTTTTCAGGAAGATACATTTTAAAGGAGCAGAATTTGCTGAAATGAAAGTAATAACACATTATTTACATTTTTTTTATTTTCTAATTCATTTTACCTCTAGAAAAGTATCTTTCAGAAAAGACTTCTAAAATAATTGGAGCATCAAATTATGTGTATAAGTATTTTTACATAGTATAAAAAAGTCACGTCCACCAATTGTTTACTTAGATCTTTTAAATTGCATAACAGATTTTAATGCAGTTTTAGCTATAGATACAGTGATTCAAGAGGAGGCTTTATATGTATAAAATATTTATATACACCAGTGTGAAGCTGGAGCAAATAGCCAGTTATACATAAATTAAAAATAACATACCTGACTCAAGTAATGTGCATATAACTTTTCCTGTTTTGTTAGATTATTAAATGCCTGCGAACTGTCTAATTCCACAAATCGTTGATTATTGGGCAGTAAATAATTTGACTTATCAATAGTAGTCATTTCTGAAATTAACAAATTACAGGTACATAGTACTGAAAATGCTTGAGAGGATATAATTATTATGGAATTTATAAATTAGTGATTATTAAAAATTTTGAATATAGAATCATTTTGAATATATCAATTAAAAAAAAAAGTGAACTAAACTTAATTTAGAAATCTACAGCTGGCTGTTAAAGTATAATTATTTAATATTTACTGACCGCTAATTCTTTTTGTCGATACAGCTGTTTTAGACTGAATAGTTTTTGAAGAGATACGGCAATAATTGCTAACGAATGAATCAGCAGTAATAGGGCGCCGGCATTTTATAAGGTTAACACCCAAGGTACGCAACATTTAATCTGTTTTGGTGATGGTAAAATAAATTAAAATATGTATTTTTACTGTAATGTACTTACTGACTTGTAATAAGCAAAATAACTTGTAAAATATGAAAATACTGAATAGTTAACAATAAGAAAAAGAACAGGCAATTGAATGAGTTTTACTAAATTAATTCAGAAATTCAGCACAGAATAATTACACTACCACTCAGACTGACATTTATGACAGTTTTGGACACAGCACACAGTAATCGATAGTATAACGAATGACAATACAGGTATAGCAGTATGACTAGAGATTTTAGCGTCTATACTGTTATCGCTATTATGTATGTTTATGTTGTGTTCTTGTAGCAGCAGCGGGAAAGAAGGAGGTGAAATGATGAGTCCAGATTGTTGCTATGTACATATTTATAATTACGAAATATTTACAATGAATATATAGGTATGTACAAGAAAGTGATTCGGTCTCGAATGCCAAGCTTGTTATTCTTCTTGCCCCATCGTAACTAGGCAACGGTGTTGCCGCACGATGATAGTATATTCGCCACACCACCCCCCCGCGGAGAGAAAAAGGTGAAAGAAAAAGAAAATTAACTAGTTTTTAAAAGTTTAATCATTGTTTTTTAGTAAGCGTGCTTATTCAAAGTTTGCTGACAGGTTCAACGTGTACACTTTATTAAGAAGTGTATAAAAACATAATATGTGAAATAATAATCTTTTTTTATATTACTTTATCTAGTACACGGGATATTTTCACATCCTGGCTTCATTTAAAAATATTTAGGGAGAAAGTCTTGTGTCTCTTAAGTAAATACATTTATACAAAATGTTCCATTGTACATATACATTTTACATTTTCTCAATCTTATTCTAAATCATTGATAAAAGCTATACCTCATAAGATGGCAAGTGTGCATACACAGTTAATTTGCTTATTATTATTATCAAATGCGTATAATTATATATATTAACGTATAATTATATATTATAGTTTTGTTACTACACAATAACAGGAGTTGATAGACGATAGACGTAAAATACAAAGAAATAAGAAGTAATAAACATGAAGAACAGAAATTAATAATTATTTTTTAGAGAATACTATAGTAAAGTATCACAATGAGTTTGTATGAAAATTCTGTGTAACAAAAATTGGAACCTCCAAGACAATTTTCCGCGGAGCATATTTATCCTAATTCAGATCATGCTTTAATAATCGACTAACTCAACTAGCCTCATTCTCTTCACATGTCAATTTGCTAATTGCTAAATGCCAAATCGTGTCGTACATGGACTCTCCTTCCTTACTAACACAATTTTACAGTACGTCAGTGAACGCTAGTGTGTGACTGCGCTAAACTACAATCGACATGAAATATATCGAATGGGGGCAATCGGCCCTCTAGTTTTGATTTCGCAATCCGAACGAACTTAATAATCATGAATGAAGTAAACATTCAACATGGAAGCTATTTCGTTAATATCATCCGTATTTTAGGTCAAATTAATTGTTTACGATGAGTATATAGAGTTTAGGTCAGTTATTAATATTCACTGAAAATGTCTTCGGAAAGGTAATTTGATTTCGTAGAAAATTGTATTTTTTTTTTGTGAAATTGCTTCCTGTATCCGTAGTTGAAAGTTGCAAAATCAATAAAGTATACGGAAATCGCTAATGTCACGCCCTGAATTCTTATTATATTGTGACTGTGTTCTTAATAATATAGAGGTGAGGTTTAATTATTGATATGTTCTATTCTAGGGTGGAATGGGTAGAAATTATAGAGCCCAAAACAAAGGAGCATATGTATGCTAACCTAACAACAGGAGAATGCGTTTGGGATCCACCGGAGGTAAGATTCTTGTACTTATCAAGATATGGGATAGACTTTCAATTTTTAAGTATCATTCTGAATACTGAAATAATTTAATAAAAATTTGAAATCATATGTTTTCATGAAAATTTCAATTTTAATATACCCACAGGATAGTTTTGAATAACAATGAATTTATTCACCTCTTATTACCAACAGAACCCAGTAATGTTCACCCTATAAACATATATAAAGCAAAGTACTTACACTAACAAGTGCAATTAATGAAGTAAGTTGTCTTGCAAGGTCAATAATGTATGCTCAGTTTACTAACTTGTTGCAATACTGACTGGCTACTTTATTGCTCAAGTATCTTGACCAGTGTGTAGAGCCTTCATTTGATTTTTATACTATTATTATATGGGAAAATTTAAAATTTTTCTATTATAATTAATAATGGATGATTCTAGATTATCATTATCTAAAAATCTTGGTTTAAAATTGGTCAAATACTACTATGAACAACTTTAGTAATAGAGAGTTAACTCTACTTTAGTTAGCTTGTAGTACATAAATCTTTCACTTCATTTCATCAATTATCAATTTAAATTTTAGTTGTAGATATATTTGATTGGATATGGTACTACAGTATATAGTTAATTTAGTTCTTGTACAATATCTTGTTGCAGGGAGTTAAAGTCAAACGGACAGATTCATCACAATGGTGGGAACTTTTTGATATTAACACACATAGATTTTATTATTACAATGCTTCTACCCAGGTTTGTATTTAATTATGACTTATAATTAACATAAAATAAATTGTTACAACATCTATACTTATTAATTATGTTTTTTACAGACAACTGTCTGGCATAGACCCACAGACTGTGACATAATACCCTTAGCAAAATTACAAACTTTGAAACAAAACACTGACCCTCAAAAAAGAAGAGAAAGCTCTACCCAGACTAATCTTGCTGCTCCTCAGGTGAAAAATATGACTTTCATTCAATGTTATGTATAATTTACTAAAAAGTAACTAAATGTTGATTCTATATTGAAGTACATAATATGGGACATAAATAAAATATATTTATTTGTTAGTAATAGGTTCAATATTGCAGATTTGTCTGTCTGTCATTAATCAATAATCAATCAAAATAAAATTTATATTTAATTATTGCATAAGTAAACAGTATTTTTTATGGTAAATCTTATAGCTTTTGTACACATAAAACCATATGTTTCCCAGGCAATAGTATTGAATTAAACAAATGTTTTTACTATAATGCTACAAAGACTTTTGGGTTGTTGTTGACTCTACAAAAAACAGAAATGAAATTTAATCTCTCACTTATTTTCCTGAGTTCACATTATGTGAAAAAAAATGTAGTCATATTGATAAAATTTAAAGATTCAAGTTCTAGGACTACTATAATTTATTCCTAAGTATAGATAAATAACTTCATAATACTTTCGATAGATCCCAGACAACTCTCTGTATTGAACCCTACAATGTAAATATTCTGATTACTTGGTCAATATAAACTTTAACAAAGTAAAAGAAAGTCCTGCAGAGGGAAATTTCTAGTATCTAATATATGTTTTTTCTATTTTAGGTGCCATCTGTAATTGATCCCATCAGTAGTAATGGAAACAGTACTGTTGCTAGCGCCAGCAAGCTGTCACCAAGTAATGCTAAAAATGTCACCATTACGCAGACAAGTCCTGTACGCACCCGGAGGTCACATTATCATCATCGGTAAGCAGTTATTATCTATATGTCTATATTTTGGAAGATGAAATATTTATTGTTTTTTTGGGATTTTATGAAACACCCCTGTCTAGTTTGTACTAATATTGTAAATTCAAAAGTGTATCTGTCTGTCTGTTTAGCCATTTTACAACTAAATATATTCAGTCAAGTTTTCACTATATTCATAATGTCATTTGCATGCATTAAGATAGATTCTATCACAAGAAATAACTTATCTCTTTTCAAAACAGGCAAATAAAGTCTCCAGAAACAGCTAGTTTCCTATTAGGGATTTGTCTATTATGAGTTATGCAGTCAGAATTATAATAGCCATACTCTTTTGCTCTGTTTACTGAGAAAGAACTTTGATTTTGATAGTTCTATACTGAAAATATGATATAGAAAATGTTAAAAATGATGATATTTGACGCTCTAAGTTGTCAGTACTTTAAATGACTCATTTAGGTCTAGAACATATGTAAATGAAATATTGAAGCAAGAAATGTCATTAAATAAATGTGAATTTTACTACTTTACATTTTCTATTCATGAAAATTAACTAAGAATTTCAATTAATATTACTAGTATTTTTTAACTGTAGCAGCCCTACTTTAAATGTACATTCTTCATTGACACAATTATTATATCATTTATCAAATTGAAATTAGGCCATTCCTATTGCGATGTATAAGTTAATGGTTAATGATATCAGAAGTCATTGTATCCATTATGTCATATTGGTGCTGGGGATTAAATAAACTGATAAAATTTGTAATAACTAGTACTTTCATTATCTATACATCTATACATATAAATAAAATTGGTGTGTCTGTTTGTAATATTGAAATAACCGTTTTTTAATATATGCATATGAATACATACATTAAAAATACATTTTTTACAATTTTTGTCTGTTTGTTCCGGATCTCTGAAATGGCTGGACCGATTTAGACTGGCTGGACTTTTTTTGACGATAGCTGATGTAATAAGGAGTAACTTAGGCTTCTTCTATTTTAGAAAATAAAGTTAAATTCCACGCGGAAGAATTCGCGGGTGTTTAAAACCTATTTTGTACATAAATATTTAAATATTTATGTACAAAATAGGTTTTAAACAGCGGGAACAGCTAGTTATATATACAAACGTGACTGTTATTGTTAAAAAAAAAAAAGAACAAGGAGGTAGATTTTGTAAAAGGTCGTGTGTATGGATACAACTCTATTTGAACCGCCAAGCAGTTTGTTTAGGTTGTAGGGTGATATAAGGTAGTAAATTAAAGGATAAAAGGCATAACTTTTTAATCTTCCCGAATGCCAACCAATGGGTGGTATCACAGACGCGATGATGTGATGTATATAAGTAACGGTGGCCACTTACCATATATTTTATTGCCATTCCAATTACATAAAAAAATGTGTATTACTCTTCTGGAATTATTTGGTCTAGTTGTTTAGCAACCTGCTTTACTACATTTGCGGGTTTGATTTCTATACAACACAGTTATTTTACTCAATACATCATCATCATCTGCTTCTTCCTTATCCCATTTATTTGGGGTCGGCGTAATATGTTTTTCTCTTCCTCTATTTTACTTAATACTAGAATAGTAATAATACATTTATTCAATAGAAAATTTACATAGATATACTTACCTGTCCGCTTTGTGAATGTTCGTCGTGCACATTTTTATTTACGTTTGCATGTTTTTTGCTGCGATTTTATTTTTGCTTACAATTCAGTTGCTTATAATGCATTTATTTATATATTTTATATTTTTTCCAAAGGGTTTTCTTGAAATGTTGATCAAACATCCTGACGAAAATGTATATAAAATTTAACCATATAAATTATTCAGGAACAGCGGGGAGAGTCGACGTGGCAGGCTGAGCGAAGACGGCACTACTGCGTTGTGTCGGCATACAGATTCTGGACGATCATCAGACAGTAGCCTTAGTAGTGCCCAACAGAGAAGGAAACAGGTATTTCATTAACATTTTTATATATTAGTTCAGAGGTTTAGTATACTTTTAGTAATTTTTTTTGGTAATTCGTCCTGCCTGAGGAAATTTGCCGTCAACTCAATTTTTTAGGGGCAAAGGTGTTTGTTCCTATTCTTTAACCTTCACCCCCCAGATGACCAGTGCCAGTCACTGTAACTATGTATTGGTGACAGGAGCTGTCGGCTGCTGTGGCCTGTACGCCGCAGTTGCGCAAACGAACCGCAGCGCCAGCGCACTCGTCCTTGCACGAACCCGACAAATGGTCCCCCCATGGAGGTATTTATTGTTACTTACTTTAATTCTGATTTTAAAAGACTTCTTTTATACATATAATAACTGTTATCAGATTGTTTCGCGACTGATCATTTAACTGTTTTAATAATTAAAAATATTTGGCAAATCTTTCCGCAGTTCTTACTCACATGCAGAAAATTGAAATGAAGTAGAAGAAATGTACTTTGACTTGCAGTTTAACTGTCCAATTAACAAATAAGTGCATGTTTATTTGCAATCTCAATGGAGTGGTCCAATTTATAATATGTTTGACCAGTGGCAGTGTTTTTTTTATTGGAAATCTATATCAGCCATTTTTGGCGATAAGTGTGACAATAACAAACATTTGGGTTCTATACTTTATTTGAACCCTCCATTGTATATATAATCAAAAAATAATGTACTGGCGAATCGATTCATATATTTTATTGTAGTATGACATGTTTAATACTCTTTTGTAGGTTTAAATAGGAGTGGCAGCTTTATATCACCCCGTAAGGATGCATCCGACGATTCCATGCATGAGAAATATTTCAAATCCGTTGAAAGTACACCTTTAACTAGGCGCAAGGTAATCAGCTAATATTAATTACAATCTAATCTAATTTTTTTTTTAGATTTATTTATTTTTTTCTTCCTCATTAATAATTATTCTTTAAAGGAAAATACTTTTAGATCAATGTGACTACTAACATTTCTAATCATGAGTATGAGCGTTTGTATCGGTCTGGGTATTTCCTAATATGTATGCATTAAAAAAATGAATTTATGTTCTTTAAGATAAATTAATTTTTTTAAACTTCAACAATTAACAAAATCTTACTTTAAACAACTGATTAAGTAAGATTTTGTTAATTATTAAAAATTCTGAATGTTTACTTGTCAAATTTTTATATATATATATAAAAGTTGTCAAAGTCAAATGTCAAAGTTTTATATATATATATACAGATTTTTCAGTACACTCTATAGTATGAAAGATTAATTAGCAATAATTGTTGTTCTTTTCAGTTAAAACAACAGTCTGGTGGAGGCTCTTCGTGTGACTCTGCATCACCTCAGAGTCCAAGTAGTCCATTGCAGAAACCACAACCTACTCCATTCTTACAGGTACGCAACTACAACATAAAGATAAAATAAATCTGACATAACAGTGTAAACAATGTATCACGCCTGTTATGTCCGATGGAGTAGTCAGTACACACAACACCATTTGAAAACAATGTTGCAAAGGGCAGAGACTACCATCTTCTCTCAGATTAATATTTGATTGGATTTCACCGAGAATTAGTCAAATATAAATAGACACACAAAGGTTATTTTTGGTATCTGCAGGATGTGTAGTCACGATCTCCTTGAAGTACTTCAGGATTTTAAAATATTAAGCCACAACACTACGACCTAGGGAGCTACGAACTAAAATATTAGAAAATTAATATTTTCTGTGCATTTTCAATTAATTCAATATTATTGCTTAATTTTTGAGCATACATATGTTACAAACAAAATATCACATCTTTTCTCTTTATAATATTAGTTTGCTGGGACTGGGTACACTGGACACCAGTGAAAGATAACATATTGTATTTTATTGGATGAGTAGTCAGTTAGCCGAGTTCATTGCAAGTAGAACTTTATGGAAATCGACCTGAGATACGAAATGCAATGAGGCTACTAATCTCCATTACTGTTAGATAGAAGTAATAGAATGCAACTGCAATTGAACTTTCTAATCTGTGTTGTTTGTTATCTGTGGTTTGGCACTTCCTTCTTGGGATTAATGGCTAACCAAGTAACACTGCAGTTCTTGTTATAATTTTTAAAAACCATCATTAAGGGGAATACACCTGAGAGGTCCTGCTTAAAGCCAATTTCCTCACTGACGTTAACATCCCTCTGGGATTCCCATTGTCAGACCATGTCGGCACGGCCGTCGCTGGTGTCGTCGATATCTTTGGCGACGGAGGCTGCGGGCGGCGGCTCGCGCGTACTACACAGCCTCGAGCGGCCGCATCAGCTCTCCAGGCATGCGCGCGAGAGGTACTCCGACAGGTATGGTCTCTACTATACTCCTTTTTTTAATATAACGTGACTAAACATGTAAAACTACTTACTTATTTTAGTATAAAATTAATGTTTCCATTGTGATTATTGTGATTTAATAATTTTATAACAGATAATAAGGCAATTGACTATCTCACCTAATATATGAATTGCTTAGTATGGGTTGTCAATTTCCAGCCATTCCAATAACATAAAAAATGTTTACAATGATGATTCCGAATGTAATATATTTCACAGGCACTTAGACAAGGATCGTTTAGCTGAGCTGGAGCGGATGGATCGGTATCCGGAGAAGCAGGCGGTGTACAGCGTAGACAAACCCTTCCGGCAGACTAGTCTTGACCTTCGTCAGAACACTGCCAACTGGCATCCCGCAAGAGAGTTCACAAGGTCCATAGCTCAATTTAATAATTATGTTTTTAAAATTTACATATGGAAATATAATATACATGACGTCAAAATTCTATTAATTATTTCGTATTAGTAACCCGCCTGATCTTGGCATGAGTATAGAAATCTATTGATGGACGAAAATGCGTTCTGTAGTTTTTGTGATTGTCTATGATGTATATTAGATTATTTGTCTATTATTATATGTGGTGTTAATTTGCGAATTTGTCGTTGCAGGCGCCAACAAGCGGAGCCTGAGAGGTATTCTTCAAGTAAGGCATCAGTGACGTCATCATCGGGCAGCAGCAAGCAGCGGCCACACGAGCCACATCACAACTTCATGCGACTTTCGTCTGCGAATGAACAGGACAATATTGCCGCGGGTAGGCCCCTATTTAGAAATGTGGAAAATGTATAACATCAATTTACTGAAATTGACTTTGTATAAAGTCGAGGTTAAATCTGTCTCACAGATCCGATCCCTCGTCCAATTCAAACGGGGAACATATCGAAAAAAACTGTCTCTCATGCAGCTTGCAGCAAATAAGCTAATTTTACCTAAATGCCGCCTGCACAAAGTCAGTAATTCATTCTATGGTAATTGCGTAAGATTTTATAATAAACTGCCAGAATCTGCACTAAATCTGACAGAGAGGCAATTCAAATCTTATATTAAACAATTTTTGTGTAAGAAAGCCTATTACAGGATAGACGAATTCATAGACGACAACATATCAAGTATATAACTAGTTTATTAGCATACAACGTTATAATTTAATTTTCTCATTGCTTTCTTGATTTAATTGATTGATTTTAGAAATATGAAAGCGTAGCGGTTTTTGTATTGATTGCCGCATGCATTCTTATGTAAAATGTGAATACTATAACTATCAGATAGCAATTGTAAGTAGCTTTGACGTAGTCTAGTGTTTTGAGTAGTCATGCTCACTAAAATGTCCAGACTTGTGGCGGCGTGGTGGGCCGGGTCATTGGGCTCCCTAAAATATGGTCGAGCGCAGTGATGGCTGGCTCATCCGTCATACTCGTGAACGGGACCTGCTTGTAGGGACTGGTCTGCTCTAATCACTATGACTGATTTCCTCTTATTAATTGTTTAACCAGTTGGTTATATATTCAATATTATTTCTATTTGAGTATTTAATAGAATTAGTGCTAATTGGTGGTTTGTATTCACACACTTAAACTTAAAAATGTAAAGTAATAATAAAATTATTTAAAAGAGCAACACGCAAGTTTCTTGCTCGTTCTTCTTGTGATGAGACAGCTTTCCGAACGAGCGGTAGATTAAAAAATGTAATGACTATTCAAAAGTGCTTCAATGTAAGTTTATTTGAATAAATGATTTTCTATTCTATTCTATTCTATTCTTGCATACAGGAGCACAGTTTACAAAATAAACTGTGCTCCTGTTTGTAGTATGAGATATTGCAGTAAAAGCATTACATTTTTGGAGTGGACAGAATGGGAGTGCATAAAGTATATCACACAGACTGACCCTGGTACTGTTTATCTATTCATATAGGCGACGGTGCCAGTTTCCTTTCGACCATTCTTTATTTGTCATTCCAGCTATATAAAAATAAATATATTTTACTCTTTTGTCCACAGTGAATTATAAAATGAAATGCGTCAATTTAGAGCCTCCGCTAACTGAGCCAAATGTACAGAAACACAATCAGCGCCTTGAAAGAAATCCTGCACCTCGTGATCGCACCAAATCTCGACGTAAGTTTAATTTTAATATGTCCTGTTATATCACTGATCTAGCCATGTTTTAAAGAAGTAATGGCTACATTGAGTTAATTTGTATTTTATACCAAAATTCTAAAATTTTATGTATATATTTAAACCTAAGGTTTTACATAATAGTTCTTCTCCTAAATAGCATTAGGTCGTTTTTTATCTCAATCTTGCTAGCAAAGCATCGGGATAATGTAATACCGGATTTAGTCCTAAAGTCCACTTCAAAATGTGATTGATTTAGTATAAAACATTCTGTTATTAAAATAACTGGCATTTGTTTACATGACTATTATGAGAAAATTTAACACTATCAAAATTTAATATAAGATTCCGAATTTGTTTCTCAGTGACTATAGTGTAATTTCATGACTACACTACCAATTTTCGGGTTCATTTACTTTTTAGGACTAACAATATTTATTAAAATTATTCTTAGGGCACAAAAAACCTGTGGAAGTGGAGGAAGTACCCATGGATGGCGAGGAGGAAGAGGAAGACGGGGGAGGTTCCCCGCTGTACTGTAACTGGGATCTGCGCGGCATGCAGCACCTGCTGCCACTTCAGGACTACATCATACAGCAGGCCAAATTATCTAGTTAGATTTTTTTACTTGGATTAATTATTAAGATTGTTCAATATTTATTTATTTATTTGTACACTTCTACATTAATCAATATAGTTAACATGTTTTAACAACAATCCCTGCGCTTCAGTTCAGCGAAACAGTTGAAGGCTTGTGTCGCAGGAATTGTGGAAGACGAGTTTGTTCCGATTAGTATACACACATTGATGGAAAAAAGTATAATCTACACTATCCTTAGCAGGAATACCATTTTTGATAATAAGTTATATTTGATGCTTGATTATCGACTGATTTTTATTATATATAATTCATACTTTGAAAGTCCGACTTATAAAAATGTTATTTTATTGAAGGTCGTGGTCGATACGGCGGATCCGGGTCGGATGGGGAGTCCGGTTCGTCTCGGTCTCGCTCGCGCTCCGGTTCCGAGTCCCGTTCTCTGTCCGGCCACGAACCGGACAACGAGTCGTCGGACGGCGGCGCTCGGACGCCGGACGATGACGACGGTTCTGGAGTGTACTTACCGCACTCGTACGCGCATCGTCCGTCTGACGTCGAATATATGAACCATGGAGTTTCTTATTATAATACATTTGTTGGTTTCGATCGAGATCGACAGCCTTCACCGGGGATTCATAGAGTGAGTTTACATCTGAATAATATGTTAAATTGTTTAGTCTTTCTAATGTTAATAATATATTTTTATATAATATGAATACAAACAATATGAGGGTTCACTTAATGAAAAGAGAATTGTCTGTATTGAAATGAAAAGGATATTGAATAAATTACAAATATATTGTCATTCTTGCTATCTCACAAATGTCGTTATTCGTGACGACTAAAGAATTATATCATACTCTGTAATTCAAACTAAAATCCTATAAATTAATCAGACATACAGACATTTTTGTGCGATTTTTTAAATTTGATATTCTTTTGAGTTAAAACATACATATGAATAGTATAGCTTGTATTAATTTAAATTATTTTAGCAATATAAACAAGATTTTACTATACATAGGATGTATTTATATAATTGTGACTACCCAGGTTCTTAGGTTGAATAGATTTGACTGATATAAGAATTTTTTAGACGTCGTCGCTGGGTGGCGGTGGCGCGAGTGCCACGAGCGGAGCGGGCGTGGGTGGGGCCACAGTGGCGGCGGGCGCGGGCGCGGAGGCGGGCGCGGGCGGCGCGCTGTACAGCCCGGTGCGGGCGCACGCGCACTTCACGCGCCCGCCGCCGCCCGAGCAGGACATCGAGATATTCGCCAAGGATAATCTCAACTTCAACAAGGGCATCTTTAGGAGAAAAGTTTGTACATTTATTATTTTCATTTTATACAATACCGCACGGATGTACTTGTGTATTGAATGTAAATGTACTAATGTATAAAACTTCCTCTTAAATCACTCTATTGCTGAAAATTACATTAATATCTGTACTGTTAGCGAACAGACAGTGGGAGAGACTTGGTTTTATACTATGTAAATAATTATCAGTATAATGATGGATTAAATTACATAAGATTGATTAAAGTAAACCTTAGAAGAAATTGTAACGTGTTTTGCATTTTTTGTCCATTAGCAATAGTAAATATAATTTTGACCCAAAAATAACTCTAATTTGCAATTTAATCTGAAAGGGGTCTGGTAATAATAAAAAGGTTTTGTATCGTCGCAATTAGTAGTAATATGTTTAAGGTTCTTATACATTGTAATATTTGCTGACTATGTTATATATTTTCGAAAACATGACTATAACACAAGCAAGTTTCCAAAAATAGGAATCCTGAATATCACAAATATTAATTTATATTTGCAATTAAATAAGTTTGCAGCGCATTGACTTATCCTGGCCATTAATAGATTTTTTTAATATTGTAGAATGGTACATACATCTTTTCTTTTTACTTTAGGAATATCCGTCATAGAGACACGGACATCCTAAAATAGGCAAAAAGCAGTTGCTATCGACAGACACTGAAACTCGGCTGCTATCAACTTATGATGCATATTTATAAGCTTATTTTTATACAGCATGCATTGTTAAATTAGTATGCCAATTAAAACAATCTATTTCTTATTATATTTTGGTTTACTATACATTTCCGTGTTCACATTTTTCTAGGCGTCAGTCCGGGACATGCTGTCGTGGACGTCATCATCAATCAGCGCTCCCATGGTGGGCGCAGAATGGGACAAGGCGCATAAAAAAGCGGCCATCGACCTTTTCCGATTGGTTCAAATCTACATGGGCGACCGAAAAGCACGGCCTGGGATGACGCTTAATTCCGTTGCACAGGACATACTGCATGCCACGTTTACTAACGAAAAGTACGTCTACAACAGTTTGACCCAATGTCTAGTGAAAAGTCCCGATGCACAAGTATTAGAATTATTAATATTAGAATATTCACACTATCGATCTCATTGTATTCAAAGCAAAGTTCAGTATTGAGAGGTTTCTTACTGTAAAGATATGTACAATTAAAATACATGATGGTACAAAATACTCTTTTGTTTGCAGCAATACGTATTGATATTGTATATCGAAAGGTCTTTAAATATTTGATCCAGCATATAATATTATTTACGCCTTTATTGCACATTAAAGTAGTAAAGTTTTATTGTGCAGTAAAGAGTGAATGAATAAATATCTCACACACATTGCCTTACTCCCGATGGCTGCGTTGTGGGTAATACGTTGTGTGAATTTGTCCTTAGAAATAAATGAAAATAATGGTTTATCGTAGGCTGCGCGACGAGCTGTTCGTGCAGCTGTGCCGGCAGACGACGGAGAACCCGCTGCGAGACTCGCTGCTGCGCGGGTGGGAGCTGCTGGCGGTGTGCCTGGCCTTCGTGCCGCCGTCGCCCGCCTTCCAGCCCGCGCTCACCAACTACGTCAACCGGCACCGCGACCCCGCCTTCGCTGACGCCTTCCCAGAGGTCGCACCGCTACTTCACTTGCACCACTATTATAATCCTTATTTAACACTCGCGAGGATCATTATTCCTGCTTGTATGTTTAAGTAAACGTAAGTTAGTTCCCTGTGATTGTCTGGAGTCTAAACTAGGTCGAAAGTGTACTGCGAATCTCCAGACACGGTCCTAATAGTGGCTATAAGCCAAAGTAATATGAAGGAATAACTTCAGTCGGTTATGCATATATAGTACAAAATTCAATGTTTATTAATGGAACTTGTCGGATATTTGCATAATTCTCAAATTAACTGTTAACCTCAAATATTAGTATTCTCTTTCTCATAATTCTCATTAAAGGTATACTTACTATTAATATTTGGTACACTAATACTTTTGTTTCTTTGATATGATATGAGAATTCAGAACCAGAAAGATATAATGTGATAGGAATGTATCTTACAAATTTTCACCCAGTGTTATTTATATACCTTTTATTAGTCTAAAAGTACAATTTATATAAGAAAAGTTAATTTATGAAATCAATATAAATTATAGGTTGGTAAATGGCCAATCCACGTTCAAGTATCACACTATGCTGGGGTTGCATGCAAGAGATTAGAGAGAATCGGTTTTGGCGGAAAGAGGCAACCACGTAAACCTTCCACTGAAGACATAGACCAGGCCAGGGTGGGTATTTTGTTAACAGATGTTTACTAATATTTTACCAGAAGAGAGACCGTACAGATATTAATGTTTTATCTACTTCCATTTTACATTAGATATTAATGTTTTATCTACTTCCATTTTACATTGTTAGCCATATTTTATACAGTTCTGCTTTTAGTTGTACTAAATACATTGGTGATATACATACATATATTTTTGTCGATTTTATGGGTAAAGTGTAGAAATACTTTGCGATTTCGGATGACGAAGTAATTTAGTGATAGTGATGCACCATCATTAAAATTACTGAACCGAGCAATGTTCATTCTATTTTCTATAATAAAACGCAGTATAGTCTTTGGAATGCAATATCGCTGATTTACTGTTGCAAATATCTATGCACAACAATATTATAATGCTAGCTGTGCCTGTGGTTTCACTCACATAAAATTTATAGCCTATGTGTTATTGTGATTTATAAGCTTAGTCTTCTTAGTATAGACAAAATCCGCATAGTAATCTTTTGCATGAAAAAGTAAGAAACATCCATTCATACTCATACTCACAAATTTCGCGTTTATACTATTAGTAAGATATATCATTTATATGGTTCCAGATCCAAATCTTCCGTCAGTCAATGTTCGGGAACACGCTATCCGAGGTGATGGCGCTGCAGAAGGAGCGGTTCCCGCACCGGCAGCTGCCGTGGGTGCAGGTGGCGCTGTCGCAGCAGGTGCTGGCGCTCAGCGGACGCGACACCGAGGGTATCTTCAGGGTCTCTGCTGACGTCGACGAGGTCAACGCGCTCAAAGCCAAGATCGACAACTGGGAGCTACCGGATGCTTCCACACTCACTGGTAATTTCATTATTTTTAGCTTGTAGAGTAGTGAAACATTGATGGTCGTTACATTTGATTGTTGTGATTTTGATCGATATAAACATTTATATTATTAGTATTAATATATTAAGTATATATTTACTAAATAAAACTATCAATCGACGTAGACTTGGTACAAAATAAATAAAGTAAATGAATAATGGTCATTGGGTGATATGACAGTAAAATTATAGGATATGAATGTGTAACACCATAGTTTTGAAGAAAAGATGACGATTGGCACTTTTCACCATGTGCATTATCGATTTGTTTACATATCACATACATAGGAAAAAATGCTAACAAATCTAATATTATCTACTCGTCATTGTCGTCTTTGTACACCATCCATACTTTTTTTCTTTCTCTATCACACTCATATAAATATATCTCTCTCACTCGTTAATCTTCGTTCACACGTGTTTGATAATCATCTCGCTATATCTTATTATGTCATTAACTATCTCACTCCCACATATATAAATATTCTAGTCGATCAGTAACATAGAAGCCATGCCTAATTTTGAACTAGAAACCTTTTGATGTGATTGATTTAATCAGAGTGATTTATTGTGATGTGTGGTTCGTACAGATGCCCACGCGCCGGCGAGTCTATTGAAGCTGTGGTACCGCGAGCTGTACGAGCCTTTGATCCCGGACGCGCTGTACGGGCCGTGCGTGGCGGCCGGCACGGACTTCGCCGCCGCTACTCGTGTGCTGCAGCGCTTGCCACCTCTCAATCGACTCGTGAGTACCGACCACATAGAATTATTTACTTATTTTATTTATTAAATCTTTAATGCACAACACAAGACCAGTCAACCATAGGACAAACATTATCATATACTATATATAATATGTACATAATACTTACATATTAAAAATTATTATTATTTGTATTTAAAGTTTTTGACAATACAAATATAGATAAAAATTATAATTTTTAATTATTAGAGAATAACTATTTATTGAAATCTTACTGCACGTTTTTCCTCAAGAATCACATTATTATATGGTTTTAAGTAAGAGCAATAAAACGTGTTGTATTATAATACCATTGTCACATTGTCGATATATCAACATAGAGAGTATGTAAAAAACATTAATAACTAGCGGCAAATTATAAAATTATTTTATTTTATTACCCTGTCTGCTATTTAAATTAAAAACATATAGTATGTTTCTATTACAGGTACTCACGTACTTGATCAGTTTCCTTCAGCAGTTCACCGCACCAGAAGTAGTAAGTCAAACCAAAATGGACTCTGCTAACTTGGCAATGGTGTTCGCACCAAACTGTCTCCGTTGCACGTCGCAGGATCCAAGGGTCATACTAGAAAACGCGCGTAAAGAGATGACATTCCTCAAAACTCTCATAACCAATTTGGATACGTCCCACGTCCAAGATCTTCTGTGACCGATGAATCTCAGTTATTGCAATAACAACGTGGTCTCCGAAGTGACATACTGACTACAGCTGGCGATGGTATGCTAAATATTGTAATAGAAACGAAATAGTTAATTGGAAAGTAGTCAGTCGCTGGTTTCGCTCGCATCGAGCGGCCCGTCGATCGCGGCTCTTTCGTTGAATTCACAAATCGTTCATCACGTATGTGTAGATTTATAGTATATTATTAGCTTCCGAGGGGCAGCGCATGGTGAACGAACCGAGTATCTCGATATCATTGTATAAAATATGTATGTATGTATACTGCGTTGAACCAAACATTTTTGTGTCTAGTCTATGTGATTTCTGTTGATCATTCTGTGCGGAATGTAGTGTTCGAGTGACGTGGTATACGGGCAAGTTTTTTGACTTCCCTCAAATTATATTTGACATTCTTGTATATTTTTTGTATTTTTGTACGCTATATAATATAATTTTATTTGGTTGTACCCAAAGATATTTAATGAGATGTGATTTTAATTATATTTAGACTTGAGCTTTACAAAAGTATATGTGCAATGTGTTTCGTGCGGACTTGTTTGTTGAGACGATTGCATGTTTGTTATTAGTTACTACTATTGTTTAGTGCGCCGTTTTGACGCATTTGTTTAAGTGCAGATATTATTTTTCTACCACTAACAAAATACTTAAACGATCTCTGTCGGTGAACTATGATTTTATAGGATGACAGTTTGATATATAATAAATACGGCTAGAAGGCGAGTAAATTCTAAAGAACGCAGGTAGAGCAGTACTTTTAGTGGCCTTATTTTAATATAACGTATTTCATGTAATAGATCTAATTCGTTTCTTGGAACAACATTTTAACGGCTAATGTGTTTATATAAGCATATACACATACATTAGCTGCTTAAAATTTGTTTTTAAATAAATCATAAAGTTTATTGTTAAATGCAGTTATGATTGTTATGTGCCCGCTGCTACGCTACTATATGACATTATATCCAGAGTTTTATGTGGTTAATAGAGATATGCTAAAACTTAGTATACGGTAAAGTATACAGTAGGATTATGTGTATGTATACATTCTGTCTGATTGCAAATCATAGTTCTCTGATGTCCAACTAATAGTTGTACCAATACGAAATAGGATTAGGTAAGACGTAACCATAATTATTTTAAGTGTGGACACAACAGAAATGCATGAAAATCACCCTTTAAAGAGTGTGGCATAAAAAGTAATGTTCGCTAAATAATGCAATAGGTAATAATTATAAACAATCCGTGACTAGTAGTAATAATATAGGCGATATACAATTTTGTTTACAAATATTAAATTTTCTCATTTAATCTCAATAAAATAAAATAATTGTGAACCTTATTATTCGCTATTGTTTCCTATTTATCATTGCTCTACCGTTTCTTTATAGTTCTTATGAGAATTCACAATAATCTCTTACGTTATAAAATATACATTATATCTTGAATTCTAGACTTCGTTTTTAATTCAAGCCTACTGGTTCACAATTTCTCCAAGCTCCGTTTTTAGGAATAATTTTGTGTTTTTTTTAGGTGATTCGTCACTGGATAGTTAGTCAATAATGCTGTGTGCATATATAAGTTTGTTAGACGACTACATCGGGTAGTACACCACTATGCGGCTACAACGTTTTAACATCTCGATCCCTCTTTGTTCGACCAATATCAATTAAAGTTCTCAATATTTATACTAGATGGCGCTAGGTGAAATGTACAACGCGCTATAGTTTCGTTTTCTTTGAGTATCACCACTGTACGGAATTTAGTAATTTGAGTTCGATTTACATCCGAATATATCCTTGTTTACTATCCAATTCGGTGTTGTTTGATTTCTTGGCCTCGAGTAGAACATTGCTCCTTCGAGTCGGATAATATCCACCTCAGCTGTGTATCTTGAGCAGTGAAACTGCCCTTTCTAATAATATTATTCGTTAGGATCATTCCATAAATATCCACCCCTAGCAACAAGTCTATCTTACTAGGTGTACCATAACCGAGATCAGCCAGAGTTAAATCTGATAATTCTGGCCAATCTTAAACTGGATGACAAAGCGTTCTAAACGAGGTATAAATGGACTGTATCTTAAAAATGACCATATGTTTGATGGATAAGTTAAACTGATCTCCACCCAAGCCAAATACTATTCCTTTCAAAGGAATTTTATGAAGCCCTAATAATTGAACAGCACGCTCCGTAACGAATGAGGCTTGAGAACCCTGATCCAGTAATGCTCGCAGTGTATAACAATCTCTATTAGTGTCCACGTGTACTAAAGCCGTAGCCAACATTACTTGACCAGGTGATGATATTGAACCATTAGCAAAATGTGTTGAAATTCGACTTGATTCTTAAACCTCCTCTGCACATTTTCTTGCTCTCTGTGCGAGCACAGGTTCATTCGTTTGATTTAGTCCCATATTATACGATGAACTCGAATTTCCCTCAGGGTGCAGTAAAGAGAGATGTCGCCGTCCGCAACGCCTACAAGTGGTACGTCTCTTACATCGGCTCACTGGATGATTACTTCCAAAACAGTTGAAGCATAATTTATTTTTCTGAATAAATTCATGACGACTTTCATAACTCTCTTTGTAAAACTTTCCACATTGGAATAATAAATGACTTTCTTTACAAAAGGAACAGGAGATTGCGGTAACACTAAAAACTTTTGGTCTCTCTACTTTATCATCATTTCTCTCATTATTATGAAGACATTCCATAGCCAAAAACCTGCATTCTAGGAATTTATTGAATTCCTCTAATGTTGGTAATATGTCTGAGCGGTCACTGATCTTGTGCTCCCACTGAACTCTAGTACTATTATCTAGTTTTAATGACACAAGATGTATAATGATAATGTCCCAAGAAGATGTATTGACTCCTATATTAGATAATGCACTCAGGCAATCATTTATTGTGTCCAGTAACTGCTTGATTCCGTTTGCAGACTCTGTCATCAACTTTCTTTGACCGACCAGTCTCGTGAGAATTGAATTAGCAATATAGCGCCTATTATTATATCTCTTTTTTAGCTTATTCCAACAATATCTGTTCAGCTTCTCCACTGAGGTGTGCCTTTAAGTTGTGCAACTTCTGAACTTCTGCTAAAGATGTATTACTGTCGATCATAGAAACAAATAAATCATGGAAGGACTGCCATTCCAAATATTTTCCTGAGAAAATTGGTAAAGAAATTCGTGGTAAATGAGTAATACTACTTCCAGGAGGCGAGTTTGAAGATTGATCTTTACTGTTCTCCTCTTTTTCCCTTGGTTCATCTTTTTTAATATTGCCATAGAATCTTGGAGTGCACATTTAAAATCAACATATAATTCTTCAACTTCATCAAATAGACTTAGTTTAAAATAAGTTATATCTTTACGGCTTCTTTTAAAATATTCCGATGATTTTCTTCAAACCCGTCAATTATTATTTAAAATATTTAATCTCTCTACAAAATATCCATATGAACTACGACTTTTAAACTTTTTATAATTGCTATAATTTTTATTTATTTTATCTTGAATACTTTTCTGATATTTCATTAAATCTTTCATCTTCCATTGTTTTAGTAAAACTGCCAATTGAAAGTTGAAAGTCAATTAATAACCGTTTGCACTGAGTCTTAAACGATACACTGGTTTCGCATCATAATCTTGTTGACTATGCTCTATACGTCCACGTACTCTCATTATTTGTTTATCATCTAGGAATAGACACAAAGACAATATTTTACTACCTTTTGGTATGGATCGATACTTCATCAACTTTGAAATTGAATAAATGTGGAAGTAAAAGTGAAGTTAATTTGGAATTAACTGACTAAAATTTAAGTCATATAATGCTAGAAAAGCTGTCGAAGTTACAGTGTTACCATATCGGTGATTTTAGATAATTTCATTCATAACCGTAGGAGTAGTAAATAATGCAGTCAAATATAAGCAATCGTAAAATTATATGTTGTCGTATGAAGTTATCCCACTTATGTTAGTAATTAGTTGAGAAATGCGATCTGTGAAAGACTGTTATTTCTTTCTTATGCCCAATATATTATGTCTATATTTAATGCAAGTATTGGATATAGACATAGTTACGAACTGAATTTCATGCTTCTTCTGTTTCATTGTTCCAAATATTTTAGAAGATTAAAACTATTACATTTCAATGACAAGTTAATTATATTAAGAGAAAGATATCAGTTGATTAGAATGATTTTAAGTCAATTTTATATTAATTAAGTATCTTTAATTATTAACTTTTTTCGTTGCTTCATTTCCTTCGTCAATACGAATAATTAAATTAAGTTTAATTTGTAGTGAATTCATGAAAAAGTGGTAATTTTCAGTCGCTTATTTATTAAATATTGAATTATATAAAGTAATAGTAATCAACATCAATTTACTATAATGCGACACTTTATCGTTTATCAAATTTAGTGCTATTAGTAAATTGTTACAATTTCATCACAATGTTATCTTAAATATTCATTTTATGAAGGCATATCCATAGACTCGCTTAAAAATTACCTAATATGAAATTGATATTCTCATATTTGGATATTTAATTGAAATATATGATTTTAATCTAGAGTGAGGTATGTCTAAAATGGTATTACAGCTCTATTATTTGTATTTAAATATTAAACTAGAGACCCCTCCATATGGCAGCGTGATCTATAAGTTTTTCAGTATTATCTATTATTTTATATCATTATCATCATAACATCCCATTACCGAACCATTACTGACTACGTAACATCACATGAGAATTTTATATACAGGATTACCTGTTACTCGCGACTTGTTTGGTAAAGATAACAAACAGTATGGATTTGTGTTTAGAAATTTTCTCCTTTTGCGGTTACACCGTCAATTAAGTATTCTATAAATAGCTAATTCGTTAAAGATCAATTGCAAATATTATATCTGGTTGTGTTATTTCTTTTTCCTCTAATTTTAATATTGGGCAGTTTTAAGAATCTGTTACTTATAAAATTAGGCGTTCAGAGGAGCGGTCTAAAAATTACTGGTTTCCTTTTATGAGAATATGGGATGCAGCGCTTGATAATATTGTTCCTTTTAGGAAGACAGACACAGATAATATATCCCTTTATATTCATGTATAGTTGATGTTAAGGTGTTTTATGATTCTCATTAACATCTCATATATAATGTTATCAATGCGACCAAACTCATAAGAAATATCACTATAGTCATATTCCTAGACTACTAATATATTTAATATTATTGAAAGTATAGAAATAAATCTTATAATGATTGAAGAAATTTTACTTTTATCGGCATCTGCGTAAAATAAAAGAAAATTAAAAGTCACGAAAATTAAAGTTACTATTATAACGTAGAATAAGTAAACAGCTTTAAATTTGACATGCTTGAAATGAGAGATCTAGTTAAACGATTTATTTATAGGCAAATTATCCATTATTTGTAATAAGCAAATTATATCACATAGATTTATTTCACTTACTATGATCAAATAAATATAATATAGCTCATAATTAAAAGTGATTTACATATTTTAATGCAGTTGTTGAAAGCTTTACTGTGGAATCTTTAAATTCTTTTACTGAATAACTTACGTTAGTATTATATCTATGGGTTGTAGTAATTTTTCGACAGTGGGAAAGATGATAATAGAAATGAAGAGATAGCGATGTGAAAAAGAGGGAGTATAATATTGTTATAATTATCTCTATCCGTTTGGTTGCCATTTATTACAATGATCAGTACCGAAATGCCGATTTAAGTCTTGTGATTTTGAACCTATTTATTACTTTACATGAGACCACTATCCTATAGAGCATTTTTCTAGACTTAAGATTTTAATTGCATTTATTGCCCATTCCACGCTGCTAGCACTCGCAAACTTAAGTTGTTTTTAAATAGGCTGAATTTTAATCATTCGTTTTTAAGTAAAATTATATTTAAATGATAAATATAAAGTAATACATACATATATGAGAGTTGTACATTATTGTCTAGGAAAAATACACCAAATTAACTATTCAATGTTAATATTTACTTGACCAAATATAGTAAACGACAAACAAAAATATACTGGTGGTTTCCTTTTCTTTCGGATGTAGGACGCGTGTATTCTCAACGATTTATTTGCTCTTTGCATAGTTTGACCTTTGTACACGTGGCACTTAAAAAGAGCCGCAATATTTTAAATCTCAACATGGACAAATAAACATATAATAACCTTAAAATTATCTGTTATATCATAAAATATTACTCCTAATGTTCCAACTATTTTAATTATAAATAATTTATATAAAATCTCGACTTATATTTTAGTTTGAAATAGAAATGTTTCAAACTCAATATCTACTATTATTGTAGGTGTATTATTTATTATATGACATAAATGAATAGAGTCACAAAATATTGAAATAAAATGTATTTTAGTGTACTCGTGCACTACTGTAATGACTACTTATTTTGTTTATTGCCGTATATGTTGTACTATCGTGAATTTAATGTTTATATAAAATTCCCAAGTGCCGCTATTGCAAAGCAATAAATTTATGAATTGAATATGGAACGCAGTTGAATAATTTACAATTTTTTAATTTGCACTCGTTTTATTTTCGAAATTTGAGCAAATTAACGATTTTGTAAGTTTCCATAACAGGTTTAGGAATATCAGTACAGTCGGCTTCATAAGATAGGTAACACGGTGGTCATGAAGTAGGTGATATCCTTATGTGACCATCCTTAACGCTTTAATATGAGGCTGATTGTACATAAGGCGGACTGTATTGTTCGTTGCTACCTCAACTTTGTAAAAACAAGCAAGTGATATTTACTCTTAAATATGTCAGATATTATGAGATCTACTCACACCGCTAATACCTAAATGAGCAATTGGTTGTTAATTAGATTATATTTATTTCTCTGTGAATATAATTCTAAAATCTCAAAACTGATTTTTATACAGTGGGTATCATTTATGTGATACAAATATATAATAGTAAATCTTTTATTTGGTTTCAGTTTAGTAAAGTATAAAGTTTGTGCATTGATTTAGTCATGAAAATATTATTTATTATAATATGGATTTTCCCATTTTATCTATATTTATATTTAATGTGTACGCAACCCCCATCATTTGGGTATTTAAATATATATAGCGTTTAATATTTTACTTTGAACGCTATTGGTAGGTACTTACTAAGTTGATGATATTATGAAAGACTACTTCTATTTAAACAGAAATTATAACAATATGATGTCCAGCGTTAGTAGGTATGTATTGTATTGTTATCAATAAATTTTAATATGATTCCACTTGAGATATGTTCATAATTTATGACAAGTAATTAATGTGTATATTGAAGTTTGGAACAAAATATAGATAAAAAGTTGAAAAATTGTTTTCATAAACATATTTAGACTCTTTCGTAGTTCGTAGACTTGTATTCTGATACTAGCGCTAGATTATCAATTGTTATACATTTTCAGTTATACTTTATATATTTACACAGAATGTTTTATTTATAATAATAATATAGTATTTAGAAACACTATATATAAAGTTTCTACTTGTCTAATCAAAAATTGAGTCAAATAAAATAAAAGTCTTAAAATCAATTTGTATATCTACAGTTTAATGTTAATGTTACCGTATGTATCTAAATAAAGTGCCATAAGATATGTAAATTTATTAATTTTAAACGATACCTTTATGATCCGCTTGTATAATAACCTTAGCTTCGCTATTGAACAGCTGATCTGTTTAAACTTCAAAGCAATGGATGCATATTTGCTACTTATCAATCGAAGCTTTACCATGCTCTCTATTCTTTAATAATTAATTATAAATACCGATACTTAATTGTAAATGAAATGATACAGAGCACAATTTATTTTTTTGTAAATGATATTAGTTATTTAATGAATATGTATAGAATGCACCAATATTAATTTAAGAATCGCAATGGCTGCGAGATTTATACTACCAAGAAATGCTTATATTTCAAATTATGTAAAATTGTATAGTGCTTATAAATAACTAATGGCAACATTATATTACCTTTGTATATAACATGCCTATTTTTCTTTATTGTTCATGACAATATAATGCCTATGATGTTCATAATGTAGAATATCATTATAAATGTGAACGTTCGGGTGAAATAAAAACGTTTATCCGGTGGATAATTGCGAATACCATAGATTTTGTTTTATTTAAAACTTCGTATCCAAATAGATAAATCGAGGCCACAACATTTTTGTCTATACATGTGTATAGTAACCTTTACTTCACCAATACAGTTATCCAATAACGAAATTGAACGTATATTAAATATAATTTCGTGACTAATACGGCACGTCACATCTACGTGGCAATAAGTTTTGTAACGTGCTTTTTAACGTTCAGGCCAATTTCTAAGAGACAGAAAAATGAAAAAGAACACATTTTTATCTTCGTTTTATAGAAAAAGAAAATATTATAATGTGTTGGAAGCTTTGTCCCTAACAAATCTGATCTTAAAGTTGACGGGATATCAAGTGATTGCTTTAAATCATTCAAAATACGACACTGAATCTATGTTTTCATTTCTTGGACTATTTAGTTTTGTTATTTGGTCTTGCCTGTACTTCTACTGTGTTTATAATTCGCACGTTACGGATCAAACGGTTGTCCGATTGATGTTCAATTCCAAACTTAAACAGTATGGCGATATCTATGAGGAGTTTGCTACAACGTTCTACTTTCTTTATATGATGTGGAAACTTGGTTTTGACTTATTTGCTACCCCACGGTTTGCAAAAACTATAATTGCTGCTGACAAAATGATATCTGATATAGGCATGTTATTGGACTACAACAAAGATCGATGGCTCACAATTGCCACTGTAGTGATTGTCATATTTACTTGTATGCTTCGATCAATTTCTCTATGGTTCGTTATATCGAATATAAATATGCCTATTCCGTATGAAAAGTTATTTCAAAACATATACTCGGATAATTTGGCCCTCATAGTGTCTTGCTTTTATTGGTATCATTTATTCCTATTGCGAGAGAGGTACATGATGTTAAACAAAGTATTGATTGATATAAAAAATAAAAACTCGTGGGAATACATGATTTTCGTTCGTCGTAAGCCAGTGGATATGAACAAGGCGTGCCAGCTAGAAGACAAGTATGTTAGTGAGAAAATAAAGAGCTCTGCAAAAATATGTAGCATCCTATATTCAGCTTCTGAGATAATCAACGAATTGTTTGGCTTCGCTCTTTATATTACATTACTATTTTGTATGAACTATATAATAATATATATGTTTTATTTTATGGAAGCAACTGCCATGGGATTATTTCACAATATGCAATTATATTTAGATTTCTTAGTGTACATATTTTGGCAGATTATGTACTCAACAGTGATTTTGTTCATTAATGTCTACTGTGCTGAGTATACAGTGTTCGTGGTTCGTATATTTTAATTAATAAAGTATAAGAAAACATATTAAGGTCTAAAACAAAATATTATATACCTTTAGTATATGAAGTATTACAATATTATTGTTGGCATTGCTAAGAAACTAATTGCTCATTTCATTTGTCGTTATTGTTGTTAGTATAATCAGTTGTTTAAAAATACATTTTTGCATTGTATATTACCCAGATATGACTAACGAAAACATAATACATAGGCATCTAATTCATATTAAATATTTACTTTATTTGATTTCTTTCAGGTTAAAAAAATGTCATTCATCACCCATGAATTAATAAACAGTAACTTAAGCCCCGCTATCACGAAGGAGGTAAGGATGTCTACGACTATGTACCTAAAAAGTAAAATCCCATGACTTCAATGTTCAATATTTAAGGCGATACGAAATGCCAAGAATGGCGAGATTAAAAGTTTCGGGATAAGTTTGATGAACTAGAAAACGGAAAACTCAACTCAACTGCTGAGAGTATATACTAACAACGAAAAATAGAAATTGAAGCTTGATGTCTCGCCGGCGTCGTAGTGGTTTTAAACTATTGTTACTATTTTTTTTTATTGGGTTGTTTGGGCTTTTGTCAGGTGCATCTGTAGCACTACGACATACATACATCTATTGTGCTCACCCTCTTCAAAATTCGCTACTTGTCCCTGATGACCCCAGCTTATAAGGGACAACAATTGTTAGGATATTGTTACTAGCAATACACGAAATTAGGTAACCTTATTTTTATATAGGAATGGCAAATAATCTGAGGGTCTACCGGATGGTAAATAGTAACAGTTGCGTCGTCGCTTAAATACCTGAATAGCACTATGGCATCAATCATTATCATGTGATACCTACTCATGATAGAAGACATTAATTGTTAGACATAGAGGACTAATCTAATTAGTATTTGATGAATAAATGAGGTATATATATATATATATATATATATATATATATATATATATATATATATATATATATATATATATATATATATATAAAAGCAAGAGTTATTTGTTAAATTACAAGTAGAGGCAAAAATATTGTTATATACAGGAATATAATCTAGACGTGTCTTTGTTTAAAATCAGGCTATGCTGCTCTCCCAACAATTGCTGCATCAGCGTCTAATATTCACGGCTTCAGGTTTTTACACATTAGATTATGAAAACCTGTATCAGGTAATTTTTATTAAACTACTATAGATATAGGCTTTAGTTAACATTATTAAACTACATACATATTTATATGTTTTCTCGAACATTTCACATATAGTTCAACGAACTGTTAGGTACCCGCGAGTTTGTGTACAAAAAGTTTAATTCCCTATATCACATTTCACACCATTTCAGATGATAATGTTTTTTGTAGAAAAAACTTAAAATTCAAATTTTGCTCAGGCTGTCACAATTGCGATCTCTGATTAGAATCGGACAGGAGAACTACTGTTTCCTTGTATAGATACATACTAATCATCATCCTTATACGTCTCTGGACTGGATTCATCATCTGCTTCTTCCTTATGCCATTTATTTGGGGTCGGCGTAATATGTTTTTCTCTTTCATTCATCCATATTCACAGTCATCTCATGCTCACAGATAAATCGTTATTGTTATTCATGTGTTTAAACTGTGCTATATTATACCAAGAAATAATATACTTTCTTAATTCTGATTTCAGAAAGCTATGACAATTGTGACCTTTATGCTGATGATATTACAATTTGTCTCAGATTCCGAAAGAAGACATTAACAACCCAGGTAATATAGGTAGTATTGTTTGGTTATTGTTACATTTTTTTAATATAATGTCTCTATTATTATTTTTTTACACAGGTGTTGACTCTACTCGAAACTATTGCAACCATTACATTGAAGCAATATTTTTAGGTTGCACGCGTCAATTTTGCAAGATTTAATGTACCTAACTACATTCAGAATTTAAAAGTATGCATGTATGTTATTTATGTTATCTGGTATTAACTAATAGTATTTATTATTAATTATATAAAATTAACATATGAATACTACAAGAGCAGCGAATGTTCTACTCTACTAAAATACTGTTCTACTAAAATACTCGTATGATAAGGTCAATTAATGATAATGATATGATGCTCCCGCTTGCGCTAACGGTATACCCTGGCGGTGCACCAGTAAAGGATAATAGGATGAGTAAGAAGTTAGATCTAACTATCCATCGTGGTGTACTTATCAGTATTTAACCATAGTGGTTTCCAAGGGGACCGCGTGTGGCTCGGCCTGTCATTATTTGCAATTTATAAGAATCCAATTCCCTCTCCTCTTGTTTCAAGATGTTTAACAATATTTTTTACATTTGTAACATGACACATATCATTGCAGAATTCTCACTGATTACAGGAAAACTTAGGTCTCCTAATGATGATAATATGCTAGAAATGTATAATTGAACCGAAGGGAAAGCCTAAGAAACCCTGTACGGGCATTGTATCTTAGTTTGAAAATATTTAAGTGTAAAATTATATATCGATAGGATTACTTTAAAATAAATGTCATTTATTAAACATTTATAAGTGTTTGATTTACCTCTCAAACAAAAAGATATATTTTGCAATTACGTTATTTGATTTTATGCATGATTAGTGTTCCTGCTGTAAAGGAAATTCATTGCATTAAGCTTAATTTGTTATTGAGCTATATCGACTTGGGTAAATGCATATATTGCTACGTATTTTTTAAATAGATTTATATTTGATATTTCTTTAATAACGAAATAATGTATAACAAACATTATCCCATACTGCTAAACATACATACGTAATAACTGTGGCTAACTCCAATAAAATTACAGTAAATATTTTCTTCAAATTATGAACTATATATTATGAATATGTTTGTTACATGGGACATAATATACAAATACAGATTGTCTTATAAAAATAATTAATATATTTTAATCCACGAAATTACGAATTTATAGTCTACTTAGTATGTCGGCCCAGGGGGTCTAGTGGTAGCGGTTTAGCACACCACTACTTTTGATGGTCGCGGGTTGGTTTCCTCACACAGTAAAAACTTTTATATTCATAGGTATGATTATTTGCATTTGTCTGGACGTTTTCTAAGTGTATTATGTGTGCATTTGGGACTAGATGACGCTCTGTGAATTAACTTGGGTCATTAGTATTATCATCATCATCATCTAAAAGATTGGAGCACAGCAGTCAACGTCTCACTATTGAGAAAAATCACTAGTTATACCATATAGACTCTAACGGTTTACTATAGGAAACGAATCTTTTTCGTTAGGGGAAGATATCCCAAGCTACTATGTGGACTAAGCAGCCTGATATAGGGCAAGCTTTTGAGTATTTCTTTTTTGGATGATGTATTGTGCATATTCGCGTAGACCATATTTTCAGGACGAAAAAACAATAATATGACAATTTAGAATTAAGTACCTATATAATAGAGCAGTAAGTACAATGGAGGTGGAGTCACATAAATATTCTACATACAAATATGTGTCATCAGTGTATCCATATTTACTATATAATTATTACAATTATAGTTTTATTTCATTAAATTATCTACTGTCGTATCATTTAATTTCATCACATGATGTGATATAATGAATATTAAATTTAAGTTAGAAGTAAAATAAAACGTACCATTGCAATACAGGCAGTTGAGCATTGATATTGTATCTATTATTATATATGAGTATATTACTTATAACTGAATCTTAACATGGTAAAGAATACGTTCAGAAAATATATTGGGAAGATATTTTTTAAGAAATGTCAGAACATGGTAGAGGCTACCGCTATGGCATTTTGGCTTTTAAAATTAATGGGCTATCAAGTACTGGGTTTAATAAGTCCCACGAAAACAACTGTAGTTTCGAAATTTTCTTATTTTGGTTTCTGCATGTATATTTTTTGGTATTCCTTATACTTATATTGTTTTTCCATCGCTTTTCAAAACGATCAAACCGTTCTTCGATTGTTATTTAATACCAGGCTGAAGCAGTATGGTGAAATGTATGAAAAAGCTGTGGCAATTGTATATGTTGTATATTTGATGTGGAAATTACCCTTCAGTTTGCACAATGACCCGAAGTACGCACGACAGATTTTTCAAATGGATGAATTATTAGAGAAATTAGGAGTACTATTGGATTATAACAAGCACGTGTTGGTGTCGTTCACTATTGGTGTGGCTCAGTATGGTGTATATTATTTACGATTATTTACCATATGGTACGTTTTACATAAGCTAGACATGTCTATACCGTATGCAAAAATTTACCAGGGCGTATACCCTGATACGCTGTCTTTTGTAATAACTTCCTGTTACTGTTATTATTTAATGGCTCTAAGAGAGAGACACACAGCTGTAAATGATGTTCTTAGAGATATAAAGGAATCCATACGTCCCCTGGAGAAATCAGAGGAATCGCGATCAGCCGCAGAAATTCAAGATGTTTGTGAAAAAATCAGGCTGTGTGCTAAAATTAATACCATAATGTACGCAGGGTCTGAAACCATTAACAAACATTATGGCTTCACATTATTCATAACAATGTTATCAAATATTAGTTATATAGTCCTGTACATGTTTTATTTTATGGAAGCAACAGCGGCCGGTTTATATTTGGATCTGCAGAGATATGTTAGCTTTTTGACGTACGTGTTTTGGCAGGTTTTATATGCAGTTGTTATTTTTATTTCGAATGTATATTTCGCTGAAAGTACCGTACGGGAGGTAAGTCCATTAATCATATGCACGTAATACAAAATACTGAGTATGACTGATATTTATTTTGTTTGCAATATAAACTCAAAATAAATAACTAATTTTAAAAATCTTTTACTTGTACAAAGCTGGTATTAGCTTGAGTAGTTTATGTAAGTATATTTTTTTAATTAATCAAAATACAATAACTACACCCTTGTGAAAGGCCCATTTTGCAATAATGTTATAAAATATATATTATAATAAATTAAATTATAAATACATATATCTAATTTCAGGCGAAAAAAACATCCTTCATTGTACACGAAATAGTAAATTGTGACTTTAGTCCTGAGGTTACGAATGAGGTGGGTGACTAATTAAACATACTAATATCTAAATATTTTCCATTCTAAATTATAAGATATAGAATTGTGAAAGAAAAAGTTGACAATTCGATTTTCTATTTGTAAATTATTTTATGATTTTCTATTTAACCGCTACGGTGATCTAGCGGTTTAGCACACCTTTAACTTCTGATGGTCACGGGTTCCACTGGGGTGTTTTTCATGTATATTATGTATGTATGTATAACACAGGCGCACCTTGAGACTAAATGTGTATTGTCCAGGGATATTATTATTATTACATTCGATCGGGTACAGTTCGGTTTTGGTTCCATTATAGATAAATATTGTTTATTTGCTTTACTTGTTACTTTGAGGTTTCCTTACTAAATGGTCAATTTAGTCTACACTTTGATCTTAGCTAAATGGCCGAGAAACGATATGATTTGATTGATTATATCAATGAAGAATATATCCATATTATACTATATTTATTATTTACTTAATTTACAACTATAAAACGAATTTGCAGTTTCACTTTCCTTATGTTTACGAATATATTTTAGGCAAGACAGTTCTCGATGCAGTTGCTTCATTTAGTGCCTAAATTCACTGCTTCCGGTCTTTATACATTGGATTATACATTATTACAAGAGGTCAGTATGACATGTGTATTATATTTCATAATTTAGAAGTATTGTCTACATAATAGAATATCTATATTGTGTAACTGATGTTATGAAATCAGTTATTCAAGCAATAACATAGAAGTTAAATTAAAAAGACATATTACATATATTTTTGTGTTTACTCTACTTTTTACTAGACAATGTGTAATTACAAATTTTTAGCACTTTGAATAAATAAAATAACGATGATTATTGTTTCATAAAATGAGGATAAAAAAATTTACAACAATATAATAATTTCTATTCCAGGGCGCCCGATCCGTATTAACTTTCTTGGTGATACTATTACAATTTGTCACAGATCCACAAAGTTACATTTAACGGGTTGAATTTACTATAAAGAGATTGAAAGTCAAGGTGTAAAGAATCAATGTCAATCGTGGAATGGAATCAATGAAGGTTTACTACCGAAGGTTGATTTGTATTAAGAAATGGAGAGATTCTTCAACTCTATGAGCTGCAAATTAAGGATTTCTATCAATTCGACCTCTAAGAATATATTTATGACGTCAGCCATATCTTTGCAATTCGCTTTCTTTTGAAAATGTTTGCTTATTAATATTAAAATATTTATCTGTATTTTATCACGATTCTTGCAGTGAATATATTACCAACATATGTGTGTTTAAACATCACTGTTGTTTACAATTCTAAATCTTATTATTATTAATATGATAAACGTGAAAGTTTGTGAGTATGGATGGATGTTTGTTACTCTTTTACGCAAAAACTACTCAACGGATTTTGTTGAAACTTTACAGCAATATAAGCTATATTACTGTAAAGTTTCAACATATATAATACATAAGAATAACATATAGGCTATAAATTTCACGCGGGTGAAACCGCGGGCACAGCTAGTATACTATAAATGAGGTTTATTATCATGATACATCATGATAATAAATTTCAATAGTGAAGACCAAGATGTCCAGCAAGCGATTCGTGTTAGGTATACTTAAAAACAAATGTGCTTCAAAAAGGCGAAGTGATATAGTGCGGCCGCAGCAATCTAGCGGTTTCGCATACCGCCTTAATTCATATTTATGAGCATAATTATTTGTATCGGTTTGGGTATTTTAGTTTGTATAACATGTATGTATTAAAAAAAAATATATGTATGTATTATATTTATATCAGTTGTCTAGTACCCATAACATTAGCTCTGCTTACCTTGGGACTAGATGGCGCTGTGTTAATTGTCCTAATATTATAAACGCGAAAGTTTGTAAGTATGGATGTTTATTACTCTTTCTTTTATAAGCATCAGAATATTATATAGGCTATATATTTTTATTGAAATTTAACGTGGGTGAAACCTCGGGTACAGCTAATATTATATATATTATTTTCACGGAAAATATCTTGTTTAAAAATATGTATAGTAGATTATGATCCTATTATACTCAGTGAAACGTGGACATGTTGCAAATGTTGTGATAACCACAATGTCAAATTACCAGTGATCATACATTATCCCAGTATATTACTATAAATGCCATTACGTTGGGACATGATTGCCAACATAATGGGAATACTTATGATCTGACGGTATAGCTGCTTGGGCTTGCAATGTGTTTTACGTACCAATGTTTTGCTGATCCTGAAATATTCTGATGAAACCTATTAATTCTATATACACAAAATTTTGATTGATTGTTTATTGGTCAGATGCAAGTTTCTTGCTCGTTCTTCTTGTGAGGAGACATGAATCCGAATGAGTAGTAGGTAGATTAAAAAAATAAGTATTACTATCCAAAAGTTAAACATTAAACAGAATAGAATAGAAGATGATTTATTCATATAACTTATATTTGAATAAATGATTTTCTATTCTATTCTGTTGTACAATCTGTGTACTCGGTAGATGTAAATACAGTTTGCTCGACTTCTACCGACTTCTTCGGAAATAGGATTTCATTGTTTTTTTATGCTTATATCTATTATGTATGTATGTATTTATAAGTAATGTTCATAACGAAGAACTACTTGACGGATTTTTAAGAGCTCATTCTGAATATTATATTCTTGAACTGTATCTAGTCTTTAGTAAATTATGATTGCAAGTGTTGATAGTAAGTAACAACAAGGCAATTAGGAGACCTAGTTAGGTTCTATGGTTGTTAACATACTGCGTCAATTTATGAAGTTACAAGAATATGGTGCAAAATGGTCAACAAAACAATAGATCAATTATAGTTGCATACTACGTACTCTACCTAATGATTGACCGCTTGAACCAAACTATAATCACAAAGATTAACATAATAATATTTATTCTTCCTGTTGTCAAACAAGATATATAGTGCAATATTGAATATTTATCCTTGACATTATCATAGAATTGATCTATAGTGATATTATTATTAAGAGTGAGAGTAGATTTTATTATGAGGAAAGTAAATTTTGGAAACAATGCACCGTTTTGTGAAATTCTTTCACTGTTTGAAAAGTAATTTCTGCCATAGCGAGATAATTAATCTACTATATCTTGTGTGCGATACACTGTGATGAATGCACCGTCATTCATCCCGAAGAAGAATCCGGATGAATTCTAAATAAAATAAATAAAAAGTAAGAGTAGATTCATTACATTCGCGTACACAGTTTATAAAATACTACCTGACCTTGAAAATTTTGTTTTTGCAATATAGATTATTTTTGGATATTGCCAATATAAATGAATTCTGGATATTGCCACTTTTATCATCTAGGTATAAAAAATAACCTGTTCTGAGAACTATCAAATATACGCCATAAAACAACACAAAAATCGGTCAAACCGTTTCGGAGGAGTTTGTATAACGAGCATTGTAAGAGATTGTCATATGATTAGTGATTATTAATTATTGTTATTATTGTTACATATAATTAACATTATTATTTGTAATATACATAGTATGATTACTGCGAAATGAACGTAAGTAGTAACGTAACGTTTTTAAATAATAATTAACATATACATTATATTTTAAACACAACGATTTACAATGTGTATTAACATGGGGAGATCGATACAGTCAATAGTGATCTATTGATTGTATATAAACAAGCATACACTCACATATTGGATCAAAGAAATCCCAGGTATTGGTGGATACAGACGTAAGTATAGTTTGGTTTCATAAATAACAAAGTGAACGAGTGGTTACAATGTTGACAGTGAATTTTTTAACATATAAGTATCAAATTATTAGAAATAACTATATTAATTAAGGTTTATTCCTCTTCCTACCGATTACATAAGAAAGCGTTTCAATTTTAATTTTGCTCTTTGTGGAGATTTAACAATCCTGATGATAATAGAAGTAGGCTTATAAAACCCGATGCAAAAAGAGAGGCATTATAAGTTTGTATATTCGTGTTAACCTCTTTGGACCATCGTAGATCCTAAAATGAAAAGACCGATTTAGATGTAGTTTTTTTTGTTTGAAACTGACATGATAGAAATGATTCACTGTTTCAATTTATTAAAAAAAATTACTCGGGGGTTACTTCAAAATATTAGGTAATTTATTATTATTTTTAAATGTGTTTAAATTTAAAACTAGGCTTATCAAGTTTAACTAACACAATGTAATGTAATTTTAAACTTGAAAAAAGATCCTTCAGGTTTAAAAACTAGCTATATAAATGTTGATTAATAGAAATTAATCATAATTTCTATTAATCAACTAATACTCTTGCTCTGGGAGGCTTTTGATGAAACTCGACGAGTTAAGTAAAATGAATATTATTCTCGTAACTTGAATCAAAAGTGAATTTAGCCCCCCTTGCGGCATTTTATCTAAATAAATGTTGGTTACAACGCCTGCTCCACTTATCCTCATTATTTGAAGGCTGTGTCATATCCTCAGTCCTCACCGTGAACTTATTGACCCCGTATATATAACGTAGCGACTTAAAACTGTCGAGCAAATGAATTATTGCCTTACCGTTGCGTGTCCGCTGTCGGTATAGTTCTCTAAAAAAAAAATATTTATTTTTAAAAATTAATGTGTATTTTTTTTTAATTAAGGCGTAATTAATGTCAAAATGATACTGAGTTTGATTGCTGTGGTGCTGGTGGTGTGGACAATTGCGTATAGGTTCAAAAGGCGGAAAATGTACAAGTTAGCTTCTTTGATACCGGCTGCTAAAGACGAGCTGCCCTTAATAGGTTTAGCGCACTCGTTGTCCGGAAATACTGAAGGTGAGCCATACATTGTAATTTTGTATAATAATTGCAATTATTAAGGTATTTATGTTAACCGCTTATTAGTGCAACTATATCGCTAAACACTTTGTAACTTGTCATAATAATGCGTATTTAAATAGTATAGACACGCAGATCTATGATAGAAATATTAATATGACAAAGTACTGTAGTGGTGTTACTAAATTATACGAAGAGGATAGAAATAAATTCTTTTCTAATGATTAACCGTGTTTTTATGTTGGCATTATGTATTGTCATCCCCCTTTTTTGAGTAAATATAATAATAATTATATAATTAGTAATTATAAATATAGTTGCTACTTGCAACTTTATTAGCTTTTAAGATAATGTACATCAAATCTTTAGATCCATTCAATTGCAGGTAAGTTAAAAAGCTGTCAGACAGATGGATATTCTTTCGAATTTATAATATTAGTATGATATTGTCTTACAGATATAATGGCATCATTGCAAAGATTTAGTTACGAGGCTATGAATAATGATGGACTGATAAAAGTTTGGTTGGGGCATATATTATACTTTGGTAAGCACTACACTATACCTACTCATTGAAAACTTGTACAAATCAATTACAGTTACTTTTGACACAAAATCTACAGCCAGTTCACAATGCAGTTTTAGACGATAAGAAATAATAAGAAACTAGTCTATTTTTTTAATAATGATTGTTATTGATAGTTAAATATGTATTTTTATTATTATTATTATTAGTTCAAGTTATATTACTATGATAAATTTAACCACTACATACACATCCAGAAGTATATAAGAACGAGTGTTTATAAGTACATATATGTTATGTATATACCCATATACATAACATGTATGTACTTCTAAATATTACTCATATCTATGGCATATATATCCTCCATTATCATTATCCATATATCCTCCATACCAAAAGGAACATTAAGAGGATCGTCCTACCCTACTTAGTAACTTGTACATGTAAATATAATTGAGTAATTAAAATATTACTTTGTCAGTGGTAGTTAACCCATTGGATCTTGACATTGTGTTGAAGACCTGTTTAGAAAAAGATGACTTACATCGTTTTATAAGGAAAATAATTGGGAATGGAGCCATATTTGCACCAGGTGAGGATTATAAAAGTTAACTGTTAGTTTAGCAAAATAGCTAACTTTAATATTGATAAAATAAGCTACACAACCTTAGATTACTGCAATTGCAAATGTATTACAAGTCTGTTAAACGAAACAATTTTGTACTTATGGAGATAAAGGAACACCTCCTTTTTTAAATATGTTAAATATTTCCATTTATTTATCAAAGAGGTAAGTTTAACGATTTTTAGAATATTCTATTATTATATAACAAAAGTTATAATAGAATTTTCAAAAAATCTAGCATATATTTTACGTATAGTGATAGAGTCGATTTATACACTGGTATTTTAATTTAATATTTTGAATGCAGTGTCAATTTGGAGACGGCGACGAAAAGTCCTCGTGCCAGCCTTTAGTCCAAAGATAGTGGAGAACTTCGTAGAAGTATTCTCTGAACAGAGTGTTAAGCTGACCGAGCGACTGGAGAAACAAGTCAACAAAGGTCCATTCAGTTTATGGCCTTTTGTTAGCACTTATACTCTTGACTCTGTTTGCGGTGAGTTGTTGTAGAGTTGTGTAGTTGTTCGTCAATACGTAGGTTCTTTGGCTTGCTTTGCTTTGCTACTCACTAGTAGCTCGACTGCACGTTTCTTCAGGTGCTCATAACTTTGTGATTTTTTTATATATTGACCTACATACCTACTATATATCCTATGTCACTGGAATAATAAATATTCTCAAATTTGTGACTTCATTACCAGATCAAAAATTTATAATTTCATTATTCCAGTTCCAAATTTACTTTCAATTTTATAATACCAGTATATATATGTCCTATTTCATATCTAATATAATATTTTATTGCTAACAAACAAAATTAATTCCAGAAACCTCGGTAGACTAATCGCCTGTTATGTTGCATTTAAATAGGTTGTGGAAAATGTGGGCATGTCAGATGCCCATAATGCGAATGTTGTCAAAAATTTAGGTTATCCTATATAGTATTACAATCGTAATCATATTTTTTTGTTATTTTGTTTAATGATCCCAGTGACGCTGTGGCAGGTAGTGGCAGGCACATAACAGGTTCACGTTTTCTTGGCTAGGCCATTTATAAAATAAATATCCTATAAATTAACAAAAAGCTTCTATACTGATTTTGTATAACTTTTTAAACAAATTACATTTTTTTAATTAGATACGGCAATGGGTGTTAAAATTAATGCTCAGGAAAATCCCGATTCTCCATTCTTGACATGTTTGAATCGCATTTTGAATCTGGTGTGTGAAAGAATATTTCACTTGTGGCTTCAACCCGATTGGCTGTACAAATTGTTCCCGCAGTATACTGAGCATCAGGAGTGTTTAAAGGAAATGCACGACTTCATTGATCAGGTATGTTATACATACCAATATTTTAGAAAATCCTTTATTTAAAGGTTCTTCATACAAGCATTTTTGAAAACCGCTCATTCTGAAAGCTGTCTCTTTACAATAAGAATGAGCAAGAAATTTGCGTATTGCTCTATTAAATAATCGTTATGACTTTCCATTTTTATGTCGAACTGTGTGAATACCAACCAACTAGCACCAATTTATTAAGGTTGAAATATTAAATATACAATAAGATTAAATCTGTAGTAGTGATTAGAGCAGACCAGTTACAGCCTACAAGCGGCACTTTTTCGCGAGTATGAGGATTGAGTCAGCCATCGCAGTGATGGCTGACTCAATCCTCACATTTATATCAGCTCGGCCTTATTTTAGGGAGTCCAATAACCATGTTGTTCCATAACAATTTACAAACGATGCACACGTAGAAATAAAAAATATAGAAATAGAAAAAATATATTTATATAATTTTTTAGGTAATAAAAATCAAAAGGGCAGAAATCAAGATTGAAAATGATTCTAAATCAGAGACAGATAAAATATATGGTGAGTTTTGTATTTTAATGAAAGTACACAGAAGGGACAGCGGTTAATACGAACCCTTCATGTTCTATGAACATAATGTTCTAGATGCACATTAAGGGACAAAATCATATTTAAAATTTAAATATCATATAAATAATTATGTTACTTTTTAATATAATTATTCTATTTAACAGAAGACGTCAGTATGTCTTACTCACATCTTTTGTTTATCTCGCTTCTTCTCTCTCTGTCGTGCATCTGGTGCTCTCTCATTTAAAATGATAATTAAATGTATGATGTGGAATCGTATTCGTGATAAATGCATTTTCACTGCAATTGCAATTTATCATTTCATTCCCACCTTTGACAAATAAATGTCTATTTTTCAGTTCCTAATTAATTTACAGATTTGGGACAGTACAAAATGAAAACATTCCTTGACTTGCTAGTGACGCTTTCTGGTGGCAACCAAGGTTACACTGATATAGAGCTTAGAGAAGAAGTACTCACCCTAACGGTAGCAGGGACAGACACTTCGGCGGTCGGACTTGGCTATGTCTTGAAGCTATTAGCCAAATACCCGGATGTACAAGAAAAGGTTTACCAAGAGTGAGTATTTCCATTTACAATTATTATGACAATTTAAATATACGAAAAAAAATATTTTTATATTTTTCATTACTTAGTTACATATCCGAGAGTAGACAATGAGAGACACATCTAAAATTACAGATACATTTTGATAGCTTATTAATAATCATTTTCGCCGGCATTTAACATTGTCTAGCGCTGTTTACCGTCATTAATGTTTATGATATACTAGCTGTGCCCGCGGTTTTATCCGTGTGACTTTTTATAGCCTATAAAAAGTATAATAACATAGGTGTTATTCTAATGTATAAACTATATTACTGTTAAGTTTCATCAAAATCTGCCCAATAGTTTTTGCGTGAATGAGTAATAAACATCTATAATTTACATATTAGTGAAATTTAACATATAATTTACAGGTTATGTGAAGTATTTGGTGACTCAAATCGTCCTCTAATCAAAGAAGATTTACCAAAACTGCAATACTTAGAACGAGTTGTGAAGGAATCCCTTAGACTTTTCACTCCCGTGCCGTTTATTATAAGAAAAGTGCTAAACGACATTGTTTTGCGTGAGTCAATAAATATTAATTACTTAATTAATAACTTTCTAATATGAAAACTATCAGTTATTTGATTTAAACATTATGTTATGTTATTTATTATGGACGATATGTAAAATAAATTGTTTGAGACTGACAAAAAATTGTTTAAGAACAAAAGGCATAAAAAGCAGATCCTAGTTTTTAATACATAATCACACAACGCATTATCTCGGAAATACAATTATATTTTAAACATTTTAGAAATTATGAGCTCGTTTCGATCTCCCGTTCTGAAAATAAAATGTTTCATTTGAATTTGAGAAAATGTGATGTGTGAGTTATCGAAACGATAAACAAGGTAATACTGTAGAAAGTCATGAGGTCAGGTCGGTTGGCCCATTTTGAAAAATGGCACCACGATAGTTTTCAGGGGTAACCGCCTGGAGGTCTACTTCATAATTAATTCGGTATTAGTGTCAGACTTTTACACATTTTTTGGTCTGGTCTGGTTTATACCAGTAGAAGTGTCAAAAATGAAAAGCGGGTGCATAAATAGGTAGATAGCAAAGATTGGGTAAACATGCTGGAATTTAATGTAGTTACTTGCTATGTCATTCGAGTAAGTCGTGAAACGCTGGCGCTGCAGCGAAAGCACTGTACTCATTTTGCAAATTTCTTTTCACAAGAAATTGCAACAATGGCCTTGAAAAACAAAAACATAAAATTAAATTTAAATCGTGTACTTAGTTGTAACAATATTAGAAAAGAGTTATTGTAAGAGGGTATTTGCCATTAATTGTATTATTAACATAATATCTTATAAATTACATTTTTTTGTAATATCAGTTCAAATGAGTTGAGGTTCTAGTTTATATAAAAGAGGTAGGCTGTATAATCCACTATATTAACAAGCATCATATTAATTTTGAACATATGATCATTTATTATCATCATAACAAACCAGATTCCCATTTTAGGAGAATAATAATACAGATTACAGTTATCACTCTCGCCAATTAGCTTAGTAAAGTTTTCATTTCAAGCTTCAATACACATTCCATACATATAATGTAGACAGAAACTGTCGTGTAATAAAATGTGTGTCTTACTTTATATAGTTACTTTTAAGACTCGTTTAATAATATAAATACCTTTATATTAAAACCTTTATATTAATGATAAATTATGTAGGAGTTTAATCAGCAGTGTAAATAAACTTAGAGATGTATATTAAAATATGAATATAGTTAAATGGCTTACAATGTCAATCAAAACCACCGAAATAATAGAAGACACAATCTTTCTAAATATAAAATTCTTATTACCATATCTATTATTAAGTGCCAGATAAAAATTTAACAATAAACTTACAATATATTAGATATTTATGAATTGTAATATAATAATTAAGAACCAGACCATGACTGCTAACCCTAGTAGATTCTGGGAATGCAGTCGACCATGAAAGTTCTAAACGTTTTTTTATTAATTAAACATGATTCCTTGAGCTTACTGGATTCTATAAAAAATCATAAGAAATTACCTTTATAAAACACACTAATTTTGTTCAAACAAATTGCCTTTGTCTTCTTAATGGCAACGCAAGAGCGATATTAAGGGTGTAAGATAACAATAACGAATGTGGTGTTTGTTTATTTGTAAAGACGATGGTTACCACTTACCTTCAAATCGGTCGCCGCCGTGTGCTGACACTTGTTTATATATTTACTAGCTACCCACCCCGGCTTCGCACGGGTGTATATGTATTATACATATAAACCTTCCTCTTGAATCCTCTATCTATAAAAAAAAACCGCTTCAAAATTGCGTAGTTTTAAAGATTTAAGCATACATAGGGACGGACAGACAGCGACATCGACTTTGTTTTATACTATGTAATGATTATAAAAAAATATATTATAACAAATTCGTCAGTACAGACAATCAACGTATTTAGCAGAACATCTATCTATATTTGGATTTCTGTTGTAGATACATAATCATAGTAATTAAGGTTAGTTTTGATATTGCTTTCCAAATAATTCATAAACGTGTCCTATTTATCTTATACAATGCTATACGTTGACAAGTTCAGTATTCTACAAATATTTACATAGTATAAAATGATGTCGCTTCCTCTGTCTGTGCGCTTAGATCTTTTAAATTACGCAACGGATTTTCATTCAGGTGTTAGCAGTAGTTCAAGAGGAAGGTTTATATGTATATTATGAAGATTGGGCGGGTAGCTAGTATTGAATAAAACAACAACAGACAACACGATTGTAGATATACTTAGTATTCTAGTTGACTAGATATTACTTAATATACGAGCTGACCCCATTAAAGTTGTTTTACCTCATAAACAGAAATTGCTATTAAAAATACGGGTAGAAGGTAGAAGGGTGAAAATTTAGGGTTGTATGTATTTTTGTAGGTAATGCCGAATAATAAACAAAATAAAATAAAAAAAAGCAACCCTTATCTTTTAGGAGTATTAAAAAGTAGATAGTAGCCGATTATCAGACCTCTGAATATGCATACAAAATTTCATAAAAATTGGCCTATAACTAATATTGTGATACGAGAATTTTATATATATGATATCACTGATGTCGTCATATATGTATAATTACTTATTGACTGAATATTCAATTTTTTTTCTTTTATTTCAGCGTCTGGCCGTGTCCTTCCAGCTGGCTCGGGCGTTGTAGTTTCTATCTGGGGAGTACATCGTGATCCCAAGTACTGGGGCCCGGACGCGGAGCACTTCGATCCCGATAGGTTCCTCCCGGAAAGATTTAACCTTGCCCATCCATGTAGCTATATGCCTTTCAGTAGTGGACCCAGAAATTGCCCAGGTAAGTTCATATATATTTTATTACCGATCTTAATAAAGTACGGTTATTGATCTGTGAATTACCATTAAATATTTAAAAAGTTTAGCTGACTAGAAAAGAAATTACATTTTTATTTTACTACGAGATGTGCCCGTGGTCTCACCCGCATGTAATTTATATCCTATATGTTATTCTGATGTATAAGCTATATTTCTGTAAAGTTTCACCAAAATCTGTTCAGTAGTTTTCGCGTGAAAGAGTAAAAAACATCTATCCATACTCACAAACTTTCGAGTTTATTATATTAATAAGAATAATATAAGTTTGTACATAAATACAATGACAAATAATCTGACGGGTAACCAGACGGTAAGCGATAACCGTCGCTATATTATACATGAACAGCACAACAATATCAATGTTATATTTGGGCATCCGTGATTATCTTAGTTCCCTGGAATAGCAACGCGTAGTGCCAACTAAGATTTCACGCCTCTATGTAAGTTCACTACCTAATCTGAGAACACAGCTTATTTGTATTTAGTCATTTATATGTGTATATAAATAATAAAATCTTTATAATATTTATATGTGTACATATAGTAATCTTTCTAGTTCTTTATTAACGATTTTAATCGATTCTTTTATGGGATAGTACTTTATAGGTGTAAGTTTTTTAATTAATTAATTTAAAAATTATTTTAAATTGTATTATATTAAAAATAAAGTATTTTCGGAGAATTCAAACTACCAAGATTTCATTAATAAAGTCATTTAGAAAAAAAAAATTGGATGTTACATTCTTTATGCCATATCGTTTCTGAATATAATAAAACAAAGACGATATCAGAGAGAAATATATGGTTTCTCCGCTTACATCTTCTAAACTACGCAAAAATTATTAATCTATATAAACGTATACTGAATTCGACGCGGACAGCAACATTATACCTAAGTTCACTACCGTTACCGTATACTTAAGTGCAATGTCCTAGCTCCTAACATTGTATCATAATTATTCATTCAATAGCACACCTTACGGTTACATAATTGTGATAATTACGAGACTTGTTTTATAATTACATCAACTTCGGTCAAAAAGGTATTTCCCGATACAAATGTTACAAATAGTTTGGCCCGACTCGATGTAACAATTTATTCCTTGAAAAACGTTTTACTATGATGTTAATTCCAGATAATTAATTTAATACCACTCATATTAGAATAACTTCCGGATCGAGGTTAATAATTTAAAAATTACTTTATTAATGCAGATTCCATTGTCACTGGAACACTCAGAAGAGTAGTAAAGTACTGTAATAATTATTCTAGGATTCCAGAAGTCCAGGCCGCATATTCTAACAAAGTAGAAATGTGAAAATAAGGCTAAGAATTTTTATACTGGATAGTTTCATTATTATTTATTCATATAATTATGAAGAATTTTATTGTATATTTAAAATAAAATTATAAAACTTCATACATATCATTATATATATGAAGTTTTAAAATTTATTAGTAGTTTTCTGAACAAGTTCATAATTGATACTTTAAATTGATTTGTAACGATTTTTCTAATCGAAACTGTTAATTTTTGTGTTGATTATTACCTACTCCTGCTAATTTAGTAATATATTTTCTTACTAAGATTTTATACAGACATAGATATAGAAACAATCTGTATTAAACGTTCTTAGATAGACTCCTAGCATTTTTGTTCGGACTACTCTGATGCTGTTAACCGAGGCTGGCCTTTGCGGCTTCACCGGACGATGCCATCTACACTCACCCCAAACCCGCGGAAGGACTTATGAAGCGGCTAAAGGCCAACTCCTGCCAGATACGACTTTAGTCTGAGGGCACCACTAGGGGCTCGAACCTCGGCTCAGGCTGTTGTAATTTCGATCTCCGTTTGAATTGGACGAGGGATCGATGGAGGGGCGACTCTTAGCATACGTGTCCATTTGTATACATGTATGTATGTGTTATGCTTTTCGTTACAGGATATCAATATGCGTTGATGTCAATGAAGACCGCATTGTCCACCGTCCTTCGGTCCTACAAAGTTGTGGGAGAGCATGAGACCACTGCTGTTCCTCGCATCAGAGTCAAGATAGACATTATGATGAAGGACGCCGACGGGTACCAAGTAGCTTTGGAGCGGCGATTACCACTATTCAAAGCGTAATGAGAAAATACATATGTAGCGGAATATACTTATTGTAATTTAATTTATATAAAAGTTGAGAGTGACTGGGGATTCTTAAGGAATAAGATAAGCGTGAGAGAGCGCAGACAATAAGAGTATTATTTATTTATTTTATTACAATAGTAAGAAAATTAAATAATCCATACAAATGTTTATTTGTCTTTTATTTTTTTTTTTTAATTTAATAAAAGAGTGAACTCAATTTTTATTTTATTTTATTTGCCAGTATTTTCGGAACCTTGCCTAAAGGGACTCCTTTTAGTATTATATTCTAGTTATTATTTTATTTGGAAAACCAAGTACATTTTTGAATCTTAAAAAATAATCAATATATTGATTATTTTTTAAGATTACGCTGAAAGTTTATGTAACTTTAGTAATCATATAGCTTGCTTGTACATCAGATTAATACTTAGCCTATAAATTTCATGCGGATGAAATCAATCGCGGGCACAACTATTCTGTAATTTATTTGCTTGAGTAAAACGTCTACTTGAGATCCTCAGTCTCATCTATATAAACCGCCAAGCATTTTGCTTTGTAAGACATGAGCCGGTTGAAGGGAAATTACAGGATAAGAGGCATGTCTTAGTCTTATGGAATGATGACGTAATGATTTGCTTGCTGATTCATATACTATAAGTAGGCAACGGTTACCACTTACTATACATTGAGCTGTTAGTTGGGATGTTCCATTTATATATATATAAAAAACGTATTTCTATATTCATTTTGCAGAGTCCTATGTTATCTGCAATGGTGAAATGTGACTATGCGAAATGTTGATGCAATACCAATAATAATCCTCTAGATAACATCATACTCAACACCGAACCTTGAGTTCTAGGTAAAGGATAGACGTGGTTGATGGTCCGTAAACAATAACAACGTAGCGTTGGCCTAGTGACAGTCGAAATTTTGCATAAAGCAATATGATTATGCTATCCAAGGAGTTCGTCATGTGGCAACTCTTGAATATTAAACTCAACATCAAGATGTATACGAACGTTAATTCTCAGAAATACCAGGAAAATCTTTAAACTAATGCAATATCAGCACTGATATTGCAATATACATTGATATTGCACTGGTTTTAAGCTTCGAGCCGGATAAAAAGTATAAATATTGATTTCAAAAACTTGGGCACCACTTTGATACCACATTGGGGGACCATGAACCGTCAAATATGAGTCAGTAAAAATTTTATGGTTACTGATATTTATGTTTAATAAATATATAAAGGTTTACTTGACTGTATTCGTATAATATATGCATTGTGAGAACTTTTAATATGTGAAATAAATTAAAATTATATTTTGTAATATAAATATTTCGGTGATAAAAATAAATATACTTCTTTCTTAATATTGCTCAATAAGTATAATTTGATCAAGAAAATTAGAGATAACTTTGAAACAAGAAACCTAATAAATTGGCAATAAAATAGAATCTAATTTTCTTTAAGTATTCGTTTGTTTTAAAAAGTATTTCAAGTTAGTTCAAGTTTTTGTTATGAATGTAGTAATATTATAATTTCCATTAATTAATGATATTATTCAATATTGTCTTTTTATTACTACGTACTTACATAATGTCCATAAACCTTGAGCTAGAGCGACCCCATGCCTATCTTTTCGCTTCAATGGCAAACAAGGTGACGGCTAACTTGATCACTTGATGGGAATAACCGTTGTATATAATATACATGAAAAATAAAACTGCATTATAATTTCACTTCATGATCGGTAACTCAATTACATAAAATTCTCCTGATGTTACGGGAGGCAATGGGAGGTGCTGTAATAAAAATTTTCATTAGTTATTTCTTATTGTGTGACAGTTTCACATATATATCACTTATAGATATAAGAATATAGGTTAATTACTCTCAACGTCGTTATTATTAACAAAAATTGCTATAACAACTATACAGAAGCCCTTTCCTGACATCTGTCTTATGTAATTATATTATTCCTTGTAAGTAATTATTTGAAATTGGTCAATTATAAAGTAAACGATAAATAATTAAATTGTTTACTTCATAATTGTTCGGTTTTTTTCAATTTATTCACTATTAACTTATTATCTTCAGGTAGTTCCCTAGCAATAATTTTTGTTAGTAGTATAAACTAGACTCGGCTAAGCGATCGTGCTCTCAAGAAAGGGTACAAAACGATAAAAAAATAGTAAAATTGTTAGTGCATTTATCAAAAATAAAATATTGCTCTAAGTTATACCATAATATGCTATGATTAATATAAATAAATATAAAAATGTGTCTAAAAGTATAACTATATTCATTGAAGATATAGCTATAGACAAGTTTTGTTATAGAGTGTACTTAATTTTCTAATAGATAATACCAAGCAGTAATAAGATAGAAATAAAGTAAAAAGTAAATAGTAATTACATACAGAAAATTACCAAAATAAACACATCAGAAAAGAAAGTCGCTCGCCTCGACTGTCATTTCAGTTTGCGACAGGCTTAAAAATTACTGAACGGGCTTTCATGCGATTTTAGTATATCAACAGTGACTTCTGAGGTAGGTTTAGATGTAAATTGATTAAGCTTTCATGTAAACTAACTAAAATAACTAAAAAATGGGATGTACAAAAAGTAAAATTTAATTATTTGTGTTTTGAATTGAATTAGTCGATGATTTCTTAGAGATTATTTTAAATGTTTGGGAACGAATACAATTGCAGTATGTGACTCTCTCTTTTTGTATTTTATATATCCATATAATTACAGTAGTTATAAATATAGTCGTTGTAAAATAATACTTGTTAAATTACTATTTCATATCATGCACTCTTAATGTCCAATTATGCTAGTTTCTAAGAAAAATATTGATGTTATTATTATCTTGTAAATCATGGAATGGATAAATATCAATATCAGACATACACGTCTTTAAACTACTTGAAATATTAAATATTAAACAAATTTGGAGGCAATGACAAAAGTGGATTAGGGACAAGTACTAAGGACAAATATGGAAGGTACAGTACAAAATTTTTCTCACCTTAATTTTTTTTTAATTGTATGTTTTTGTATTTTTTACAATTACAAACTGAATGGGTTTAGTAATGCAATTATGGATCCTACGTTTTTGAAGGTCATGAGTTTTGTTTTCGTTGATTTATTTACTGAAATTATAGTACAGAATCATATATGGGTTTGCGAAGTTCTATAGTTCCCTGTACATGGTATAGTATAATGAATTAATCATCACAAGCCCTTCCTTGTCCTCCGAAGGTTACATTCGCCATGAACTTCCTGACCCAAGTGTTTAAGCACGCTACGGTAGTCAACTCTAGGAAAATACATAGTTAAAAACGCCCCAGTTTGTCAGTACAATATATACGACGTATGTGATCTGTTGCGGCTCAAATATGCTCTTGACCGTCACCTGAGTCGACTGTGGACACAATGTTGCAGTATTTGTTTGTTATTGCATTGGTCCTGTGGATTGTGGTGTTCAGGTATAGAAGGAGAAGGATGTATAAACTTGCCTCCATGATACCGGGTCCAAAAGAGGAGTTGCCTATAATAGGTGTAGCGCACACACTAGTGGGAAATACTGAGGGTGAGTGCATATTGTTATTTAAAATTTTATTTTTAAATAAGTTCCAAATTTAAATTTTAAATAATAGATTTGTACCCATCAAGAGTGTACTAAACTAGCACACAAAAATTATAAAATATTGAATATTGTTGAAAAAGCAATAAATATTTATATGACTTTTGTAACTTAACGAGATGACTATTATAATTGTGATAAGTATCTAGGTGACTGAACTTCGCTCTGTATCATGCATGACGTATTTTTTATGTTAAATCGCGATTTTCCACGCAAGACTACCTGAATCCTATGTGTCATCATTATTTCACAGTTCTGATGTTTATGCAAATCCATAGACTGTATTAGTGTAATGTAAATTGTACTGAGTGTAATGTGTAATTAGAATCTAAAGGGACTTAGGATTTTTTTATCACGTCATTTACTCAGTATTTATTAAATACTGGGGGAAGTTTGAAGTAACAGTCATTTCAATTACAGACGATGTCATGGTATCTGAAAAGCCTATAATTATCGTTTTTCATTTATAGATTTGGAAATGTTAATAATAAATGTATATGTTATTAGATACATATGTTTATTAATTTATTTGATTAGTCTAAGTCTTATAATTTAATTCACCTAATTATGTAGGAAGTCAAATCTTAATTTAGTGTTTTTCATTCGTAGTAATAGACGTATTTCAATGCAAAATCGAGACCTCATTATACGTTTAATTTTATTTACCAGGCTTTACTTTAATCCAGTATATAATAAATACTATAATTCAGATAAATAGTATGTTTAAATTTATGTAACAGTTTACTTACACGATACTAATAACAATATTTCAATATACTTTAGTATATTGAAATATTGTTATTAGTATCGTGTGCAGTAAAAACACATGTGTTTATTTGATCTGAGTGATAAGACAGTAAATGCATTCTCTAAACGTATGACGCACAGACATAATTTATGTCAACGGTTGCAAGTTGTAATTTTCTATTCATTTGGTGATAATTACAAGTGGTATCATAATAGTAGTCTTGGTTCAGTACTGAAAAAGAGGTTTGAAAAACTATTAAACTAGTAATGAAAACATCAAAATATTGATTACTAAATTACAAAGATATTTACTGAAAAATAGTTACGGACAAACTAGCTTTACTAGTAACTAAAATATTATAGTTTATCTACGTATACATTTAGCTCAAAGAAAAAGAAAATTTACTAAATATTCCAAAATACATAATTATTGTCCGCCATATGCAAGGTGCATATGGCGGACAATAATTATGTATTTCGTTTTATATTTGGGCATGAAGTTTTTATAAATAAAAAAAAAATTTTTTTTTTTCGGACAGCTGTAAATGGGTAATGTTTGTTAATGTAAAAGAGTTTTCATGTGCAATTATTTTTTACATTTAACAATAACAATAATTATTACAGTGTTTAGGATTTAACAAGTCTAAAAGCTATTTCTTTATAGTTATTCGTATGGAAACAAAATATACAATACATATAAATCACTCACAAGTATAAAGGAAACAATAACTACCTAATATCTCATTAGGACTTTATTATATATGTATATTGTTATTGTTGTATGTTTCACAGATATAATGGCTTCGTTGCAGAACTTCAGTTATTCAGCAATAGAAAACGACGGCATAATAAGAGGATGGCTCAATCATATTCTTTATTTCGGTAAGTGCCTTCACGTGTCAAATTTTTATGATTGATGTTCATTCATTATATGTGTAATTTATTGACCCGATTTAGGTAAGAGAACTAAGTATTATTTGAGAAAAGTTCAAGTTTACACTATTCCTTGAAAATATAATATTATCAAGTTCAGTCGACCTATAGTCGATTATAATGTTCAATATCTTATTCATAAATGTGTACAATTTTAAACAACCGTAAAAAGAGTTAACAGTTAAAACGGTGTTTGCTCTACTTATGTATATCAAATATTCTTAGGTATTCTGGATGATAAATTCTGGATGGTGTCAGAGCCATTCTCAATTATCGAAGTCATGCCACATGTACAAACATTTGTATTCTTGGATATGATTATTTTGTTATGTATATTATGTATGTATTTACAAAAAAAATCTTAAAGTTATATCAATTGTCTAGTACTCATAATACAGCAGGTCAGCTTTACTAAGGAATTGATGACAATGCGTGAATTGTCCTGGGGTTCCTATTATTTTTATTGGATTTTGTCGTAATTTCTTGTAAATGTTTGAATAAAGGATTACTAATTATTCTAAAGATAATAATTACATTTACGAGCTATCTTAATTAAGTAAAGATTTATCTAAATATAAGTATTCATATTTTTTCGCTTCTGGATTATTACTATTAATGATATATGTACTTGAGTTTAAACACAAAAAGACAATATATATCTTGGATATACCATTTAGTCGCCGTTTTGTATAGTTACATCATCATGGCCTTGTATGCGTCTTCATTTAGGTTAGAATATCATAATGCCCCTTACATTATTCTGTACTCTACTTTTTGGCACTATGTTTTTCTAGTAACGTTGCAGTCGGCTATCCAACTTTATGTAAAGTATCTTTACACTGTCTTTTTGTTTTAATGGTTAATAATGAAAAGCTGAACACGTCTTAACGGTATATATACTTTGAGGGGGGGGGGGGGGCATCAGTGGACAATGATGCGATGATGATAAAGTCAATTACTAAATGATGATGATAAAATCATGGTAAATTAGATGAAGGTAGTCAACTTTATTTAAGTACATTGTTACTTTATTTTTTTTTAATGTCTCTGGACAATTTACACAGCGCTATCTAGTCCCAATCTAAGCAGAGCTAATATTTAGTTATTTAGAGCTAATATTTGTATCAGTCTCGTACGAGACTGATTCAAACAATCATACTCCTGGATACAAATGTTTGTACAGTGGGAGGAATAGAATCCACGACCATCAACGAAGTAAGGCGGAACCCGCTAGATCAACTTTACTGTTACGTTACTGCAGAGTGGTGTCATTATCCTTAATTAAAAATGTATAGAGTACAGATACCTTTACATAGTATAAAACAAAGGTGTCGCCGCTATCAGTATGCTAAGACTCATACAAAGTAAATATAAAATAGTATAATGTAGTTTTCAGAAATAAACAGAGTGATTCAAGAAGAAAATTCATATGTATGATATTTGTAATGCCACCCGTGCGATACCGGTAGTATTACAAATATTTGAATTTAATAATAAACAAAAAAATCTATTCACCATTGCCGGAAAGTTACCGATTTCTTCCGCGTGAAATAATACGTCCTTCTGTTATATCATTAGTTTTGTTTAAATGACCACATGCAATACAAATCACGTTTACTACGGGATTTGAATATAAGTAGGTAAATAAAAATGCCGGTGTGAATATAAAGTGTCGCTTATAAGATATGACATTAAAAAAATCGCTAACTTCCTTGTGAACCATTAGCCTGTTTATATTATATGCAATTTAAAACAGATAATTTGGGTTTACGGTACCTATTTGTTACTATGGTGGAATGCTTTTCTTCAATTCGCTTGGAAATTGCTTCATTATTTAAAAAAATACGTCAATTGTCTTTTTTCCGTGCGGTACAAATTACGAGTAGGTACGTCAGCAATGATCATAACAATAATGAAAATTTCTGGACAGAATTTTCTTCCATTCTTAGGACTAGCGATCCAGCCTTGCTTCTCGCGGGTGTATAGTGTATATGACAGAAATCGAGATAACGTGTCGTATAACACTAGCTACATGTATAATGTTTACACTGTACTGCGATGTATGGATACATCAAAATATCGACATATGTGTATACAATATGTATAGATTTTTTTAGGTAAAGTAGCCCTTCCTTTCAGTTATCTTCATCGCAAATAGTAAGATCAGTCATTTCAGAATACCTTACGGAATCAATTCTCTAAATTATAATGAAAACTGTATAAAATCCGTTGCATAGTTTAGAAAAAGTAAGGTGGATAATAGACAGACAGATAGGCGATATGTGTGACTTCTTTATATGTCATTAATAAAGAGGTAATATAATAACAACAACTCTATTTTTGTATCTTTGAAGAGAGCGATTCTGAATTGCCCTAGAAATGCTAGGTTTTTAACATACATATAAATTATATAAAATATCTAAATACGTATTTAGCTGTTAATAATAAAGTGTGTAAATAATGATTATTTCTTCACAGTCGTGGTGGACCCAATAGATCTGGAAATGGTGTTGAAGACATGTCTAGAGAAAGATGACCTGCATCAGTTCATTAGGAAGATTATAGGCAATGGTGCCATATTTGCTCCAGGTAAGTACCTACTGGTTCTACATGTAACTTATTACAGAGTACAGTGGTCTAGTGGTTTAGCACACCGTATTTTACATGTAATGGACGTGGGTTCGACTCCAGACACGATACAAACATTTGTATTCGTGAGTATAATTGCTTGTATAAGTCAGCGTGCTTTCTATGTATATATTTACAAAAAATAATATGTTATGAAATGTACATTTATGTCAGTTGTAATTCGTAACACAAGCTCTGCTTAACTTGGGACTAGATTACGTTGTGTGAATAGCCTAGGTTTTTATTAGATATTATTAAGACTTAACCTTTTTTTTTACCGAAGTATATTTCTATGGGATTGATTGTATGTAAGATGTTATGTATGAGACTAAGCTGGAATGGAAGACATTTTCTTCCATTCCAGCTTACTACGGTACAGCCAGGACCCTAAATCTATTATTTAGGGTCTAAGTTAAAGGCAAGGCAATGGTGATATTTCTAAGGTTTAGTGATAATTTTGATACTCTTGTGAATGGGAATATATAGGTTTAGACACATCGTCTGTTACGCAAAACAGAGAAATATATACTTATATTGTAGGTTTGTGCACTTTGCTCATCTTGTTTGCACAATAATAAATTCATATGTAGTTTTACGCACTCGGACGTGCGACACTATTTACCTCGTAATGTTCTCGTAATCAACTAATTGTTTGTATAATTGTCATGAAACATATAAAATACTAGTTGATCCCGCAAAGTAGTTTTATAAAAAAATGGGGTTATTAAAAAATGGGGTTTAGTGATAGGAGGGTGAAAATTTAGGCTTGTATGTATTTTTAATGCTATATTATAAAAATAATAAAAGTTTCGGAGTAGTATGGTAACTAACATTGTGATACGATAATTTTACATATCATAATTATAAAGTATTACCCAAAAAGTCTTTATCAAGTCTATATCAATTAGTGATTTAAATCATCAAAATCACATGGAGCGTAATTTTATTGCTTTTAAATAGCTTTTAGTAATTCTTCTTTAGTTTAGTTAGTAGGTAGGTATAGCCTATATCTTCGTACAGTTTTCCTTTACCATCACAAATGATTGAAACAAACTTTTGTATAATAAGTCTTAATATGCCAGCAAGTCCTTGAGCATACCTAATTACAGGGTTATTTTCTATGGAAAAACTAATGTCGTAAATGTTCATGGGTAAACACTTTTGTGACAGCTGTTGACTGACCGTGATCCGCATTCGATCTTTCGTAATTCTTCAAAGTTGTATGAATATTGTTTGACGTTATCTGTTACTCTTTCAAGTCACATATACCTATTGCCGAATAGGAAGGGAGAAGTACAAAGTTTTATATAATATATTACTAGCAGTTGAAGGCCTCGGTGGTCTGGTGGTGGTCTAGTGGCGCCTTACACCCGATGATGCGGATTCGATTCCTCGCATGGCACAAACATTTGTATTCATTTAGTATGATTGTTTATATATGTTTGGGTGTTTGCTATGTATATTAAATGTGTCTATGTATTTATATCCGTCGTCTAGTACCCATAACATAAGCTCTGCTTAGATTGGGATTAGATGGCGTTGTGTAATCGTCCTGAAATATTGTTATTATTATTATAGTTTCCAGCTACTTCGTTCTGTTTGATTTTAGATAAAATATCTTTTATCTATTCCTATGTGCATCCTCGTGATACAATCTATCATATTGCTATTTTTTTTAAGATCCGTTTATATTGAACTGGTCCGTATCCAAATTTTAAATAGAACAACATTGTAAAGTTGTTGTTTTCGGTTTGTAAAAAAATATGAAATGTTTCTAATCACAGATGGGTTAGCTTGCATGAATATTAGGTATTTTATGATAACGTTACTTTATAATATTTTCAAACTATATTTTATTTATAATCCCTTAAATATTTATAGCTACTATGTAATAAAAATCTTCAAGGTTATGTTTTAAATCATTAGGATTATTCCACAGTGGTGTTAATTAAGTCATTACATTTAATGTTTAGTATTTATGATATTGTTATGTTTTTTTTTATGTTACTAACGTCGTGAAATACATATATTAAAGTAAAATACATTAGTATCTGTCCAAAACTAACGATAGTGGTTTTGGTAACGATTATACAAAATATAAACAATATCTTTAGCCATTTTTTAGCATTTTATTGGCCATGTCGCTAAAACTACACAGTGTGGATTGATAAAGTTTTAGAAAATGATTACACTTGATCACGTCAATTACGTGATCAAGTGTAATTATTGTTCCGTAAGAATAATTATCCTAAATCCGTAAATATTCCCAATTCTATGTTTTTCATTAGGGATATAGGTATTATGGGCGTAGAATCCTTATATGTTTGTATAAAAAAAACACAGGGAAATAGATATTTCCCGTAATGTACAATAATTAAATTGATTGTTATTTTTATGAGACAAATATGACACTATCTGATGTTATTAAGAATATGTTTTTTTAATGGATGGATAATTGAATAGTGCACTAGTCTTCTGTAACGATTTTCGGGTGGGGCACTAGTAGAGGATTATAATATGAACATGAGGTCTGGTAAGGAATTAATTCACTAGGAATTTATCACGATTCTTGGAAACCCTAAGGGGTACCAAGTGGAGGTCAACCTGATATGTTATATTGCTAGCAGTAGGGTTATTAGTCCACAATAATCCCCTACCCCTCTAAAAAAGTGGTTGTTCCCATAAAAGATTTACACAATGAAAAAAAAATTGATTGTACTTGTTTGAACATTTTTGACTACACATAAATCTTGAGGGATGCAGATCTTAAAGTTTTTATAATGTTAAAGTACTTTAGAAGGCCGTATAAACATTTCAAAGACAATAAGAAACAGGAAACAAAATTATATAAGACCGGTGAACAAATATGGACAATTGCCATGGAACAAATATAAAAGATATTAACAAAAACAACAATGTCCCAAGCCTAACGTACATATGGGTTTTTCTAGTAATATTTCTAACAAAAAATATAAAAACAAATAAATTAACGTACGTTAGATTTGAAACACTCGACCTTGGAAAAATGTAACACACCATTCTGAGAAATCCATAGGCATAAGCTGAGAGGAAAACACATCGCAATAATAAAAAGGGTACCTACATAAATGTTGCAATAACGAGTGACGTTCATGTCTGATCAAGATTTTTGAGATGGTTTAAAATAATAAAAAATAATTTCTTATAATATTTATTTATTAACCGCTATTTCTTTTAGAATTTTCTTCGTTCTTTCAACTAACTTGTAACAGTCATAATGTGATCATTTGATCGTTATGAAAAACAAAATAGTTTTATTTAAATTAGAACAACTTTTTAATTTTTATAGTAACCTCGATATAAAAGAAAGTTTTGCATTTACTGTAGTAGTTTTGGCTATAAAAAGTAAAAATAGTTAGTTAATAGTTAGCTAGTTGCTAGAATTCTATGAAAGTAATATTTTGGATACAGAAACTTTTTAGGATGTCTTATCTTTAAGGTTTACAAAATAAATATTGAGTAAATCATATCAAAAATCTCGATCGGACATAAATGTTGCAATATTTAAAATACTGAGGGATGGTAATGGGATTCTAAAGTCGGTACAATAAATATAGAATACGAAAAATAAATAAATATAGGTATGATGAATAAAATATAAATAATATTATAGATATTAAACATTATTAAACTAATAACTTCATAGGTTTCCGTACCATTCTTTTTTTTCATATTTCCATGTATATAATTCACTCATGTACTGAGTATGTAATATATATGTACATGTACGTTATTACTATTACCAGTTTCCATCTGGAGAAGACGGCGAAAAATCTTAGTACCAGCTTTTAGTCCGAGAATAGTGGAGAACTTCGTGGAGGTATTTGCTGAGCAAAGCACGAAGTTGACCAAACGACTGGCAAAACATATTGATAATGGTCCATTTAGTCTATGGCCATTTCTTAGCACCTATACATTAGACTCGGTATTTGGTAAGTTTATAAATTTTTACTTGGCAATTGAAGTTGAACTTAGTAGTCTTGTAAAGTTCAAAAACAATTCATGGAAAACCCTTGCATATTCTGATGCAAATTGAACATAATTAAAATATTTCAATGTACATTAATTAGCTACTGCATTAATGTAATAAATTACCTATCACGAAAAAATAATATGTTGATTCAAAGTTTTGAAGATGTTTTCGTACTCGATTGAAATGATGAAGGTAAATATAGTATTTACGTGTACATGGAGAAGTCATAAGAGATATTAAATATGTAGTCTTTCTAAAAATAATTTAAATGTAACATTGTCAATATTATTTTCTATTAGACGAATATACTTCCATTAGATAAATATTTACTCAAATATTAGGCAAAGCTTACGTTTTACTACAGTAATTGTATTTTGTTTTACATTCAGATACAGCAATGGGTGTTAAAATAAACGCCCAAGATAATCCAGACTCTCCATTTTTGATGTGTATGAATCGTATCTTAAATCTGGTTTGCGAGAGAATATTTCATTTGTGGTTGCAACCAGATTGGCTATACAAACTGTTCCCACAGTATATCGAGCATCAGAAGTGCTTGAAGGAAATGCATGAATTTACCGATCAGGTAATTTGGCAGATTCTATTATGTAGTCTGTTCTTTAGTAGATAGTTTAGTTGAATTGTAGCAAATAATACAAAAGGAATTTGAAATAAATAGACCCGTTGTATGTATATAACTTAACAACAAGAGGTTATATGGGCCTGATTAACATTTGAAGCACTTCTTGATCCTTTGAGTTTATTAATGTAGTGTTTGGAATTTTTCTTATAAATTGATCTTGTCTCTCTGCGCAACTAATCATAGTTTGGTAGATTTCACTCAAATACATTTTTAACTAAAAATACGAGCGAGACTTAGTTATATCATGAACTCAATTATAATTCTTTTTCAACATTATAGGTTATTAAACGGAAAAGAAAAGAAATCAAGACAGAATGTGAATTTAAGTCTAAAGGCGAAAAAATGTATGGTGAGTTGAATATTATGTAATGTAAGTAAATAAAACAAAAATATTTTAGAAGCATTTCTAGATGTTTAAGATATTCTATATTTAGTGTATAATTTTCTTTATTGCAGATTTAAAGGATTACCGGCGTAAAACATTTCTGGATTTATTAGTGACACTTTCCGGTGGTGAGCAGGGCTATACTGACGTGGAGTTGAGAGAAGAAGTACTCACCCTTACAGTAGCTGGTACTGACACTTCCGCAGTTGCCTCCGGATATACTCTTAAGCTATTGTCCATGTACCCTGATGTCCAGGAAAAAGTCTATAAAGAGTAAGTATTAGTTGAAAATAACAGAACAAATAATGACAGTCTAATAAACTCAGTAAAATATGTGACTGCACGTAGTTGGCTCGTGTATGTTTTAATACCGTCTTATTATGTATTTTTTATTGTAAAACAATTGCACATAGAATTTGTAACAATTTCAGTTCTCAAGAGTCAATACATGAGCGTTATGATCACATCCCATCCCAGATATCAACTTTGTTCATATCTCCATATGGGATTCTTAATTTTTATGTGATGGTACTATTGAATTCCTATCAATTCTTTAATTAGTCTTCAAACGTTGTGGAATCCAGAAATATAGAATTTAATTATCAAAATGAAATTTTATGTGGTAGTTGACATTTGGTATTAATTATAACTCTATTCCAGGCGTAACAATTCGCCTAACTAATATATCTACAGATGTATTAGTTATAATAAAACGACCTTATACCTTTTTAGGTTACTTGAAGTATTCGGTGACTCCGATCGTCCAGTAGTTAAAGACGACTTGCCTAAGTTGAAATACTTGGAGAGAGTAGCAAAGGAATCATTAAGACTTTTCCCTCCGGTTCCTTTTATTATTAGAAAGGTCTTGGAAGATATTACGTTACGTAAGTATATACATTATATTGTTATACTTGCTTACCTGTTTAACTGTACTTACCTACTTTTTGATTTTATTCGAATTTAAGTTAATTATTAAAGTCTTTGTCATTGACATTGATTAATGTACTTAATTTATTACATTTACCATTGTTTTTCGAAACAAAGTAAAACATAAAAATGATGTATCTTAAATGTTATAAATGAATAAGAATTTAAGGTACAATACATCTACATGGCTTTTATACTTCTTTCAGCTTCAGGACGTGTCCTACCCGCTGGTTCTGGTGTAGTGGTCTCTATATGGGGGGTACATCGCAATCCCAAGTATTGGGGCCCAGACGCAGAGCATTTTGATCCCGATAGATTCCTACCGGAAAGGTTTAGTCAAATACATCCTGGCAGTTTCATGCCATTTAGCAGTGGTCCTAGAAATTGTCCTGGTAAGCCTGATTTTTATTATTGACCTGCCCAATTTCGTATGCATCACTTTTTCCCGAATTATTTTTTAATCATTTTTCATTGCTGCTTTGCTCCTACTGGTTTGATGTTATATAGCCTTCACTGATAATGATTAGGCTATCCAATATTAAAATATTTTTTCAATACAAACCAATAGTTCTTAATATTAGCGCAATTAACTGAACAAATAGTATCATCAGCTGTTAATAGATTATATATTCTCTATGACTTCTTCAATGTCTATTGCTCTATTTGAACAATATGGCATGATAACAAATATGATAATAATTCATATATAAGTAATATTCCAATGTTATGTATGTATATTTCCTTTAAATTTGAAGTTAACCTATGTAAGTCCTCGTAATACTTCTATTTTAACAACAAACATCAAATCTGTCAACCATTTAGTTGTTAATAGATAACAAACAGAGATACAGTAAGAAACAATTTCACATTTATAATATTAGTATGGACATTAATGTCTTAGTTTAAAAAGTTTAAGTTAAAAATATTTTAAACTAGTTTAAGTAATAAACTAGTTTAAAATATTTTTAACTTGTTGTATTAGTTGAACAAATACCTTAACTTAATTCCGTAAATTATTATAATTTAAAAGTAAGATATCAACTTCCTTAGCTTAGCTTCTATTTAATGACTTCGAGATATGTCACGCACTTGACAGAATTCCAGAGGAAAATCGAAATGCCTAGCAACAATGTATTCATTCGCTTCCGGAGTTTAATCATGACATAGCGAGTTAATTGTCTAACGTTATTAATCATTTAAACAGGGATTGAAAATGTTACTACATAAGCATTTATAATACATATATATAATACATTTTAATTTTATTTCTATTTCCAATTTTATTGAAATACTAATTAGACACGGGAATAATGATATTTTATATTATATTATAATTGATTTGTTTTAAAATATGGATTAATTGGAAAGACAAATCAGAAAATTCTATTTTATAATTTTAAATATGATAAATTTTAAATTATAAAATATCCTGGTGGTCTCTAGGAATAGCGTACTGCTTTAGTTTGAATGGTTGCGGGTTCGATTCTTCACACGACATAAATATTTGTATTCATGAGTATAATCGTTTGATCGCTCTGGGTGTTTACTATATACATATTGTATGTATGTAAAAGATCTATGTAGTTCTACCAGTTATCTAGTACCCATAACACAAGGTCTTGAGATTAGATGGAGCTGTATGAATTGTCTCGAAATGTTATTATTATTTTATTTTTCCAGGATATCAATATGCCTTGATGTCAATGAAGACCGCATTATCCACTATCCTCAGATCTTACAAAGTAGTAGGAGAGTGTGAGACTACAGCCATACCCCGGATCCGAGTGAAAATTGATATTATGATGAAGGATATTGACGGGTACCAAGTATCGTTAACCAGACGAGTACCGTATAACGAATCCACAAAATATGAACAAAATTCAAAATAAGAATGCATTTGCATGCTATACATAATAGATTATAGTTTTGGAAAATCGATAATGTCTGATAATCAACTAAAAGTACTTGTGTTGTGTGACTTATCGGGAGATTATAAATATCGTGCATTTACTTTTTATACTTAGTTTATACAAAGTTTAATTTTGTAATACATTGGCGATCTATTTTGTAGGATAGCGTTATACAATCTATACAATGAACGGCTCTCAATTTATGTAATATAAAAATTAAGTAAGTACCTAATGCTGTAACAGTAATATCTGACACAAGAACAAACTCAAAAATACCATTATGTTAACAAGTACATCATGCATGGTTGTGTGTAACATGGTAGAGCTTGGAATTCTACAGAATAATAAAAAAATCTACCACAATTGGTTGGTTGTGTTTTCTACTACGGCTAATTTTTGTTACAATCATATAATAATATCAGGATTAAAGATGGGGTATCTTTTTTTTATTGGAGGTATTGTCCGGTGCTAAGACTGCATCTGCATAGATCTATGGTGCTCGCTTTTTTGAATTGGGTTATCTTATTAAATATACCAATCTTTAATCCTGCAATATATTACATAACATTTAATTTGATATGGATTTGGTTTCTGTCTATCTAGTCTATGTTATAGCCATCCAATTTGTTAGCCGTATGAAGGAATAGATGAACTAATGTGTATACAACACAATTCTTTCATCTGTATTTTGTATAATATGTGTGTTGTAAAATAGTATCTTTTAAACAAGAACGGCTTTGTAGAAAGTCTTTCTATGCAATATAACAAAACATTTGTTAAGCTGCAGACTAAAAAACTCATCTATTGAAGAAAGTTGTAACTGCAAACGCTATTTTGTTTACAAATTTATGTTATATTATGTTTACAATTATTAAATTATGTTTACAATATTCTGCAATCCAGTTAATCTTGGCCTATTAGTATTGATGAAAAACTACATTGAATACAATATTTATTTTTGGTAAGACAAATATGAACTCTTTGAAAATATTTAAAACATGTCGATGTCATGCGTTTATGGTTGTGTATGTACATTGTCTATGGTTATTAACCATTTATAAATGATATTAAATCATATAATAACAATTTTTAAGTTTAAGACACTGTTAAGAAATAAATACAACTTATGAGTTTTTGATAAAAGCCTGGCGTCTCTTTTTATTTCCAATCTATAATAGCTTACGAACATTAATGACATATGCAAACACAGATGTATTTACATTTGTGAAATTATTAGGCTTTAAATGCGTCTACAATTTTTTTATAGACATACTCAAGACATATCGATGAAAAGATTGAAATAATTTTTCTGTGGTAAAATATTCTTAAGACTAAAAAAATACGACATGTCATCATAAAATATTCATGGAACAAAAATTTGCAATACATGTAATTCTTTTGTCCAACAGTCATTTCTTGAATCAGGCTGCAGTGTGATTATATAAAATTACGTATTCACAGTTACCGTTGGCAAGTAAATACTAATTAGTCTATTGCCCTGATACGGAAGAGGGCGGCTAAGTATATGTTGCCTACATAATTATACTTGACTGTCTCCTTCCGAATCAGAGCAATAAAATACTGTATATATTTAAACTATTACAATCTTGTAACAAATGAATAATACATTTTTTAGTTTAATATATTTAATATATTGTATAAGTGGGAAGAAACGGATGATAATTTTATTTCAATTTAGGTTCGGATAGAATGAAATAGTTAAGAATTGCCAGGACACTTCAGTCAGTAAGTAACATGTACGCAGTCTAAGATGTTAATATTTAATCTCCATAAGTGAATAAAAATTGATCATAATTTCGAACAATTGTTGACTGGGTTAGGTCATTGGTATTCAATTCTCTCTGTCTACCGGGTAAGGGATCTGACAGGATGATAACGAAATACAACGCTAAGCCAAAGGGGTCGTCTGCCGGCGAATAATAAGGAAAGTAATCATTTTGTTTCGAGGGGCCCTGGATAGACTTTTTATGATAATAAGAAATCACGCGTAACACGCAACGACTGAAACTGGGTTACAGTGAACTGGGAACGATTTCCATTTAAAGTTTTATACGTGTTTAATTAAAACTGATACGACGTAGTTTGCATATATTCGTGTGGGAAATACGAATAAGAAGTTTCGTATAATGCGTATATTACATGTCATGCATTTTCTATAATAGTATGTTTCTGCATGCCATGTTATATTCAGAATTCTCGAAGTTTCTATTATGCATTAATAGAAACTTCGAGAATTCTGAATATACCGGCACCTGGCACCATATACTGAAGATAGCAAACCTTAGGATGCATTGCCATTTACGAGTACTGAAATCGTTGTTTTATTAGTTGACTGTAGTAATTTTACCTTTCAGACCAAATTATTTAAAGAAATTATCATTTTACTAGGCATGAATGTGTGATTCGATCCACAAAATTAACTAGTGCAAAACGGAACTATACTTCCGTTAATCTACCTATATATCCCTTTTTAACATGTCGTTATTAGTAATGTAATTTACCATTGACATATTTCATAAGTAAAATCTGGGCCGGGATACAGGAACATTAAGTTATTAGATTATGCAACTTGTAACAATATGTCAGATTTCAAGTTTTCGGGTGTATGGGTCTCATGTCATACCATGTTGTGATATACATTGATATTTCTAAGGATTGAGACGTGATGCCTCTGTGCACTGCATTATCACTACAGAACATCCTTGAAATATTTGAAATATTCTTCAAAATATATGGAAACTTCTATGTATTGTGAATCGAATGTGTTTGTATGAACAAAGTTTGAGAATTAAAAAAGAAATTGAAAATTAGTTTTCCCTTGCTGGTTAGCTGATAAGCAAAAAAAATGTACGATTTCACGGTTTCAACTAGCGCAGAATAAATCTTTTTTTTTAATTTATACGTAAACATTAATAACCAAATACAATTATTTATGAGTCATTAAATATCCAAATTTATATCAGTCAAATGAATCTATAACCAGGGTTTTACTTGCACGATAATGTTTAAAAATAAACGAAATGAACAACTACTAAATGTCATTTGAAACATTGTGCTTACCAATTATCTTTCATTTGGCATTCGGCAAAATACAGACGTGTCATTAGACTTAAAATGCATTATCGTAGTTACGTAGCATTTACAGAGCCTCCGTGTCACGAAGGCACAGTTGTAAATCACTGTAGGGGTTACCTAAGTTACACTGGGGTGCACTGTCGGACTTGAACAGTGTTGGGCGGGCGGGCGAGTCAGCCGGTTGACTCCTCCGACTGAATCTCAAAACTCAACGCATTTTTAATTTTACTTTACTACTGTATTGGAAACTTATCTACAGTCATGGAATCATTTTAAATTTTGGGCATATGCCTAAATTATAACGAAATATTGAGATGATTTGATTTGAGGCTAGAACTTTTTTGGTTATTTTTTATCATGTAACATTGAATACCTGAAATTTTAGGATTAAGGCCCACAATGGAGGGATGTTACAATGATGATGAGCCGTTCATATACCGACTTAATGATAATGGATCAGGACCCAGCCTACTTGTCAAGGTAATATGCTGTTTATATTTTCAAAATGAAGAGTTGCAAAACTCGCTTGAGTGGTACATGGTTTTTACCGAAAAGGTCAACGGCTTTTGATAGTATTTTTAAAATGAACTCTATAAAGCAACTACGTCTGCCTTTTTTAAAGATTAAATATAAGGCTGTTCGTCCGTCACGTTTGTTTCATTAATAACTGTTCAGCCTCGTAAAAATATAACAAATAATAGTTTTGCATTTATAATATTAGTAAGGATATCATAAAATAAAAACAACATACATTATGATGGTTGGAGTAAACATATTATTACTCGTAAAAATGAATACAATACAATTACACTGTAATTAAACACGTTGATACAAAATATAATAAAAACAAAAGTACATTTCCTCAAGTAATAAATAGAACTTAGAATGAGAGGTATATATTTTCTTCAAGTATTAATCTTATCTTAATAATAATATTATAAAGGCGAAAGTTTGTGAGTATGGATGTTTGTTACTCTTTCATGCAAAAACTACTGAACAGATTTTAATGAAACTTTACAGTAATATAGCTTATATATCAGAATAATATATAGGCTATAAACGTCACGTGGATGAAACCGCGGGTAATGTAATAAGTGAAAACATTACGAAGGCTGAGGTCATGGTTACATTATAAACACGTATCGATATTTGAGATCATTGACCCTTAATCGGTCGATCACATAATAATTTAGACTGGTAAGATGCGACACGTCACACGTGTTTACCTTGTAATCAGTTAGTCAATCGTGAGAATATAGGGCACAGTTGATTATACAAGGTTGCCCCTTTTCACCTTGTATGAAGTTAGTTAATCATAACAAAATGGGGCGTAAGTAATTTGACAAGGTTGTCCCTTTTTGATGTTTACTTTTTAGATAGTTGAAAAATTTCGATATGTATTAATGTCAATGTCGATTTTTACTATATGCACGTGCTACTTACATATTTAAATGGGTATCAGTGTTTATACATATTAGAAATCATATACGTACTATTTTTTTTTAATGGGACAATTATTTGTATTAGTACATATGCCACTGCGTCGTTCAATCATCAATCCGTTTTCGATGAGTTTTTTTTATAAGTAGAAGTTGGTGTCATGTAAATAAAAAAAAATCCATTCAATTTAAAATGAAAATTATTGTAATAATACACAATATGTTTGTAGATGGAAAGTCGATTGAAAAAATGAAGACCTCGGTTCTCGCAGTTTAGCACGCTGCTTTATATTACATACGTTTGATGGTCGCGATTTCGATTCCTCGCACGGTACAAACATTTGTATTCATGAGTATGATTGTTTGTATCGGTCTGGGTGTTTTCTATGTATAATATGTATTTATTTACAAAAAAAAATGCATTCATGTATTTATATTAGTTGTCTAGTAACCACAACACAAGCTCTGCTTAGCTTGGGACTAGATAGCGCTGTGTGAATTGTCCAGGATAATTATTATTTATAAAAAATCATGATTAGATAAAAAGTCCCACTTTAATACCAAAAGAATAAAAATGTATACAAATGTTTGCATTATAACAATATAATAATAATAATATCTCAGGACAATTCACATAGCACTATCTAGTCCCAAGTCAAGCAGAGCTTATGTTATGCGTAACTCATATAAATACATGGATGCATTTTTTTTGTAAATAAATATATATTATACACAGAAAACACCCAGACCGATACAAACAATCATACTTATGAATACAAATGTTTGTACTGTGAGAGGAATCGAAGCCGCGACCATCGGATAGTAAAGCGGTATGCTAAACCACTAGACCACCGAGGCTGTCAATGTCAGTTATTGCATTGTACGGGAATCAAACAAGCGACTACCAGCAAGTGAGAGAATGTGGTTAATTGTTTCTGTATAGATTTGTGCAGAACGTGGATGGCGCATGTACCAGGGGTACAGCGGAAATGAGGATAGATGGAACCTGTGGTGGCGGACAAGTGCCTTCCCATCTGCGTGTTACAAGACTCTGGGTGACTGGCAGGTTGGTTATTTTAATATATTTATAGCTGTACTCGCGACTTCGTCGGCGTGGAATGTAACTTTATTTTTCTAATATAATAGTAACCTAAGTTACTCCTTATTACATAAGTTACCTGCTAATAATAGTCCTGTCAAAATCGGTCCAGCCATTCCAGAGATTAGCCGGAACAAACAGACAGACAGACAGACAAAACTTGTAAAAAATGTTATTTTGGTATATGTACCGTATTTATATTCATATGCATGTAGTAAAAACGGTTATTTCAATGTTACAAACAGACACTCCAATTTCATTTAAATGTATAGATTTGGAAAACTCTTTTATATCTTTTAATATATAAAAATTTCATATCACGTTTGTCCGCGATGGAATTTTAAAGTACTGAAATTTTATATGTATGTTCGGTAGGTCTGAAAATAAATTGTTACCTATATTTTATAAGTTATAAGGATTGGCCCACCTCAAAACATTTAATTATTATTCCATTGATATTTTTTTCTTATTTTATTATGATTCGACATTAAACATATAACCCTAAATTTTCACCTTTCTGCTATCAACCCCACTATTGTATATTAATAGCTATATATTTTTTAATGGCAAAATCAAATAGTTAATCATAGAATAAAGTACTGTAATAGTGATCTCATTATCTTATTTCTTTTATTTTTCTAAAAAAGACGCACATATTAGTTTCCAGCAGTAAGTAGATATTCTTGGATCCCTAATTTCGAATATTTCGATAAATATAGCTCGGTTGTCGATGATTTTATTTAAAAGAGCTTCTGGAGCTGGAAGTCCAAATTATCCATGAAATTTATATGTCATTCTATTATTAGTATATTCTTGTCTTTGTAAAAATATATCTATAATCATAGAGATTCCATTAGCTATTCATAATAATTATAATTGAATGTTAAATGCATATCCTTCCTTATATACACATACATTTTTATTTTAGTTCATGAACCATATACCTAAAGGTGGATCGATATGTCGGAAGGATGGGCTATCCAGGCTGCTTCGTTGTATGCGTAGAATTTATGGATCTATATACGATTTCAGGTAAGAATTACTAATTTACTTTTACTTAGTATAACAACACAAATATACACGTACATGTTTGTATACTTCTTTATGTACTCTAATTTTCAATGCCTACCGCAAAATAAAACAGTATGAGTAACGATATTGAATAAGGATGATAGATTAGAAGATTTCTGAAGAAAATTAAAAGCGATTTTTTACAACTACAATAAGCCAATATAAGATTCAAATGAAAAGAATAAAGATAACAAGGAGTTTGTCAACAAATAGTAAAAATAAAAATAAAAACGACATCAGAATCAAGCCCCTAATTATAATTTTAAACATTTTACTTATTTGTATTTACTCGTTCATATCGAAAGTCGTTTAGTTTCGGATACGAAAGTTTATTGTTAATTTCTGAACGTTACACTAATCGGGCTATAAAAAACAAAAGCCTAAAAAGAAGCAAACGCTAATTTGGTACGCTGTATTGTTATCTTTTTTACAATTTAAAACGATGAAAAGATATAAAAAATATATCCGTTACACGCAATACCTATTGAATTGGAATAACAACGTAAACGTAAATGATAATTTTATTTATCCTGATGGAATTAACATTGGCGAGATTTCGTGTTGTTTTACAAACAGATTAATAAAATTGATTTAAAGCTGTCGTAAAATAACATCTACCCCATTATTTCGGTTCCGAGCGAATTGTTGTTTTCTGTTTCTATTATGTATATTTTGTTGTCAGAAAATGTTGCTTTTTATATTTTTTATTTTTATACACGACCACCAATTACAATGTTCACAACAATAAGTAGCGTATATATTTAACATTTAATATATACGTATTTAAGTATAAATATAAAATTATCTTATAACCTGTTATACTAGTAATTCGTAATGAACTAGCCTGGGCAATTTTTCTTTTTCTTTGTATTGTCATAAAAGATACAAAAATAACTTTAATACTTCACTCAATATTATCTAAGGCCGGTGACCTTACAACTTGAATAAGTAAATTTATTATATGGGAAAATATATTTTTCAAATCTTTTTTTGTGGGATAGTCAAAGAGAACAGAGATCCAATTAAGGATCTCTATGATTTCAGCCATTCAATATCAGTCTTTTGAATAACTACACCAGTTATGAAAACTACCCTCTAAAACAGTATATGTAATTACAGATAACTTGTACTAATATTATAAATGTCTCAGAGATCACTAGGAAATGGCCGGTTATATTTTATATTAATAAAAAGAGATACAGGTAATTTATACGACATATATTAAAAAATACAGTTTTCACACAAGTAAATTAGTGATTTATGCCTATAAAACATTCTATTAATAGTTTTGTTTTTATTTGTATCCTTTGAATTATTAAATTACCATTTTTACAGATAGTTAGAATTTCACATGAAGAATAATAATTTATCACTTACCTAATCGTCCGATATCATTCATGAACATGCATGTTAATTTGTATGACACTAAATTTAGTTACTTTCTTTGAACACGGTATCGTTTAACAGTAGAAGGAAACAAAGTATATTTTTTCGTCACGCCAATACAGATTAATCAGATGGATAAACTTTGCCTGAAAATTGAGGTATATTTCCATGACAGTTAAAGTAGACAATGAATTGGGTGACTCTGATAAAGTTCAGTATGGGAACATTTGTTGATTGTGGCGTGTACGTACTGAGCCGGGAGTGAATCGCGCGCGTCATTGACTATTTGAATGAAACGACGCGTTCATTGCGTGTCACACGGCATTACCCAACAGTTTTTTTTATAGCAATACAAAAATCTGATTTGGACCGAAATAAAACCATATATCAGACAATGACTTTTAGGTTATATCGCGGTTGTACAATTATATTACTTATATATTGTTACAAATATGCACAATAATAGTTCTTGTCAATAATACTTGACAACAGCTGACAGAGTCTATTTTATATTAACGGCCTCGGCCGGTTTACACTACATTACTTTCCGATGGTCGCGGGTTCGATTTCTTGCACGGTACATACTCATGAATTTCCTATGTATCGTAATAATTATACATACATAGGAAACTCTCACTGTATTTAAAAAAAAAAATCTAAGTATTTACATCAGTTGTCTAGTATCTATAACACAATCTCTGCTTAATCAGGGACGAGATGACTAACAATTAATAAATAACAAAACATTTTTAAACTAATATATCTTAAAATGTATTATTATTAATATTGTTAGAATTTTTATCTCTCCATCTGGACGTTTATGTATTTATGTTACGTCTATGTTTATAATCTTTAAACGACTTAACAGATGTGTCTATACCTATAAATAAAATTCAATTCAACTCAACATATAAATAAAATATTACATAAAGAGTGTCTGTATGTAATATTTTTTTTACTACATGCATATGAATATAAATACGGCACATATACCAAAATATTTTTTTTTACAATTTTAACTTTCTGTCTGTTTGATTGTCCCGGCTAATCTCTGAAATAGCTGAACCGATTTTGACGGGACTTTTTTTGGCAGGTAGCTGATATAGTAAGGAGTAACTTAGCCTACTTTTATTTTAGAAAATAAAGTTAATTTCCTCGCGGACAAAGTCGCGTGTACAGCTAGTGTATTACAAGAAGTAAGTTTCATTTAAAATCCTGCGTTTATTTTATTCCAATTGGTAGGTATACAAACAAAAAATATATACGAGTATGAAGTCCCAGAGTCGGCTAGTATTGTACTATAACTCTACTGAACTTTTATTACAAATTCGTGTACAAGAACTATTAATAGTTGCTTGTAAAGGACTTAAAAATAAATGTTTATTATATTCAGATGAATGAAAATGGAATGTCGATACTATTTGTTTTGCTTAAAATGTAAAAGCGTTTTTATTTTTGAATTAACTGTGTATTATACTGTGTGTATTATATATATATATATATATATATATATGAATGTAATAAGGTATATTATTACATTTATTTAGGTTAAGTACTTATGAAGTGTTCAATGATTGAAATGCTAGTTACAGAGCTTTCATGTGCTTAAGCTTTCAGGTACAAGCGATCAAGTACAATTATTACGCTTCCAGCAATGAATTTGGAAAAATATAGTAGGTATTACCGCAGTAGCCTATTTTGTAAATTATCTATGTCAAGTCTTTAAAATCTAGGTATATAATTGAGTAATAGACAAAAAAAAACTAATTGAATAATAAACACTTCTTATAATATTAAAAATAACACAGTGTTGCCTTAAATCTTAATTTTTATATTTTACTAGTAAATGATAGTTTTCTGGGACCATTTAGACCCTTATTATCTTTTGGTCTACCCTATAAACATTAACCGCCAGAGGTAAACTGTATAAAAAAATTGAAATAACGGTAAAAATAAAAGAAAACAGCTTCTTTACGAGGTGAGTTACGGTTTAAGGAAAGAGCCTTTGCTGTATTGCCTACGGAACGGCAGTACATAAGGGGTACTACGTGCGCTACACTTCACGTTATGTCCGTGGAGATCATCATGTATGTATATAGCTAGCAGTTGCCACTTACCACCAGGTGGATAGTTGGACGATTTCCCATTCCAGGTCTTAAAAATAATTAAATACAAAGTATCTACATTAAAAAAATGTTGACTGAAATAGCAAACTCAATTACACCAGTTAGGTCATAGTTTATGTAGTTTTTAGAACTTTTAAAGGTCAAACTAATTAATTGGTTGACACAAGGTGAAAGTTCAGGGCAATATGAAATTATAGATTCTATTACTAATGAACAATAACTTGGCAATTACCCCCAAGTGGTACCGTAGTCGCGTGACGATTGCAAAAAGGCGGCCGAACGAATGTCGTACTTTTGTTTCGATTTCGATGCTCGCTTCACATTAGAATACAATTCTCGATGCATTTGGGTATATGTAATATAGGTTCTCAAATATTAACAGTATAGATTTGTGTGACTATGCATTCCCTTATGAATCACATTATTTTAGTTATTGATACATCAAGTAAAGATATTTAACAACGAGCAATGCGTGTGTACATTTGGAAGTGTAACAATTGGAAAATGTATATAGACCTAAGCTTTTAGCAAATAAAATATATTTTATAGAAAATATTTAATTTGATTAAAATTTTTATATAATTTAGAAGTGTATCTTGAAAATTATTTATATCTTGTTATATTAGAATTAAACAGCCCGAATTAGTTAAAATGAAAATGGCTATTTTATAATATATTTTATAGTCTAAAAATATAAATGATGCAAAATAGGAATAAAAGATAGAAAATATAAAAAATCAATAAATTTTAGGTATTTTTAAAACAAATATAGCATTAATATTACTAAAATATGGATTAAAAAGGTGGATTTAACATATATTGTATGTATAAACTATACGTATGGTTCATTACATGACACCAAAATGGTTTCATTTTATCTTTTTACTACGAAACCCTAAAAAAGAGTCTCGGTTACAAATGTCCCTTGGATGAAGTAAGCTTAGAGCGTCGGGGTATGACGTTAGTTATTGCTCGTTCGTTCACTGACTACGCCACTCGTAAATATGGCTGAAAATAGAAAGTAACATGAATATTTGAATGCTGTTGCAAGTTTCCACAGTATAGTGGGGTTCAGCAGGCTGACTTTTTTTCAGAATGGAATTAGTACCAAATTGAAATCACATCATTCACTTGATGGATTATTTATATTCCATTTTATTGAATGTTTGTTGAACAGATATATTATTTATTTAAGTGTATATTTGTATTTACATACCAATATTGACATATACCTATATATGTATATATATATATATATATATATATATTTACATTTTTGTTAAATATCATTATCGGCATCCTTTTATGAAACTTAATCTTAGATTCATTAAATACTCATGTTCATAAAATTGTTATAATTATTATAATACTTTTTATTGTTTATAGTTTTTAAATTAATATGATAAGGTATCTGAAATGATATAACGAAATTAAATAGATGTTGTCATAAAAACATATTATAATCCCACCTAAAAAATAACAATTGGCAGGTGGTTTGATATAGTATTGTACTTCGACATTTCTTTTTTTATTTGACATGTCCCTAATGTTTGAAGACTCTCCAAAAGTATTTGAAATAAATGTTGCGTGTTACGCATAAGCCATAGCGTAACACGAGGATTCGCAATTTGAAAATAAAATGGAATATGTCGATGTTAGATATGGTGTTCTTATGTAAACTTCTTTTCCGATAACAACCAGGTAGGACTTTATGACCATTGAATTATGGGAAATTATTTCTCTACATGACTTGAAACCGAACTTTTACTAATGTTAGGGCTGACAACCGTTACATTTATCCTGAAGTACTACTTCAAAGTTGATCTAGTTGTAATATATATCTACGAACAAACCTTTCATTACTCAATATTTTATTCAAATTTTTATTCTAGTATATATACTTATTTATAATATTAGGGTGTTTATAATCCATAGCTTATTTTCTGAAGCGTGTCTCTGTGACTCAATATCAATCTATACGAATAAAAACTGTACGTAAAATTGATAAATTGAGATTGTGCTCGCTAACGTTAAATTTAATAATTTTGTTAATGTTAAATATACTCACTTGCCGGATATATAAACCGGTCAAATAAATTTACGGAGTTAAGAAAACCTCTAGGAAAAACAATGTCAAACTTTTTAAAATTATCAGTTCTGAGTCTGAATTACCGTACCGATAATATCATATTAATAATACGGATTCATATTAAATAACATTGCCAACTGGTTCCTAGACTAATTTATAGTACCTATATCTTCTACTATGAAATGTATAATGGATTGCTTGACTTGCCCTAAATATAGCAGTCAACATTTATTTCCATGTAAACGAAAAAGTTCTATTTGTCTCACAATTCAATTACGACAACCCAACATAAATCAATTTAGTTGAATAATGTTCTTTCAAGGTTTCAAATTAAGCTACCTAGATTATATTACTTACATTCATTTCCAGTAAGTTTTCCCTTTAACATAGGCTGAAATCGAAGTTCATTTAAGTTAAAAGGTTAGTAAGTTCGTGCGTGGTATTTCCTATTGACCTCATGGCCTATGCAGGCAAAACGGTAATGTTTGCGGAGGGTTTTATTTTATAAAAATAAACTTAAGTGAAGTAATCAGTGTTTTTAAATTTATAGCATAACATTTTATTAGTTAGTTGATTACTCAATGTTTTACATTTTACGATTTTTCTTTAATGTTAAGCATTAATTTTTGCTATGTGATTCGATCAAAATTGCTCGAAAATCAAAAACAAAAATGAAGAAACCAGTATAATGGTCAATCAACATTTAAATATTTTATTTAAGTGTTCATATATGGTGATAACATAAGAAACATAATATTACAATAGTGAAATTTATTTAATAAAAGTATTTATATATGTTTTAAGGTTGACTAAATGTAGTAATATTTACTTGGTTTATTCATTACTTAGACTGATTAATCTGAAATTTATTATGGTATTTTTATATAGTATAAAACAAAGTAGCTTCTGCTGTTTGTTAGCTTAGATCTATTAAACTATGCAATGGATTTTAATGCAATTTTTAGCAATAGATAGAGTGATTCAAGAGGAATGTTTATGTGTACAATAATACATGTACACCCGTGAGCTAGTACAGTACATGTAGCTAGTACAATATAAAAAACATAAATATTTTATCTTCTAGATGATCCTTAATTAGTTAGTATAATGGTCGTTTTGTCATTTACAGTCCACCGTGTTACCACTTGCCATTAGAGTATGCTAAATTAGTATCGGAGTTTTCCCGACTGCGGCGGAGCGAGGATGAGACAGCTTCAAACGTTGTTTGGATTCACAAACCAGTTGCACAGAGTCAGGGCAGAGGGATTTTTCTGTTTCGTGTAAGTAGTTTATACTAAATTAACTGGAATAGCAAAAAATTGACGTCCTAGCTGTTGCTAACCATTATCAATAATAATAATTCAAATGTCGCAAAATAGATTTTGACGCCTTTGGACGTCTTCATTTCATTACCACAAAGTTCAGTATGTTGTAATAATAAATAATATTCCTGGACAATTCACACAACGGCTACACTAAAGAACTAATAAGAATATTTTAATAAATGCAGATTTTTTTAAACTACATACATAATATACATAGAAAACATCCAGAGCAATACAAAAAATCATATTCATTAATATTGAATCGAATGTTATAAAAGCGATAGTTAGTGCAAATGGATAGTGATGTTTGTTACTCTTTCACGAAAAATTCTTGCTCAAATTCAAATGGAATTTAGCATACAGATAGATAGTTTCCCAGGTTAACATGTAAGATATATTTTACCTAAATGCACGGCCAACAGTGCCGCGAAATGCAGCTAGAGCACTTTAGATAAAAGATTAAGTTATATGTAGGTATCTAGATATGTTCTGCAATACGGCTTCATTCATATTACAATCTTTTATAATCATTTCCATTAATACATTAATACACTTATTTATTCGTAGAAAAAAATAATTAAAAATTTGATGATTGATTTTTCAATTGCTATTAAATGACTATTGAAAAATTATGTATGTACCGTCGTATAATAAGTGTATCTTGATGTGAATAAAATTATTCACATCTACAAACAATTAAAAATATTGTTGTAGTGCAGAACTTATCTTGTTACCTGTGTACATGATCGCTTGTAATTGAACTAATATACAAATTCTTAGTAGTTTCATTGCAAGTTTGTAACTTTGTATAGTTTCATGGCTAAAGTACAATAAAGTTGGTTTTTATGTTCAAGGATGGATATATTTTATGGGACGTCATTAAATTGTACCTGTGCTGCTCGCCTTAACTTCAATTTTGATACTTTAATTGGCACTTCACGAAAATTAACATGATAATAAAAACCAGAACATCCAAACCTAAGTTGTAAATTGTTATTGCTTATAATGTTTTATATTACGTTTTCATCATATCATGAAAATTCTATTATATAATAATAAAAATTTGTATGTAACAAGAAGTTGACAAATATAGATAACCAAGGATTGATCGTAAGTGGTCTAGCGGTTAAGTACACCACTTTCCTTCCGATGGTCGTGAGTTCGATTCCTCGCACGGTGCAGTGTTTTCTATTTATAATATGTATGTATTTAAGAAAAAAAAAACTCTATTTATTTCTGTCACTTATCAAGTACCCGTAATACAAGCTTTCGCTAGCTTTATTTGGGTTTAGATGGCGTTGTGTGAATACTCCTGAAATTATTATTATTAAATTGCAGAGTATATGTGAGATGCGTTGTGGTAGTTCGGCTGTGGTGCAGCGGTATATCGAGCGGCCGTTGCTGATAGCTGGCTATAAGTTTGACCTACGGCTATACGTGTGCGTACCTGGATACCGGCCTCTGACAGCGTACATGTATGCCGAGGGATTAGCTAGATTTGGTAAGCTATTTAGCTTTAATTTATTTATCCCCCTATTTATAGGTATTACAGCAAAAGAAAGATAAAGATGGATATATAGGTAAAATCTTTATAAACAACTATATACTTGTAAGAAAATTATACATAAACACAAAACACACAATACACTTTAACTTACACGTAAAATGAAATCATAAAAATAAATATATTTTAGGTGCCACAGGGACATGAATGAGATGAGCTACTCAGTGAACAATTTACTCAACGAACAAAACTCTGATTTTCAGTAGCAGCCCGGGAGTGACACATTATAAAAAGATATATGTATGAGCTCGTATTTATTACTACGAGTAATTACGAGTACATTTCGATGTATGTGGTATTTCATCAGATTTTCATGACGACTAGTTACTTTAAGTTTCTGTAATTCAAGCGGACGGTGCCCAGGGCTACAGCTAGTTCTCTATATTTACACTAACTATATTTGTTAATTAAAGAGAGAAATAAGACCCTTTTTAACTTAAAGGTAGGTTTTACGGCCTCAATGGTCTAGCAGTTTAACACACTGTTTTATTTTTGATGGATGTTTAGAACATCAATGGAATGTTCCGTACAATAAAATAATTATTCATCTCATTATTATTCCAGGGACTGATAAGTATACACTGACGGATATTCATAATCCATACAGACACCTCACTAATTCATCTTTAAATAAATCAGGACCAAGATATGCAGAATGCAAGGACAGAATAGGTAGTGGTAAGTTTTAGAGATATTTTTATTACTCAATTTTCGAAATTATTCCCACTACATGAACTATCAAACTTTTGGCTACATTCCAAGCCAAACACGACGACACGGTAATCAGTTATTTATTTATTCATAATTTAAGAGCTACTCTCTTACCAGTAGAGCTATTGCCACTTTACATGATCTTCCATCTCTTTTTATCGTCTTTAAATGTTGATACGTTCTCTTGAAATGACTAAATTCCAATTTAGTATCATTTTTGAGCAGCGAAAAGTGTGGTAGGGAAAAGTCATGACGTATTATACAATTTGATACACATATTATTTTTGAATATTCTTTTTAGATTTCATCGTAGGCATTTCTATATTAACCACAGAACGCTGTTCTATGGATTCCATCCAGTCAATTCTAGTACTGTTAAACCATTCTCTATATTATGTCGCAGAGAACAGTCCTTGTTTACTTTTAATATTATTGATTTGGCGGCATGTACGATTTGAGAATGATAATATATTATTTAACATCGGTTATCTATTTGAGTTTTGGGCCTAGCCATTACCACTTTATGTTTTATATATGTGTCATTTTCAAGCATTAGAAATAAATAAATAAAATTATTTATAACTCATTTAAATATAAATTTGAACTAACTTTTAGGTTGTAAGTGGACACTGAAACAAGTTAGAAGGGCGTTAATAGGACGTTGGGGTGCAGCCGAATGGTTGGTGTGGCAAAGAATCAGAGCTTTGGTGACGTTGACTCTGTTAGCTCAGGCAGCCGGCACTCCCCCAGCTAGGAATTGCTTCGAATTCTATGGATTTGATGTACTTCTTGACGATTCTTTGAAGCCCTGGCTAATAGAGGTAATTTTGAAGTTTTGTATTTATATATCATAGTTATATAATTGATGCTTTGATGTAACTGACAATAATTTTGAAATGTTTATAAAGGTGAAAGTTATAGAAGTCGATAAAAAATTGTAACAATAATAAATTAGACTTTATAAAAAGGTTTCCGTTTCCTTACATATTGCATTCGCCGATCAACTTGCTTTATAAGCTGGGATTTTGAATGGTGATTAATGTCTATGAGCTGTGATATTTGTTTTTGTATATATAGGCTACGGTCACCACTTTTACACACGATTACATCAGATGACTTGCCACCTTTTTTGCCACAATAGTATAAAAAAGTAATTTTTTGAAGTAATAGCGTTTTATTTATAGTAAAGCTGTCCATATATTTATTTTATTTTTTATTTATAACAATGTATCAATTGTGTAGAATAACACAATAGTAACTTATACAGTAATTTTTTTCTACACCATAATAATAATAATAATCTTAGGACAATTCATACAGCGCCATCTCTAAATTAGATCTAGAGATCTAATTTAGATAGCTAATGCTTGTGTTATGGGTACTATATAACTGATACAAATACATAGATACATTTTTTTTCATATATACTTATATATTATACATAGAAAACACCCAGACCGATAGTAAAATAAGCAGTATGCAACTTATGTGCAACAGTTACAACAAATATTTGTACTATGCGGAGAATCAAACCCGCGACTATCAGAAGTAAGGCGGTTTGCCAAACCAACAAAGTAACAAAGAAATGAACGACTGATTCTTATAGTAAGGAAATAATAATTTTCAAGGTGAATTTGTCCCCGGCGCTGGGTGCAGACTGCGAAGCAGACGTGACTGTAAAGCAGCCAATGCTTCATGAACTGTTCGACCTACTAGGACTGCCGATGAAGCACACCGGTCTTTCGTTACTACAGGGACAAAATCATGTAAACATTCATAGGTAAATTTATTTGTCTACAATAAATCATAGAAGAGATGTCTCTCTCGTAAAATATGTTGTGAGTGTGCTGCGAGGGTGGGTGCATCACCCAGAAATATTAGAGCAAATTCAGCTATGGGTACCCAATGGTTACGTGGGCGCGCGCCGTCATCCCGTTTTATTCAGTATTCCGGTAGCCAGGACCAATTTACTAAAATATTCATCTGTAACCCGTGCTTTAGAGATACTGAACAATATCAGAAATGATATTGATATTTTTGATTGTAGTCTGCCGAAGATCACAGAAGCCATTCAAAAGTATCTAGAATTTTTATAATGTTTATATTATGTAATAAAATATGTTATGTTGTAAATTGATATATATATATATATATATATATATATATATATATATATGTATACTTTACTAAGTTGCGATACCGATTTGGATATACTGTAATGGTGTTGTAATATTGAAATGAATAAATAAATAAAAATAAATAAATAAATAAATATATTTAATTTCAACTTTAAAACATTGGGAAATATAGATTTTATGACTATATTTCTAGCCTTAGACACAATGTATGTATTTCTAGTACCGACTATACAAGCTATGCTTAGCTTGGGACTGAATAGCGCTGTTGAAAGACTAGATATTGAATTATCCAGATTTTTATTATTGTTATAAGGAAGTAGTATAAAGTAGTTATGGCGTTTGAAGCATGTATTCAGGGTATCTGTAATCGGCATGAGCCTCAGATCTACTTCAGATTCAGATTCACTAACTTGTTGTCTGCTTTTTTTTAATTTAATATTTAATTGTCCTTGTTGTAGTTATTGTTCGGAGGATGAGGGCGGTATATCTCGGCCGGCGACAGCTTCAAGTGCAACCGTAAGACGCGGTACCAGATGGCGACGTCGTCGGCCTATGCCGATACATTGTGTCACCCTACCACCCAGCACAGTCGGATGTGACAGTGAAAAAGCTACTGTAAGCATTTCATGTCCAAGTAAAAAAAAATTATATAAAATAACAATTATAAAAAAAAATACTATAAAAATATAATTTTTTCCCCAAGTATGGTACTCCTGCCATAAGAGGCTTACAATCCAGCTACCCGGAGGTTATTGCCCCCGGAGTTGATGCAGGGACAAAAGGGTTCGGCCTGAGGCCCCAAACTTCGCTGCCTAGGGGGATGCGGATGACCAGTGTCAGTCAATGTTCGTGTACATATATTCTTTCACCGACTTTACTGTCTAGAACGTTGTCTTAATCCGTTTCTCTGTACCTCTGTTTCTGGCATGCAACCTGTTACCAGTATAATTACAGGTAATGACATGTCTGTCTGCCGGAATGTTAAAGATTAGTGGTTCCTCGTAAATGTCGGTTCAGTCAGCTTCTTTGCCAAAATAATTTTGCTGGTAAATACTCGCAAGTAGACCATAAAATTTATTCGTAGTATAATAGTTGAGTTGATTTCTTTACTACTACAATTCTTAGATTTTTTTAAACTAAGGACATAGTCTACAAAGTTTTCCGGTAATCACAAAGTAGCATTGGTTCTGCGAGTAATGTCAGTGGGAAGATTATACATATGACATTGTATATTTTTTTGTAATTTCAGGATACTAGTGAAACAACCAAGGAACTAAACATTGGACAATTATCTATGTCCTCACCTGAAAGTTCGGACAATTCAGATGTTCAGGTAATAATAACTTTAGTAAAAAAAAAGTTATGTTCGTATGTTGATATTATATATATCAGATAATATATATAACAGAGGGAAACTGTTATCTAAAACTGATGCACATGGTTGTCTAACGGTTTAGCACATTGCTTTACCTTAATGATCGCTTTACTTTTACCTCAAGGATCATTTCCTCGGACGGTGCAAATAGAAATATTCGTGAGTATGATTGTTTGTACCAGTCTGGGTGTTTTCTATGGATGCCTTTTTGTAAATACATACATTTGCAAAAAAGGCATCAATATATTATCTAATACTCATAACAGAAGTTATATTTAGCTTGGAACTAGATGGCGGTATGTGAATTATTTATTTAATTATTTTATTATTAAATTATCTTAATAGGTAATATTCTGAGCGAAAACCTTTATTATTTCTTGCACTTTTACATACAGTATTAATACTACTATAATTAGAAACAATTGTAAGAATAACTTAAGATTTAATAAGCCAATTTTTTAGAATCACTATTCTATGGTTTATACTTTTCAATACTCTTATTTTTATTATAATATATTCTATAGGGAGATGTTTACAGATAGAAAAAGTAAGTATGGCCACTAGTAATCCTAATAATATACTATTATCCTACATATTGTTACTGACTAATATTCTATCGATTGTTACTAACATCTGCTACAAATGTAATTTAGGTGCCATTTTTAGACTATCAAACTAGGTCCAATTACCATTAAACAACTAAGTTATGTCTGCGTGTTACCAAGGACAAGCGGAAATCAATTCAAATCATACGTATTAAACAATAGCAATTGTATTCTTTAATGTACTTTATTCTGAAAAGCATAGAGTCTAAAATCGTTACATGATAAAGGAGATATTTTTATAACTACGAGTAGGAATTCTATTGTTTCCAATTCTTGTCATGATTTATTTGTTCTATAATTAGAATAAAACACGCGATGGAAATATATTTTTGCAGAATATTTTTATAACTGTATGTAATAAGTATAATATATTATCCTAAATGAGGTAGTCACGGGAATTTTTTTATGCAGATGTCATTTGAATGCAATATTTAACATGATTGGGTTTGGCTGGGTACATTTGAATCCACCATTTCAGTGTCCTCGACTACCGCAGTCGTTGGGATTAATTAAGTTTGATATTTGTATGATTAACAATAATTTTAGTCATTAATATAAAATAATATACAAAGTTTTTTAGTATCAGTCAGATCGGTACTTAGAACCTTTGGTATTGGGAAAATATACCAGTATATTAAGGTTCTCTTAATGAATGTAATATATTTGGAATTTAAATGAGTCTAGCAGATTCCATATTCTATTACAGCACGTACATAATCTAGTTACTAATATTCCAGTCTACGCCAAGTGTAGCCATCACATCATCAGATTCAGTGGACGAGTCGTGGAAAGGTGGTTATGCGACAGCGGCAAGTCGCAGACGAATGCTAAGCGCCTGCTCTTGGGGTAACGGGGTGCAGTGGCACCGCGCGACGGGTCGAATGGGTCAGTGGGTGCGGATATATCCTCACACAGTGTCTGGTGACGACCAAGTAAGATTTCGCAATAATGGTTTTCTTTTAATTAAGGATAGGAAGGACTTTGGGATAGATGACATGGCCGTGTATGAGATAAATATGAAGGAAATAATATTACACCAACTCCAAAAGAAGAGAGAATGATGATGATGACGATAATGTCGGATGAATGATCCTATATATTACAGATTTTCGTTCTCCCTTATACCTTTAAGTTTTGTTCCATGTAAACGTGCCAAGAGCAACCTTTCTTTGTAAGACTTTATTTGTTTACAATTTTTTACGTTCTTTTAGTCTAACTAGGTTTTGTTGAAGTTGTTTGGTCCTTCTTTTCTCTCCACTTTTTACGTGAACAAAAAGGTAAATAAAATGACGTTGGGTTTTTAAACTGCAAGGAAAGTGATAATCTACAGACATAAAGATTATCGCAGATATCATAAAGTACATTACCCCTTAGATACCCCGTTAATCGTGGACTCTATTTTCCAGTTACCAATGGAAGATGCACGCGAGAGTGTTGCCCAAGTGTCAAAGTTCCTCCGTGCGGCCCGGGAGGTGGTACGGGAAGGTGCACGTGATACACGAGGTCCACGTGATGCAGCCCGTGATGCTGCTTTCGAGGTTGCCTTGCGCAAGAAATTGGAATATAGAAATAATTTTGAAGTGTGGCTTCCACCTTTTTAATGTGTTCAAATGAGTATCTTTAAGCTATTAGTTAGCCAATAAATGCTTGCTCAATATCTTTATACTGGACTATTTTGGAATGGCTGGCGAATATTAGAATTTTGATTGAGACAATTAAAAAAGATACAATTGAGCCAAATAAATCAATTGAGAGACATTTGAAAAAGATTTTGCTTATACTGTCTGGAATGTCTAAACAGGGATTCTAAATATGAAGCCATTTCAAATCCAACCAGTATTGTCTTTTAATAACATATTATTATAAGTTTCAAGACAGAAATACTTAAGTTAAGAGTAAGAAATTATGTTGTCTATAGGTTTGAGTGCACTATCTGCATTCTGCATTGGATTATTGGTGTAAGGGCCAGCTGTCTACTGATTAATGTCGAATCTATTTTTATAATAGTTTTAAGAACTTTGAAGGTTTTAGTTGCTTATATATATATTAAGAAAGACATTTTTTATTTCTGCTTTAAAGAGGTAGATTTCATATAAACTCGTCTGGGTACCTCAGTCACACTTATTAATCCAGTAGTTGGGCAACTACTGGATTTGTAAGCTGTATTTCGAGTTTATATGCGGCAGGTTAAGAGGCATGACATCTTAGAAATCCAGACTGGTATCACGTAATATCTCTGGTGCTATTCATGTGCTGTATAGGCGACGATTACGGATTATTATACTTACTTGAATAATTATATTTTTATCCAAAAAACAGTAAAAGAATCCTCGAGTGAAATAATCTACAATTACAATATTAAGGAATTTTCTACAGAAAAAATGAATACACACTTAATACGTTTTAATACATTAACATGAATTTAATGGCAATCAATGACAAAAGCTTGCTTTGTAAATCGTGAAAGCCTATTATTATGGTTTCCTGCATATCACTTAGCGTTATTACGCAGTAGCAAATGATAATTACATGATGAGCGCTATCCGAAATGATCACATTAATTTTTAAAGCTTTTTAATTGTATAAATGGTGTAGCAAATAAAAATGAAGTCGTAACAATAGGTCAATATAACAGTGAACTGTATGCTAATAGTAAAAATAGAAGTAATATTACTTCGATACATATTCCTGTCAGACTCTTTAAAGAAGAAAACTCTATTAAGAAACCAAAAATGTATGTATATACATACTTTTTTGGTTTCTTAATAACATAAAAAATATGTATAATTTTTAATGTTATTGTGTTCAACTCAGCCTATACACACTCTATTGATGAATCTAGACCTCAATCGGTCCCACGAAATGGAGACCGATATAGTCCGAAGGATCGGCATACTGAAATGGCATTGGATCGGCCAGTTCAAAGCTTTGAGATAAATAAATTTTATTCAGTAATAAGTTACTTTATTCTAGGACAACCTGTATCATCGATACTAATTACTGGGTTAGTTGAAACTAATTAAGTAATTTCTACATCCATCAGTCATCGCTCGGACATTTAAGAAAACGGACACACCATGGCTTCTGAAATTGATAAGAGAGTTTTGCCTTTTGATTCTTTTTATCTAGTATATAAAGGATTATCTTGGACCGGTTTTTTGAAACCAGATAAATCACAAAGTCGATTTAAGTCATTTCTAAACTATGTACATCAATTACTGGCATTTTGTATGATTCTGTTGGTCAATATTGGTTATTCTCATTTCATACTCACTGTATGTATAATAATACAATTGTTTATATTTTTCTTACAGTATTTGGTTTTTGTCTCATGTCCTTTGTTGTATCTTTCTCCTTTCCAAACTCAAACTACATCCTAAATTTCTTGACAATTCGACAGGAAATAGCAAATTACTAAATTAATTTTCACATTAAAATTTTCTTATAACAGTTACTAAATGTATAAACTGTTCTGGGAACCTGGATACCTATTATAATACATGAAAGTGATAGCTTTAAAGTATTTTGTTTTCTTGGTTTCATCTATACTTCTTCTACAATGTAATGTTTTGTACGGAAATAATAAAGTAAACCAATACAGATATAACTTTTGCATTTGAAAGAAAAAAATATGGAGCTTTAATTTACACGTCTTTTACAAGATTCTAGTCTCTGGCTATATAGCCAGTTTATATTTCATTGTTCGAATTATATTTTAAATAACATAAATATATTCTAATTTTAAACTTTATATTCATTTCAGTGTAACAACAAAGATGCTATGTTTGAAACAATTATATTACTAATTCCGCACATGAATGTCGTATTTAAGTATTTTACTTTACTTTTGCAAACCACTAAGTTGCTTAAACTAAACGAAGTCATTAACGGTAACACAATTCTTTATAATACTTCTTATTATTATAACATATATCATATAATAAAGATAAAAAAGATTTATAATACTTCTTACTATTAGTCCTAAGATATTTTTTGTTATATTTATATAACATATATAATACATATAGTATAAAGGTTTATATTTAAAATATCACCCAATATCTACTTATAAAGGAACTTAACAATAATTCATACAAATACAAATACATTTCATATATCATCACATCTAATCTAAATTCACAATTATATTATAGGACCATATTTTTGCGCAAAAAATGAAAAGGATCAAAAGTTTTTAAATGAAAATAATAAGGAAATGTATAGACTAACTATGTTCATGTACGTTAGCGTGGCCTTAGGCGGTTGTGTTTGGATACTTTCTTATGTCATGAAGAGGATACAAGATGAAGATAATATCTTAGTCTTGTATTTGCCAATCGATACTAAATCTTGGTCGAGGTAAATATATCAATTCAATCACGTGTGACTTTGTGATACATAAGTAATATTTTTGATATGCTAGGGTATGACTTAATTTGATTTACATATATTACTTTGTTGAATTCCGCTACTATTATATATGTATGTAAACGCCTTAAACCTGACCACCGCTACTGGAAGTATTACGACCTTTTCTATGAATGCTTCAATTTCGATCGTTTTTAAATCTACGCCATATTTCGCTAGATCATTAAGAAGAAAAATGCATTAAGTAATTGTATGTATGTATTAGTAAAAATGGACTTTCGCAAAATATTACCTATTTCGGTAAAATAAAAATGTATGTACGTGTTTGTACGAAGTCGATTGGGTGGCTAAGTTGGTAAAGAAGAATATTATAGGTTACGATGGTATGAAACCTTGTTCTCCTGAATGGCATCTCAGGAGGGTATTATGTATCACATCATCATAAGTACGACTGTTGAATTATATAGACGATGCCACTTAATATTTAGTGGGTAGATACTGTTTTTGCCCATCCAGTAATATTAAAAAAAATAGGTAACATTTGTTACCTACTTATTTTAATCGAATCGAAATGAATTGCCGAAGAGAAAATATGAAAAAACGGAATATTACTAGGTATAAGGAAAGAAACTATCCTAACCATAGCCGTGTTTGCGGAAAATTATACTAGAAATTATATTTACGTACTTTGTTATTGAAGTCATAGACAAAGAAAAAATCTATATCGGTTATGTATATCGGTCAGTTATTATATAGTATAATATAAGCGAATTTTGTAATTAAATTTGATAATTTAACTACAATACAGCAAGTATTGTAAAACTGTTTTTATTTTTTTACAGATTTATCTTTGCAGTGGTCCTAGAAACGCACCTCACTTTAGTCGTCGCATACGGCCATGTAAGCTTTGATTCTGTTGTAGCAGTTTATTATGCACAAGCAATGGTGCAATTGAAAATATTAAAATACAACATAGAACACATGTTCGATGCCATTGATAAGGAAAATGAGAGCTTCAAATATCAAGCTTTGTATAGAGATATCAAAAATACTGCTCTTAAAGAGCGTTTCGTATATTACGTTAAAAAATATGATCAAATTGTTTGGTAAGACTTCTGTATATATAATATACCTACGTGAGCATAATATGATAATAATGAAACGGCAACCATAAACCTTCAGCATAAAGCATCTTTATATCGCCATTTATTATTTTATGAATTAATTAATAAATAAATTGCGTATTGAAAACTAAAAAATATTATTTTACCTCTTTGAGCAATATCTGTGTTAGCGTTATTTATTCTGTATATTGACAAATATTTCATCATTTCCTTCCAACATCAATTCCTCTAGTATTATTATGTGAAACCTTAACACACAAACAGACAGATAAAGTTTTCGCTTTGTCATGGCTATATAGGTATTATATGTAATAATTAATATTATATATTTAAATTACATTAAATCTCGATAATATTGTGTATGTGTTCGGGTTAAATCATATTGCATCGCGTGTACGTCATAAATTCTGTCTGTGCCTTCGTTTGTTTCTCGTTTCTAAAATCTTTTATATTTCAGGTTTACAAGAAAAGTAAATTCCGTGTTTAACATCGCATTGTCAATCCAATTTGTCTCAATGACTGGATGTTGTTGCTTTCTCATATATGTTATGAGCATAGTATGTAACAATTTTATTTATGTAATAGTAATTTACGGCCTCAGTAGGCGCTGTCATTTTAATATTTTTACTCAGAGAAATACAAATGTTTCAAAAATATTTCCTTATTGCTAACTTACAATGTTAAACGCGAAGAGCAGAAATCTATTACTATAGAATAGTATAAGATTTCTGCCCTTTACAGTCTAACGAATTAGATTCCCTATAATATGTATATTTTTTCTATTTTGAAAGGGGTAATAATAAATAAATTGCAATGGCATTTCACCTGGCCAAACCTTTAGGCCGACAGGGTATTGTAGGTAGCGACACTACCTAGCGGGCGTAGCCAAAAACTTGTGTAGAATGCTATTATTATTACAGTTGCTAACTGATTTTTTACTGCTTTCAGACACCAGACAGACTCTCAGTACCGTTCATATTTATACTGATTTTAATTATCATGTACCAGGTGCAACTATTTTTGTATTGTTATTACGGAAGTCTGGTTGAGTTCGAGGTAAAATTTATACTTATATTTCTAATAATTTTTATAGGTACCTAACTATTTTTTATGTAACTGAAATAGGAAATAAGTTGCTCGCTAGATGGAATTGGATTCCCTCCCGAATTTTATTATGATTCATTAAAAATATTCTTTCAAAATACTTTACTAACATTAAATTTCATTGGTTTTAGAGCCAGTCGGTATGTTCGTCTGTGTATTTGAGCGATTGGATATCGGTGTCGCCTCCGTTCCGTAACAGTTTGCTCATCGCCATGATACGCTGGACAGAACCTATAGAAACTCGGGTGTCTGTTGTTGTGCCTTTATCCTTGAGTACTATGATTACGGTAAGATGTATTTTAGAAGTAAATGTAGATTAACATTTATTAACAGATAAACAACATACTTGAGTACATTTTTGATCAGACTGTTTTTGCGTTTCTGTATATTAATCTCAGGAATAACGTATTTGAATACAATATTGCCTGATGTATTGTATGTATTTGTATTTGAAATATGTTTAAAAAACAACAGTTATACTTCGTTGTACACTTAATGAATTTAATTATACAAATGATGAGTAGTTTTTTTTTATAATTCTCTTTCCAAATTGTGATTATAGAACAAAATAAAATATGAAATTATTTTCTTTTTCAGATTATTCGTTCTTCATATACGTTATTCGCAGTTTTGTCAGAAACAAATGAAAAAGTCGAAACTACGTAATGTGACCGTCTATTATACGTATTAGTCCGTTTTAACTGCATGTCCTATTATTATGTTTATTATTAGTATTTTATAACGTACTTATTTCTTAGTAATATTGTCACAACATTTATTTTCTATGATTAATTTTTTAAAAAACAAACAAACACTTCTGTATTCAGTGTGAATTTTTTAAACCTTGATTACCTCTATCATAATATAAGTTTTAAATAAGAAATACTTTTCAAATATTGTAATACTAATGGCATTTATCTGCTACTATATTTATTGTTCAATTTTGTTGCACCTACATATTTTCAATTGAAAACATTTGTAATTAATAAAATTAAAATTACAAATAAATATAAATATATCGAACAAAATAAACTTATTTTTTTATTATAAATAGAATTATGACAGAAAACTACATTAAAAAAGAAAATACTAAAACAGAAATAAAAAATAAAATTTATCGTTTATTTTCTATTGAAACCTTAATCCTTAATTTAGAACTGAATAATTCATAACAAACAACCCCTTTACTGTATGTAAAAGCCTGGTTTTTAGTTAATTACAGATATTTTTATTAAGTGGTAGCTAATTATATCAGTCCTATCTGTTTTATAAAATTAATGACGATGAAATCAATTATATACAAGGTGTATAACAATGTACATTCAAATGACGATATCATTCAAAGTATAAACGCATTTGATTTACACATTATGTTAAGTGTAATAATAAGAAGAAAAAACAGTTGTGTAAAATTGCAAGGTTCATGTACTGTGTTATATCTAGGTATTGAAAATATGTAATACTTTTGAATATATCATAGAAGAATAAATCTGCAGGTCAATTAAACAACATTAAAAACATATTGGTAACCGCGAAAGAATACTGTATATGAAAGAGATTTACTCAATACTAAAAAAAATAAAATTGAAACTTTATTTACATGTTTCATACGCAATTCAAAACCATCGGTTATGAATTAATCTCTATATTTCCATTTCGATATAAAATTTAATTATCCGATAAAAGACAATACTAGATGTGAAGCCTATCCGAAAAAATTCAGATAAAGACAAAGCGTAATTAAAGTCACTTAAATACGAATATGTATGTAAAGATTTATATTTGAAGATTTTGTAAATTCAAAGAATAGGTTAATATTTAAATTATTATAGACAAACCAATCTTGTATTATCATAATAGTTATCGTGGAACTATGTTATAACTACAGGATTATTCTTTTTTTTAGAAAAATGGTTATTTACTTTATCGTATAATTAAATAAATATTTTTTCTTCTATCTTAGTTGACACTGATATGTAGAACATTCTGTATAATCTATGGTATGAATTAAATATATTTAAGTATACGTTGGTAAGATATATGAGGTGGTCTGATAGTCCTTTTATTCATCATTCAGTAACATCAGGAAACGTACAAAATATGAATACCGAGAGCTCTAATGAAGTTAAGGCGTTTGATTCTTTCAAATTCGCATATAAAATATTATACTTGAGCGGATTTTTAAAAATAAATAAACCAACTAATCGCTTTAAGTTATGTCTAAACTATTTACATCAGTTATTCACTTTCTCGCTAATTATATTTATTAATGTTAATCATTTTCTCTTCATACTGACGGTGCGTATATTACTATTTATTTTGCAAACCTTACGTCTCTGGAACTCACTGCCTGAAAACTTCGAGCACTGGCTACTAAACTATATACATATATAAATAATAATAATATCTCAGGATAATTTACACAGTTAATTTGTAAATACTGTATATAGAAAACACCCAGACCTATACATCCAGTATACAGACTTGAATAGGAAATGTTTGTACCGTGCGAGGAATCGAAACCACCGGGCTCGTCTAAAATATAACTATATATATATTCAGTAACTATATATACATATACTTCAAAAAAAAGAGTTAAAGCTTTTCTCTCCTAGAACTTCAATAATTATATGTTATATATACTTCTTTTACACAAAAAAACTAAACTGCGGTATCTAACCGAACTAGCCGGTATTAGTAATACTACAAATAGGAAAGGCCATAATATTTTCAGTAGCGGCCTTCCGATTAGCATACTGAAATATTCAGTATGCTAATCGGAATTTCTGGTCTCACACATGTCTATGATAGCGGAAAGATACAAAATAATATAAATTAATTAAGTAATCTTTTTATTTAATTTTCAGTGCGACGACAAAGATGCAATATTTGAAACAATATCATTAGAAATTGCTCAATTAAATTTGCTAGTGAAATTTTTGATGGCCGCATTTCAATCTGATAAGTTATCAAAGCTGAACAACGTTGTTGATGGTAAACTGATTTTAATCTACTCGTATACACGATAATAATATAAAGAGATAAAGTTTGTGAGTTTCAATGTGTGGTGTCCCATACTACTAATCCGTCACTACAATCCAAAAATGTTTAATAATTACGTCGTTTAAAAATTATTGCTAAATAATTATCTAAAATTTTGATTTACTCAGTTATTACTACTGTAAGATCATAAACTCATGTACGGCAACTTTTTTTATATAATATTACTTAATTACCGTTGTACCTTACAGTCGTTAATTATAAATGATAACAAATAAAAATATTAGGATAAAAAAATATGGAATTTCCTAGAAAAGCTTCCTAGTTTTTTATAATGTAGTTACGAGGTACTATAGGACTATAATTGTCTTGTACAAATGTTTTACTATTACTAGTACGAGTACTTTCGTTTGGTAAAAGAATGTACTATTTGTTAAATATATACTATTTAAATATGTCATCACTATAGTCAAAATTTTTGTACATGACCTCAATACGTAGGTTCAATCATGTAAATGTGAACTTAGTGGGATGATGTGATGTGATGTGAACTTATACTTAATGGGATTTCAAATATAACATATGTAATATTTTGTAGGACCGTACTTTTGTCCTAAAAGTAAAATGGATGAAGAATTTCTCAAAGAAAATAAAAAGGGAACGTTTAAATTAATGATGATTTTATATATGGGAGTGAGTATTGGTGCTGAAATTTGGGTACTTTCTTATGTGATGAAGCGAAAAGAAAATATAAATTCACTTGTACCCTTCTATTTCTTACGCGACTCAAAAACTTGGTCGAGGTAAATTCTTACTATTATTAAAACATCATTATGTGAGCCCATAGTCCCACAACTGTCTATTAAAATACCCGTATGTATAAGAAGACAATAATAAAGTCTAATACTAATTTCATTACTATACTCTATGACCATATATTAGTTCCTAGAAAATGTTTATTATTTTCACTACAAATAATAATAACAATTCCGTCATTTTTATCGCAATTCGTGTTGTTATATAATGACACTAACGCATTTAAAATTACTTAATTTTCTTACAGATATATTCTTTCAGCATTTCTAGAAACGCATATCATTTTATGTTTAACATATGGCCATATAAGCTATGATAGTATTATAGGACTCTATTACGCACAAGCAATGGTGCAACTGAAAATAATGAAGTACAACGTGGAACGTCTTTTTGACGAGTTTGTTAAAGACAATGAAAATACAACCAGACTTCAAGGCAAATATATAGATATCAATAACGCTCAATTGAAAGAGAATTTTATATTTTATGTGAAAAAATATGAAGAAATTGTGAGGTTAGATATAATAAGTCCTTTAAAAAAGATTAGTAGGTACAGAATAAAGCTATGTAGCCATTTTCATATCATAGCTTCTCCGCTTTCTTTTTTCCAACCATGCAACAGATTTTGATAGAAAGGGTTATCGCCATATTTAGAGATTTTTTTCGCAAATACACGAGGAAAGAGAAGTCTTAATAAGTTAGGTGACTATACAACACTATTATTATATCCTCTTAAGAGTGTCTGTTTGTCATCTTTTCAAAACTTCAGACAGTTGTTTTATTTTGTTTCGACAACAGTGAGAAGTACAAATTTGATTGTGTTACGTTATTTATAGTAGGTACACTATAAAAACATGTGACTGTCTTCCGGATCTAACGATCTTTCCAAATTAACACGTTGGTACTATTGCATTGTAGTCTTAATAGAATTTGACGTGAAGATAGAATGTATCACATAGGTAATCTTTTATCTACTAAAAGATATGTTAAGGGAGATATTATTGTTATTAAACTAACCCACTCACCCCGGCTTCACAAAGATGAACATGTGCTATACATATAAAGCTTCCTCTTTAATTTCTCCCTATATTTCTGAAAACTGTATTAAAAATTCATTGCGTAGTTTAACAGATCTAAGCGTACAGACAGCGGAGCAACTGCTGTGTTTTACATATATATACTATGTATAAAAGAGTGCAAATTGTATGTCAACGGTAACTTCTGGATATGTTACATTTATCTAAAAAACTATTTTACTATTTGCACATAGTTTATGCAGTTATGCAACAACTGTGATTTTATTTGATGGCTTCCAAATCCTTAACTATTCATTCTATTGACCTAATTTTTACAATACTATGCTTTTCAGATATTGTTTGACTACGTAAAGAAGAGAGTGCGAATTTTGTGACTGCATTTGAAAGTTAGCTTCTGTATGCGGATACTTATACCTGAAAAATAATTTTAGCATTTGTTACATTACATTATTCTAGATGTACACAGTTTACGTTATTAGCGACTATAATTTTATTTGATGGAAAGAATTATATGAGTACAGTACATTAAAAAATCAGTACAGAAGAAATACATAGTAAAGAATTTAAAATCCTGTACTATGTAATCCTTCTGTACTAATTTTATCAATACTCTGCTTTTCAGGTATACAAAGAATTTGAATTCTACATTTAATATTGTAGTGACATTTCAATTAATCACGATGAGTGCCTGCTGTTGTTTCCTCATATATTCAATGAGTATAGTAAGTAAATTCTTTACTTCTTATAAATAATGAAAATGGTGCGAGGTGTATAAGATGGTAGTCGCTTTAAGTATTTAAAAAATTGAACAAAATATATTATAAAACACTGTATTCCTCTCATGTAACTCAATTCACACCTCTCTATTACGGCTGCCGCCCGCCGAGCTGGCTATGGCACTCTTTGAGCAAAATTAAAGAATTTCAGTCAAACATTATTAGGCTGATGTAATCAGTTCATACTATACAATCTGTTAAATATAATAAATATTCACGGCTCTTGTGGTTTAGCACAGCGCTTTACTGCCATTTGCTGCGGGTTTGTTTCCTCGCACGGTACGATCAGTTGTACTTATGAGTATTGTCTGGTCTGTTTTTTGTATGAGTCTGGATGTTTCTATATATTATTCTATATATTTGTAGGTATTAAAATCTAATTTAATTAAAAAATCAAAGTGTATCCAGTAGTTGCTTTGCTTAGCTTGGGAGTAGATGGCCCTGTCTGAGATTTTTTTTATTATAATAGTAAATTGTGTGTACCTATTTTCGTTTAATATTATGTATATTATTTGTATATGTAGTTGTAATTGTTGTATTAGTATTCGTTTATAATGTAATTTTTTTTTGCAGATACCTAACAGATTCTCAATACCATTCATATACCTAATGACTTTAACTAGCTTATTTCAAGTTCAACTGTTTTTGTATTGCTATTACGGAAGTCTAGTTGAATATGAGGTACTATACAGTCTTTTATATTATTTCTTATTTTATTTTATTCTATGTAATTGGAATTGAAAACTGACGGTCCAACTGATGGTAAGTGGTCACCGTTTTTTTTATGGATGATAATGGAATGGGGTGTTCGCCTGCGCTAACGGTTTACGCTGGAGGGGCACCAGTGGAGCATGTGGTCAGGTCACCGTAGTTAGCCCATCATAATAAATTCACCAACAATTTATCACGATGATTTCCAGGGGGAATCGAGTGTAGGTCAATTTGAAATGGTACATGCTAGCACTACGGTCATCAACATTACTAACAATCCCCTTTCCCCCAGTGGTCACCGTTGCTACAAGTATGAACAGCACTTAGGACATAAGGTTATCATGTAACACCCGTGATATCACTCATGTGATGCAATTCCGGAGAGATATGTCGGTCTCATATCATTTTTTAATCTAATGTCACTGCTTAATTAAGATATCGTATATTAGGAAAAGAATCCTTCAATCGAAACACAACTTACTAAGCAAATTGTGTGGCGGCTGAAATAACTGAAAAAGACTATTTTATCGAGATAGATATTATTAAAAAAGTTTAATGAAATATAAGTGTCATGTTTTATGTTATTTTTAGAGCCAGTCGGTGTGTACATCTTTATATATGAGCAATTGGTTATCGGTGTCGCCTTCGTTCCGTCGCAGTTTGCTCATCGCCATGACACGTTGGACAGTACCCATAGAAACTCGGGTGTCTGTTGTGGTACCTTTATCTCTAAATACGTTGATTACGGTAACATTTCTTCATTTTACTTATTTGTGAGATTCCTCAGCTGCTAAAACTACATTAATTTTTACGTTCTAATAATAAACCAGGATAATTCACACAGCGCCTATTCGCTCCGAACTGCGCAGTACTGTAAATGCTACTTATTTATATAATTAAATACATACATAATATATATAGGAAGCACGAACCAATACGTAAATATAAATTATTGGATATTGCGAGAATCGAACTCTCGACCACCGAAAGTAAGCAGATGGAGTAAGGTAATGCAAACCACTGAAGACATTAATTATATTGTAGTTAAATAAATATAACTGATTTGCACTTAATGATCAAAGTTATGATTTATAGTGTTGTCACGATTATAAATGAAAGCAAAGTATAATTTATAATGTTGGTTCTTTTTATTCTCTATCTACCTATTCTAAAACGTACCTGTTGCGAAAATACATCAGATTACAAAGTAAAACAAAAATTTTATTTCAGATTATTCGTTCTTCGTATACACTTTACACCTTGTTGACAGAAACCAACGATAACGCATAAAGTAACATGAAATATGTAAGTGTGGTCAGTATAATAAATTCTATGAAATAGTGTTGATTATAAGTAACTTACGTTATTAAGTATGTAATTAAAATTTACAAAATTATCATTCAGTTCATTATTATAATTTATTGTAATTATAATAATGCTTTTTGAAAACAATTACAAAAGAGCACACAGTGCCAATTTAATGTTACGGTTATGCAAAAAGAAATTAAATGGAAAATTTACTTATCTATATCTATATCTATACTAATATTATAAAGTGGAAAGATTTGTATTTTTGTGTGTATGTTTGTATTGTATTGAATAGGCTCCGAAACTACTGAATCGATTTGAATAATTCTTTCACTATTAGGAAGCTATACTATCCCTGAGTGACATAGGCTGTATTATATTTCCAAAAAAATTAGGGATCCTTACTAAAACTCCAATAATGTAAACCAAGGTGTAAAAATATTACATAAAAAATACCTAACACTGCGTGCCCTGCAAAAAGTATTGATAATAGAACAAAATGATGTATTACGTCTTTGCAGAACACATCATTATCCACAAAAAGTTTCGACGGCATGTGTCCAACTATTATAGTTAGGTCACAATAGGTATTTTTTTAATTTATAAATTTAATTTAAATGCTGCCGCTAGAATAAGCTCTTTATTTGTATCTTGCTATTAACCCTTATCAAAATAAAGTACTTCATATTCACGACTGATTCAATACCTTTACAAAACTTTTTGAATTATTTAATTTGGACGTTCCATTCGAAAGATATCACGTATTTAAAAATGTAAGTATTAGAAAAAAACCCCGCTCGGTTAGCTATAAATCAAATGCGATGTAGGGGCGTCACTGCGGTATGGGAGGGGATACTTGCTAAGATAACCAGGGAAGATAGCGGTAGCAGTTACTTCATCAGGATTTGCTGCACCTCTCTTAAAGAATGGTAAAATTGCTCATGCTACTTTTAAACTTCCGCTATCCGTAAATCTTGAGCAACAACATGTTCTATCCTTAAAAATGGGCCTCTTGGTAAATTACTACAAGTTGCCTTTGTCGGATAAATGCACCATGAGCCATAGAGCACATATAGAGGCCGTGGATAGTACCTTAAAAGATCTTAGAAATACCTCTGCTCTCATGGGCGGGATTACTTTTGTATTTGCTGGAGATTTCCGACAGACTCTCCCTGTCGTTAACGTAGGTACGCGAGCAGATATCATAACAGCATGCTATAAATCGTCTCCCTTATGGTCTTTAATTGAAAATTTAAAATTACGGACGAATATGAGAACTCACAATGCTATAAAAATCTTTCGTCGCGTGCGCCGCGGAAACTATTGGTGATAGAACAGAAGTATGTTAAACAATATTGAAGAACATATCAATAACTACAAAAAACTTCACACTACTATATGTCCAACTATTATCGTTATGTCGCAATAAGATAGAAATACTGACCAAACTATTCATACACCACGTTATTCTAACTTCTGTTTAAATCCTTATCTAAATAAATGCTATTGTTTTCAAAACTGTTTAAATTATTTTATATTACTTTTTGAATTGTTCAAATCGGCTACTCCATTCAATAGACAGAATTTAATAAGTTATAGAAATAGAAAAAATAACACTGTCGCGTTGTACATGTTATTCATACCTACCATTTATTATTCCTTATCCAAATAAATTATTTTGTATTTAAAATTGTTTCAATACCTGCAGATTACTTTTCAAATCGTAGGTGTATATTCTATTCATCGGATCAAGCAATTTTCAGCGTCAGAAATGCTCATGACGAAGTTGAAAATTATTTAAACGGCCTGTACATCAGTACATCTGAACAGTGTTGAGGTTGTTAGAGTTTCCTATATTACCTACACTTAGGCGGTACAGTTAGGCAATGGACAACGAGTAGACTTCTCATGCAAAATAGTAGAAAATTCACCAAAAACGACACTCATAGCATTTTTTGACCTATGCAGTAGTGACGGATTCGTTAAAACACTACTCAATGCTAACAATAATTTTTCTAGAAAGAAACGTGGGCAAGACGTAGTTGGACACCCCGGCATAAAAAAAGATGCGGCATTGGGAAAAGTATACAGTATCATCCTTCCCAGTCAGAATGTTTTTTTCTTAGGATACCACTTCATCATGTACGTGGCCCAACATCGTTTCATGACTTAAAAACAGTTAGAATTAGGGACAGATGGCATTGTTAAAGAAACTTACAAAGCTGCTTGATCACATAAAAATGTAAAAATCACCACCCGTGCGTAGCCCGGACGGGCCGCTGGTTAAATTATACAGTAGGTATTTAGTAAAATGCACCACGTTACTTTGTAACCTACTGATGGCGCAGTAGGCGTTCTGGTTTTAATAACAGTACTATTATTTTACAAGGTATTATCAGAGTCACATGTTAAAATTATGGTTAGTTTACAAATTAATTGTATATATATTTTTTATTTTACTAGATCAGCGATCTCATCGAAAGTTATTTTCGATTGTCAACGAAGCCTCTGTCTGTCATCTGGGATTACAACTGTTAGGAATTTGTTTTTTATTTTTGGATAGCTGTATACTGTTTATACTATCTGTTACTACTTGTCATATTTACACATACTTGTACTATATTACACATGACATCTTTAATGAAAGCACTTGAAATATTATATGAGTAGTTACGTCACTGAGACAGCATTTGAATTGTAACTAGAACCATAGAATATGTTGGTCTTATTAGGATTTAGAGGATGACCAACCGTCACGGCAACGTCCGTCCTATAAGCCACCACTAAGTATTATAATTTGTATGACTTTAGTGTTACATAAACATAATACACACAATTTAATTGTATTTAGTATTATATGCTGTAGCCAAAATTAAATAAAGGATTTTTTCCTCACTATGAAAGTCTATTATTATATATTTACGATATCATAAAAATAAATCACTCAAAGCTGATAACACAATTTATACATTTGTTATTGAGGATTTCAATATAAAAATATTATGCCATTATTAGTATTTTGTAAAGCTTAGTTCTTAGTAATGTTGTCACAACACATCATTACTAAGAACTAACTAATATTCTACGATTAATCTTTGCGACATATACTAATAAACTTCCTTGTTTGCGCTATAGAAGTGCAATGGACTATTTCATATTATATATAATTATAATAAATATTGTAACGAAGAAATATTGTATTAAAATCTGAATCCCTTACTTAATACTAAATAATTCATATCAAATTACCCCTTTACTGTAAAAGCCTGGTTTCTAGTTAATTACAGTTAGTATTGTTAATTAGTAGCTAATTATATCTTTGCTATCTGTTTTATAAAATTAATGACGATGGAATCAATTATATACACGGTGTATTAAAATGCACATGAAATAGGAATTACATTAGAGTAAAAACGTAATTGGTTTACATAATGTGTTATGTGTAATAATTGAAAAGAAGATTTTTACAACATTTTCATTATTTATTGTGAACCGCGAAAGAACACAGTATTTCACAAGTAATAAGTAAATATTTTTTAAAAAAAACATAACGTAATATAAAATTCTATAGCAATACTTTTTTTAAACCTAAGTTATATGGGATAAATGTGGATTTGGTAATCAACTACAATATTTAATTTAAAGAGATGTCCATCAGAATATCTCTTTAAATTATTGACACCAATGATAGATTTCATCAATGTAGATAGGCGCTGACAGGAAATTGAATATTATAATTAAGTAGGAGATTAGAAGAGAAGAATTCACTAAGTATTCAAAGAAATAAAATTGGAATTTCCTTCATACGTTAACTGATTAATTCAAATCGGATAGTTTTGATTTAGTCTGTAACATTAACATTTTCAGTATAAAATTAGATTATCTTACAGAAGGCAATAGTAGTTGTGAACCCTGTACGAGAGGGTCCAGATGAAAATAGAGGGAAGATCAATATTTAAAGAGTTTGAAAATGCAAATAACGGGTTAATAAATTCATTCTTATAGACAAATCAAATACCCATTTGGTATATGCTAAGACTTGCGACTGAAGCTAACTGAATTGGAATCTAATATAAAATCTCTATGCAATAAAGACTCTGACAAAATTAAAATAATAAATTAATGTAGAAAAATATTGTATTAAAATGATTTGGTATTTGAGTTTAAGTTTTTCATTATAAAATATATATTACAGGATTTTAGCGATATGCTTATTTCATCGTTCTAAATGAAGATACAAAATATCTCATTGATTTATTCAAAGTGATATGTAGAACATTCTGTATAATCTATTGTATGAATTAAATACATTTAAGTATCCGTTTGTTAGATATATAAGGTGAGCCAATTGTTAGTTTAATCATCATTCAGTAATACCAGGACACGGGCAAAACATGAATACCGAGAGCTCTAATGAAGTTAAGGCGTTTGATTGTTTCAGATTCGCATATAAATTGCTATTCTGGACCGGATTTTTAAAAATAAATAGGCCAACTAATCGATTTAAGTTATGTCTAAACTATTTACATCAGTTAGTCACATTTTCGCTTATTATGTTTATTAATATTAACCATTTTCTGTTCGTAATGACGGTACGTACATTACTGTATTTCTATTACTTGCAATTTTTAATATATAAGAATTATGATGATTCACTTTCTACTCATGAGTATTATTTTTAAATGCCGTGTTAACTGGCAAAAAAGGTGTAGGTTTATTTATATTTATACTTGTGCGAGTATGTGAAATAATTATTTTTCACTTCGCAATATAATATTACGTATATTAATTTTAATTCCATTAACATTAATATACGTATTATAACTATGCATCAAAGGCAGTGAGAGTGAGAATCACATAGACAAAATATAACATATTAGTAATTAAATTTTTTTTATTAAATATTGAAAGTTTTCCAATATAATATGTTAAATCACTTTTGAATTATTACCGAAGAGGAACAAACTTTATCGGTTATTAAAATTGCTGCAGAGATGGCAAAAAATATATATCGAAGATATGAAATATATATGACAAAATAACATAACAATATAACAAAATTGAGTAAATTCTCTATTTTATAGTCGTTAAACGAGATTCCTTCAACCCTAAACCCAAGAATCCTTAATCAGCACCGTTTGTACGTTTTCATATTTCAGGCTCTATTAATTTACCTGATATATAATTTTGTTTGTTAATTAACTAAGTTTCTTTTATCTTAATTACTGTATCCATTTATTCAATTTTCAGTGTAACGATAAAGATGCGATATTTGATACAATTTCACTAGAAATTGCACAATTTAATTTACTACTGAAATTTGTGATAGCCGCAACACAACTTGATAAGTTATCTAAGTTGAACGAAATTGTCAAGGGTAAGTTAATTTTAGTCAGCAATCATATAAAGAGGTAAAATCTATGAGTTTTGATTTTCCTGAGTGATTCTAGGGTACGTATCCGATTTTGAACATTCTTTTAAAGTTGGATAGTCCATCCATCCATCGTGAAAGGATCACTCTTTCTAGAATAAAGTACAACTTTAAAAAATGTCATACACCTCCAATTAATCAAAAGATAAAATTAATTTAATTATCTGCATAATTTTAATAAAAAGGAGTATACAATTTTTGTGTCCGTGCAAAAAAGAAGAACCGATTTTGTCTTCCGGTACTATGGGCGCTATACGAGTTGTAAATGTAGGCTACTAATTAACTAAATATTAAAATGTATGAATAAAGTAAATTAGTAAAGTACTACAAGTTGAATTAAACTTGTAACAAACCAATTACTGTAGGTTTTAAGTAACTTACGTATGTTGTAAACATAAAACTTATATTGTAAATAAAAGTTGCGAGATTAAATGCGATCTTAGGTGAAATGACGGTCTATAATTACATATTTGATATAGTATACCATACTAGCTGACCCGTACAACTTCGTCTGAATGCACTGGATACTTATTTGACATTTATCTTTATATTTCGCCCAATTTACATAATATCTTTTTAATTATATACCTTTGTGTTATTCTGATGTATATAATCTGTATTACTGAAAAGTTAAATTCGTTTAGCAGTTTTGTGTGAAAGACAACATCCATCCATCCATCTATCTATCCATAATCACAAACTTTCGCGGTTATAATATTAGTAAGAAGATGTAATATTTATAGGACCGTATTTTTGCCCAAAAAGTAAAAGGGATGAAGAATTTCTTATAGCAAATAAAAAGGGAACATTTAAACTGATGTTGTTTATATATACGGGAATGAGTGTAGGTGCTGAAATTTGGGTACTTTCTTATGTGATGAAGCGAAAAGAAAACATAAATTCACTTGTACCCTTCTACTTTCTACGCGACTCAACAACATGGTCAAGGTAAATCTTTTCTAATATTAAATCATCACTAAGTTAGCTCATTATTACACTGCCGAGCACTCACTTGCCTTCATGATGAAGGATTTCATCTATTTCTATGCTGGTCAGAAGGCCGATTGTAATAAGAGGGCACATGAACTTTATATTTTAATTACCCTCTCAGATGGGGAAGTTAAGAATAAAATCTTTCGTATAATGAATAAATGCCTGTTATTTTATTATTACATTAGGTCCCAATATACGATTTTGGCGTATTGTAAGGGAGTAACCTAAAGTCGATTTTTTCACTCAATCCATGAGGGACCCACCTTTCGAGCTTTTTCACCTTCCCAATTTGCTTCACAAAAACATTGGAACTAAAAATGCACTGTGTTTTCTTTTGCGACACCACCGCCATCATCATTGATCCTACGTGCCGTTTCTGCAGCACTGGTGCCACGGCGGAGCTTGTACTCGTAAATAACACGATATTTTAAGTTTTTCATTCTGTAAACTCAGTGACGCAAAGAAAAAACCAAAGATGGAAAAAACATAAGGATTACAGTTTTTGAAAAACAAATGCATGAGTAAATAGCTGTATAAATTTGATATTGGAATTCCTAAACAAAAAGGGGAATTTCCTTCGGAAATCAAAGTGGCTAGTACGACAAAACGTCAATTTCATACGGTAGGACCTAATATAAGTACCTACGACTATCCAAATAAACTCAAACAGTCTTGACGGTACACTATGCGTATACAATATGTATAAATGACAATAATAAACACGCATAATTATTCCGTAACGAAAATTTGTAAGCCCATATTAGTGCCTAGTAAATGCCTGTAACATTCGCTATGATTAACTTTTATCGCAATTTATGTTGGTGTACAATGATACTTACTAAACTGGACGGTACGGAAAAAATATTAATATAAAAAATTTTACGTTCATAACATATTTAAAATATATAATTTTTATTTTTCTTACAGTTATATTCTTTCAGCATTTCTAGAAACGCATATCATTTTATGTTTGACATTCGGCCACATAAGCTATGATATGATTATAGGACTCTATTACGCACAATCAATGGTGCAACTGAAAATACTGAAGTACAATGTGGAACGTCTTTTTGACGAGTTTGATATAGACAGGGAAAATACAACTAGTCTTCAAGGGAAATATATAGATATAAATAACCCTCAATTGAAAGAGAATTTTATATATTATGTGAAAAAATATGAAGAAATTGTGAGGTTAGTTATAATAAGTCTATTAAATAATATTAATACAGTAAAAACCAAAGTAATTGTTTTCATTTCTCAGTTTCTTCGCTTTCTTCTTTCTAACCACACAATTCCAAACCACATTTTGATGTGGTTTTCTTTAATCAAGTATTTTATACTTTATCTTATTATATTTTATAACTTGTCCACCCACCCCGACATGCCAAGGGTGTACATGTATTAATGTTTTATACATATGAACCTTCCTCTTAAATCACTGTATCTATTGCTGAAAATTGAGTTAAAATCCGTTTATTGGCAAAAAAAATCTAAGCGTAGAGAAAAAGGAAGAGACTTTGTTTGATTATGTAAAGAAGAGAGTGCAAATTTTGTGATTACACATGAATGGTAGCTTCTTCAATGGTAAAATCATATTTAAGATACATGTATCTGAAGAATGATTTTACCATTTGAAAGTTACATTATCCTGGATGCAGTTTATGTTACCAGCAACTGTAATTTTATTTGATGGGAATAATTATGTAGTAAAGGATTAGAAAATATATAATTCTTCTATACTGAACTTTTCAAAACCACGCTTTTCAGATATACGAAGTATTTGAATTCTACATTTAATTTCGTAGTGACATTTCAATTTGTTTCGATGAGTGCAAGTTGCTGTTTTCTCATATATTCAATGAGTATGGTAAGCAAATTATTAATTTCTTATATAATTAATTGATGGAGATTTTATGGGGTGTATAAAAAAGTTTAGTATTATAGTAGTATAGCATTTAGTAACAATCACAAATTTTTGGAAAATATACAAAACATGCCGTCCCATTGCCACTCTATGTTCAAAATTAAAAGATTTTATCCGAATTGAACCAAGTTCTTTTACCCGAATAATATACGTGAGAAACTGTGTCTTCTTTTATTAACAGTTTGTAGGATGTTTTTTTGTTACCCCTTTCAGGACTAAACAGCTGAACAAATTAGAATAAAATTTGACTTGAAGATAGATTATATTGTATATTTTTGGTATACCGGATGAGGGAGTGAGTGGCATTGTCAAATATAGACATTATAGTAAACGCAACATTTAAAAAACATTTCGATGAGTTTAAAATTTATTTATTTGTTTAATTGATAACTTGTTGTACCTATACATAATTATAAATGATTCCTACACTATGCTGGACCTGTCCTGTAGGAACCAGAATATGAATATCCATGTTGAATGAGAAATGTATCTGATTGTGTTGGCCGGGTTATAACTGCGCACCCATTGAAGGCTGCTAACCAACTACTGCCTAATACGGGGACTTTAGGCTGCTAGGTCACTTTGGTCCGATTTGCCCCTAAGTAGTGAACTTGCATACCCAGATTTCGGAGGGTCCATATTGATACAAAACTATCATTCCGAACTCAAACTTTCATTTGCTTGTGACAATCGAGTAGCCGAATTACAGAAGATTCCAACGGTCCCAAGCATTTTATATATTGTGTCACATCGACGCACATAATGCTATAATTTACTTAAAACAGCTACTATAAAATTATAAACTATTTGAATCTATATTTTATGTAAAAACTTAGGACATAAAGACATGTGGGAAAAATAAACACTTTGGTATTAAATTTAAGCGTCAGCGATATTACTATATTTTGCTTTTATCATTTCTATTAGCTGCCTTTATACGTACACTCTTTCACGCACAAATAGGTTTTCACGCAGAAAATAATATGCATGTACTATAAATGTAGACAAAGAGAACGAAAAAGAACGCGCGCGCCGCTAGTGAGCGCATTCCTACGAGCGTCAGGAATTGTTCGTTTGTAATAATTAATTATTGCAAATTAATAATAATAATAATAATAATCTTTATTTGCCTCAAACAAAAACTAATACAACTGTTGCCCTTACAATAATGTAATTTAAAACTAACGAATGAGACAAAATGGTCTATAACTCAGTGAGGGCAGTGCACTCTCTGCTATTCTGTTATAGCCCTTATCAGTAAAATAATACAATATGAGATCGACGACGACGATAGCACATTCAGTTAAGTTCTGAACTACAACAAACTAATAAGATTGGAATAATGGAGCAAAGACAAGACATAATAGGTTTATGGATAATTTATAAATCTTAAAATTATCCTTGTAAAAAGAAACCTACAAAAAATTGTAAAATGCAGTCACTTGTGAATCCGCGCGCTGGCTTACCCGCGATAAATCGAACGTGAAAGAATGTGTCGTTTAAAAGCAGCTATTGTGTGTTTTTTTACAGACAGCGGATAAACTCTCAGTACCATTCTTATTTTCAATGACTTTAACTATCATGTATCAATCTCAAGTGTTTTTGTATTGCTATTATGGAAGTTTAGTTGAATACGAGGTATTATTTCACATTGTATTTTATTTAATTTAATTAGAATAGCAACAAATTTGACGGCTCACCTGATGTTAATGGATTACCGTTCACTATACAATATATGAACAGCACCGTGGCCTTAAAGTTATCATGTAACACCCGTGGTACTAGTCATGTGATACAATTCCAGAGGTATATGGTGTCAGACCTATGGACCAGATATGTATTTGTATATATAATTATATGTATATACAAGCGGAGCACCATTCCAGACAATGGCCCAACTATTGTCCTTTCCCTTGTGCCCATCATCCTGTTCTAAGGAAGCTCTAAAATTGAACCCTTGACCATCGGAGTTAAAGTGGTGTGCTAAAAAGCTGAACCACCGAGGCCGTCACAATAAATATATGTATTATACACATATATAACAGAGACAGTGGTATCCACGCATACGACATTTTTTAATTTCGCCAAAATGAAGTTTAATTAATAGTAATAATTTCAAGACAATTCACACAGCGCCATCTATACTCAAGTTAAGCTACCTAAAGTCTGTGTTATGGGTACTAGATAACTGATACAAATACATACTTATATTTCTTTTTTCGTAAACATATTTCTTAAAATACATACATATTATCCATAGAACACACCCAGGCCGACACAGACAATCATACTCATGAATACAAATGTTTGTGCCGTGCCGTGTGCATTGGAAGTAAAGCGGTGTGATAAACCACTAGACCACCGTGTCTTAAATTTTATTAAATATTACATGACGTTCTAAATATGAAAACCTTTGTTTATTTTATTTTTAGAGTCAGTCGGTGTGTACAGCCTTGTATAATAGCAATTGGTTATCAACGTCACCTTCATTCCGTAGCAATGTACTTATCGCCATGATACGCTGGACAGTACCTATAGAGACTCGGGTGGCGGCTGTTGTACCTTTATCTCTGAATACAATGATTTCGGTAATGTATCTTCATCTTACTTCTTTATGAGATTCCTCACCTATTAAAAATGCTTTATTTTTCCAAATTCTAATAATAAACTAGGATAATTAACACAACAGTGCCAATTCACTGTAAACTACGCAGTGTGTACAAATACGAGTATAATAAAATAAATATTTGGTTAGTGCGAGAGTTACATTTTTCAAACATCGAAAGTATGAAGGTGTACTTAATCGTAGACCACTGTGGTCATTAATTATATTATACTTAATTAAATAGAAATTATTTATAATTAATATTTTTTGTAATATTGGTACGATTGTAAATGTTGCTATTTAAAATCAAGTACAATTTATGATATTGATACTTCTCATTCTCTACGTAATAAACATAAACCTAATCCAAAACGAACCTGTCGCGAAAATAGTTTCTAACGTATAAAAAATGTTATTTTTTTTAGCTTATTCGTTCTTCGTATACACTATATACATTGTTGACAGAAACAAACGATAACCCATAATGTAATATGAGAGATGAATATCTACAGGTCAGTATGCAATAAATTCTATGGAATGGTGTTATTAAGTATCTTACCATATCAAATATAAAATGGAAAGTTGATTATCATTCAGTTCATTTTACAATTTATTGTAGTTGTAATTATATTAGCCCAATATCACCTTGCTCTATATGTGTAGTTGTGCTTTTGTTATTTTTATATAATTACAAAAGAGTACGAAGTGCCAATTTTGTGGTCATGCAATAAAAAAATAGACATAATTACATATATGTAAATTCGATACCTTAGTAAAACTGCAACTTTGTAACGCCTACCGCAACAACTCTGGTTTTAATAATAGTGTTATTTGTTATTAAGTAATTTATTTCAAATTGGTCAAATGTTATTAATGTCAGTTTATAAAATATTTAGTTTATATATTTTTTATTTTATTAGATGCTCAGCTAAAGTAATCGGCGATCTCCGCGAAAGTTTTCACGACAATTGAAAAAACCTCTGGGATTACAATTTATTTTACGAATTTGTTTTTATATTTATGTAGATTTGCAAGCAATTTCTTTGTGTGTACTGGTCATAATAGTTAGTTAGTTATATGACTATACTACACATACTAAAATACTATACTACACTTTACATCCACTTCGCGGATATTATTATTATTAATTTTATAAATAAATATAAGTCTACGTTTAACAATTATGTAGTTATGAATTTGCATTTTTGATATCTCACTAGAAGCATATGACAATTTTCTCTCGTTAGCGTCTACAGGAACCTACCATCCACACGATATTAATAATAATAATAATCTCAGGACAATTCACACAGCACCATCTAGACCCAAGTTAAGCTAGGTAAAGCTTGTGTTATGGGTACTAGATAACTGATACAAATACATAGATATTTTTTTTTCGTAAATACATACTTAATATACATAGAAAACACCCAGACCGACACAAACAATCATACTCATGAATACAAATGTTTGTGCCGTGCGAGGAATCGAACCCGCGACCATCGGACGTAAAGCGGTGTGTTAGACCGCTAGACCACCGAGGTCGTCAATATTAGTACTATAGACCACCACTGAGTATTACATTCTGTAAAACTTAAATATTACATTACCACAATACTTAATACTATAAAATTATATTTTTTATATTTAGTACTATATGATGAAGGCAATTTGAAATAAAGGATTTTTTCTCATTATTATGAAAGTCTTTTAATATTTCAGTAATCATAACAATAATTTTAACTACATTTACATGATATAAATATTTAAATCTGAGTATTATAACAATTTATTGCTATTTCTGTCTACATAGATTTTTCTTAATTAATTTAGTGAACTAGTAATTGCAGAAAAAGTAAACCTATTCCATTCGAATGAAATTACGTACAATAGAAAATGTTGGAAATCTTTGGAAAGTTAAAATAGCTAATCGTCAAATTCAGTTACAATTACTACGGTTCAGAGTAATTGAAATCCATGAACTGTGCAACAATTCCCGTATGAGCCCCGTCGGTCAATAGAAAAACACAATAGCGTTGGCACAATGGCGACCATTCAATGGTCTTAAACGATCGGGGCCAAATGGAAATTTTAGCGTTCGCGAAACTACGGACGCGTAACATTATTTTTTTTCAATAGCTCTGAAATACTGCAATTTTTGGAATGGCTCAATTACAAACGATGGAATGTGACTGAAATGTAAGTAGTTACATTTATATATGAATACATGATCACAAATTACTATATTATAATCTTAATCGATTTAGCTAAGTTCGACATTTATTTCTACTCCTTCAGAGGAATAGGAAATAAATGTCGATTTTAGTCTTAGCCTCAGATATTTGTCGATCATCATCAGTGATGCAAATGTTTATAAGCTATGTTTGCGAAATTATACCCAATCAGACAAATATACAGTTTTGTATATATATGATATTATCATACATAAATATAAAGATTAGGTATAACTTTCAACCAACCAGATCTATCGACATAATAACAAGGATATGTACACGATATAGTATCCTATAAAATATACGTGTATTCATTTCCCTGACGACAAATATTACGAGTACTATAAAGTAGTATTTTTTTAACTTTGATTAAAGCAATTGATTCTTCATCACTCCTCGTATTATTCTCCTCGTATTATGTTAAGAAATAAGTGATACACGGTTAATAAAAAAAAATAACATAGACTATTAGAATGTTATATCACGTCGCTTCCAACGCTTAAAACCAACTCCATGTATAGTGATAAACTTCCTTATACTACGACGGGCTATATGTAGAGTAAAAACCTAAGTCCTATGTTATTTTTTATTCTATATTAATAATATATTTTTTGTTATCTACAGTAAGGTTTCTTTTTTGTATAATGCTGAAAATTAATTGGTTGCATCTGAAATTGCGAAGACAGAAAGAAATTATATTATTATTAAATAAAATTAATGCGAGAGAACTAAATGATACTTTGAATAACTGAGTCACTAATACAATAGATACTAGTTTATATACTACTACTTATGTACTAACTTTATATCTATTAAATAGGCTTTATCTCTAGTTGCTGGATGATTCCGAGATTATACATAATTACTGTATAGATGTAGTTAATTAAAGATTATTTCATATGTATATATGAAGTCAAAACCATTCTCTCGTAATATGAATTTGAGTAAACGATATATGTTGTTTATAAAGGTACTCCAAAGAATTTTATTTATATAATTACAAAAATAGGTGAATAAATATTTCCCTCTAAATTTTCTCTTAATATTTTTATTCGAATTATTATCAAGACGTAGTTCCTCCCTTTTATACGGGAAATAAGTACAAGCCAATTTCCGTGTAGATATCGTATACATTTACACGTAGAACATTCTGTATAATCCATAGTAATAACTTAACTATTCAAGAGTTAGTGTATTAACTCAATCTCAGTAGTCAGCCTTAGTCAGTTAAAGTCAGTCAGTATAATAACCAATACAAACAGTATTGGTCTGGGTGTTTTCTAAATACCTATATAATGTATTGACAAAAAAAAATTACGTATTTATATCTATTTATCTATGAGTCAACGCTCAGTAAGTGTAGAAAACAGATACATTTTATAATGAACATGAGTATAACTATGGAACTCAATATTTACCTGTATTAATTATTTAAAAAAAAAACACAGACAGTAAGTTAGACTATAAGATAAGTTTAGATTTGAATAATTTCAGATTGATTAGATTCGTCTCTAACACGAATAGTAAAATAAGTAATAAAATTTCAGAATAATCGACCGAAGAAAGATATATTGAAATACATAAAAATATTGAAATCGAAATATGAACAAAAATAAAATACATGACAAATGTCATTGTGAAGTCGATTGGTCTCGATCATTCTGGATTGTTCCAGATCAATCGGTCAATCAATAATCCTGGCAGTATTTAAATCGGTAAAGAGTGACATTCAATGTACCTCGGGTAAGCTACATGATGTACCATATTTGTTTGATTTTTAAAACTAAACATTACTGTCAAATCTATTTAAATTAGTTACTTTTACAATAAGTATTTTTATCAGAACAATTCACACAGCGCTATCGGTCCGAAATTACGCTGAAAATATGCGTATTAAACCACTGACAAAAAAAATTAATATTTTTTATACATAATATATACCTAGAAAACGCTTCGATAATTATACTCATAAATACAACTGCTTGTGTCGTGGGAAAATCAACGCCACGACTATTAGAAAACTACCTACCGCTACTTAGGCTAGACTATCAAGGCCTATCATATATCATTAGTATTACTAATTAATAAACGTTGCATCGCAATTACATTTTAAACTAGTATGACATTTTGCAGGTTCCATATACATATTTACTATAGCATAATATCGCATGGCTAGTATATCTCTGGTTTCATGAAAGCTGGCCCGGATTACGCGACGTTATTGAGCCGTACATCTTCTACGTTACCGCCCGCGGCTTCAAGCCAACACCGTCCGTGTAATCGACTTCAAAAATATATTTCAAAATAATAATAGTAAAATGCACCTAATTCTTTTATATTTATGATTAAATGTTGTCTAGCACATATATATTCATCTATTCATTTATGTTTTTAATCGAATAATCCTTATTACTTATTTCAAAATACTTAGGTATATATTGTAGTAGGTATATAATACATTAAGATAGGGTAAGGTCTTATAGTTATATTTTTTAAAATAAAATTAATATATATATATACCAGTGTATAAGATTTATACACTGTTAATAATAAGAATTCCTTTATATCTTTAATACACATCTTAAATGTAACTACTACTGTAATAGGCGATATTATATGATTATTAACATATTATCAACCCATTGGAGTTCAATATTAGCAACGATGAAGTATGATAAAGTTTGTCAAATATGCAAAGAAGTCCCATGGGATACGTGCAAACTGTCTGTTTGTAGCGTCACTTCACATTCGCATTTCAAATTCAAAGCCAGGTACTAAC